TCATTTTAGCTTGCGCAATTGAAAAACAACAGGTTATATAAATTGCCTGCAGGAGAGGAACTCTGTGCACACTCTCCTGTATCTAATATCTTTGACTAATTGCCGGATGTAAATAACAAGCATGACTCTTGTATGAAAAGACTGCTGAAGATTTGTTTCTCAGGGGTCTCTAAAATTTTTTTACTATGAAAAACTTCCAAACATATTCATACATAGAATGGTATTGTGAACTCCAAGCTTCAAGAGCATCACTATTGTGCTAACTTTTCCATTTATCTCCCCTCCTCCCACTTTTTTGTAAAGTATTTTAGACTAGACCCAAAGACTCATTTCACCATGAACACTTCTATAATTGGAATAAAAGGGATTTTGTGTGGCCCTGCATTTTTCTTTCCTTAGATCTGCTAGTACAGGAAGTGGTGATGTAAAAATCATCCCAACACACGTGGATTTCTGGAGGCCCCGGCGAAAAGAGGCACATTCCTTACAGGCTCTGCAATTTCTTTTGCCCTTAACTGGAACTCCGGCTCCAGCAGTAATACTTTTCTCAAATGCCAAAAATCAAATATCTGGCCTCTCCCAGCTAGAGATTTCTGGGGAGTGCTGCTTTTGAGACTATTTTTGGCATGAAAATACCACTCAAGTTGCTTGAAGTTATTTGGAATTTTTAAAGTATGGAAAGCATCTCACTACAGCCATGATTGAGGCTCAGTGGGTAAGTTATTACACAGGCTGTCACTTCCCATCTAGCTTCTTGCTTTCTGTGCTCTTCTGTTGAATGGTTTTAATGCTTTAGGCCAATGCGGGAAGTAGAAAAGTTCCTTTTTAAAGTTTCCTTTCTTGTTAAATCATAAGTGTGCTAAAAACCTTGTTAAGCCCTATCCTATGTAGCTGTTAGACATGCTGTGCTTACAGGCACGTAGTACATTCTAGGTGCTTTTACTTAAACCAAGATATCTGTGCTGGACGTGCTCACAGGCATGTCCCAGCTCGCCATTGCTTTTACTTGTTTAGAAAAGTTTTAAGTTGTTGCCAGTCGAGTTTTTAGTTTAGATTATGAGGTCTGGCTCCAGCCAACGGAGATCAGACACAGCGGTAAGGACAACCCCAAATGTGTAAGAAATAAATTTGTGTGTATTCTCTTTGTTCTTTGTACTCTCATGGCAAGAGGGCTAGTGAGAGTACCCTTCCTGCAGTCCAGGAAATAAAAATTGTGTTGCTGAAAGATCTTTGGTCCCAGTACTCATTTTTCTTTGTGGCACCAAGCATCTATTTCCAACAGCCAAAGACTGCATCCTGGTTGGAATGTGAAAGGTGACCCAGCAGGTGTAGAGGAGGAGTGTAGGGGAACCTACCTGGCTGGCCAGCCTTCCTTCCAGCTGTGTGTCCTGCCTAGACTCCAGCTGTGAGTCCAGCATGCTTGGAGGTCCATGGAGAGTTTCTGAGAATGCTGGGATTATATGTGTGTTGTTTTTTTTTTGACAGAGTTTCGCTCTTGTTGCCCAGCCTGGAGTGCAGTGGCGTGATCTCAGCTCACTGCAACCTCCACTTTCTCGGTTTAAGCAATTCTCCTGCCTCAGTCTCCCAAGCAGCTGGGGTTACAGGTATGTGCCACCATGCCTGGCTAATTTTGTATTTTTAGTAGAGACAGGATTTCTCCACGTTAGTCAGGCTGGTCTCAAACTCCCGACCTCAGGTGATCTGCCCTCCTTGGCCTCCCAAAGTGCTGGGATTACAGGCGTGAGCCACCATGCCCAGCCTATATGTGTCTCTTAATCCATGTTGTGTTGCTATAACAGAATACCACAGACTGCGATTTACTGATTTATTTTGAGACCGAGTCTCACTCTGTCACCCAGGCTGGAGTACAGAGTGCGATGGTGCAATCTTGGCTCACTGCAAACTCTCTGCCTACCAGGCTCAAGCAATTCTCTTGCCTTAGGCTCCCGAGTAGCTGGGACTACATGTGTGCACCTACATGCCCAGCTAATTTTTGCATTTTCAATGGAGACTGGGTTTCACCATGTTGGCCAGGCTAGTCTCAAACTCTTGACCTCAAGTGTCCTGCCCACCTCAGCCTCCCAAAGTGCTGGGATTACAGGTGTGAGCTACCACAACTGGCCCAGACTGGATGTTTGTAAATAAATTTAGTTCTTACAGTTCTGGGGGCTGGGAAGTCCAAGGTTAAAGGAACATATCTGGCAAGGGTCTTTGTGCTGCATCATCACGTGCAGAGGGCATCACATGGTGACAGAGTGTGGGGGAACGGGAAAACTCGTCCTTTTATCAAGCATCTATGATAACTTACCCATTCCCAAGATCACTAACTCACACCCATGATAATAATCCATTATGGATCAGTAGTTAATTCATGTCTGGGCATGGTGGCTCATGCCTATAATTCTAGCACTTTGGGAGGCCGAGGAGGTGGATCACTTGAGGTCAGGAGTTCAAGACCAGCCTAGCCAACATGGTGAAACCCCACCTCTACTAAAAATACAAATATTATTGAGATGTGGTGGCAGGTGCCTGTAATCCCAGCTACTTGCAAGGCTGAAGAGGGAGAATTGCTTGAACCCGGGAGATGGAGGTTGCAGTGAGCCGAGATGGTGCTACTGCACTCCAGCCTGGGTGACAGAGCGAGACAAAACAACAAAAAAAGAAAAATTCAATCTTGAAGGCAGAGCCCTCATGACTTCATCACGTCTTATAAGGCCCTGCCTCTCAACACCGTTGCATTGGGGATTAAGTTCTAATACATGAACTTTGGGGGACACATTCACATAGAGTGTTTGCCGAACTCTAGAATGCTTCTCCCGCACACCTCACTGCCACGTCACTAAAGCCCATTTACACCATTTCCTTTTTATGCTGTGCCTGCCTTTTAACAAGGAGTTACAAGGCATGCTAAAAGGTAAAACACACAGAAGAGGAAGATCAAACATTAAAACTAGACTGAGATACACCAAGCATCCTGGAATTATTAGGCCAGGATTGATTGACTGATTGATTGACTGATTGACTGATTTACATTTTTGAGATGGAATCTCACTCTGCTGCCCAGGCTGGAATTTCAGTGGTGCTATCACGACTCATTGCAGCCTGGACCTCCTGGACCCAAGCAATTCTCCCACCTCAGCCTCCCATGTGTCTGGGACCACAGGCACATGCCACCAGGCCTGGCTAATTTTTCTTTACTATTTGTAGGGACAGGGTCTCGCCATGCTGCCCGAGCTGGTCTTGAACTCCTAGGCTAAAGTGATCCTCTCGCCTTGGCCTCCCAAAGCGCTGGGATTACAGGCATGAGCCATCACGCCCAGCCATGTCAAGAATTTAAAAACGTCGGGCCGGGCGAGGTGGCTCAAGCCTGTAATCCCAGCACTTTGGGAGGCCGAGGCGGGTGGATCACGAGGTCAAGAGATCGAGACCATCCTGGTCAACATGGTGAAACCCCATCTCTACTAAAAATACAAAAAATTAGCTGGGCGTGGTGGCGCGTGCCTGTAATCCCAGCTACTCAGGAGGCTGAGGCAGGAGAATTGCCTGAACCTAGGAGGCGGAGGTTGCGGTGAGCCAGGATCGCGCCATTGCACTCCAGCCTGGGTAATAAGAGGGAAACTCCGTCTCAAAAAAAAAAAAAAAGAATTTAAAAAAGTCATGATTCGGCTGGGCGTGGGAGGCTGAGGCGGGTGGATCACGAGGTCAGCAGATTGAGACCATCCTGGCCAACATGGTGAAACCCTGTCTCTACTAAAAATACAAAAAAAAAAAAAGAAAAAATAGCTGAGCGTGGTGGCACGCATCTGCAGTCCCAGCCACTCAGGAGGCTGAGGCAGGAGGATCGCTTGAAGGGGAGGTTGCATTGAGCTGAGATCACGCCACTGCACTGCAGCCTGGCGACAGAATGAGACTCTGTCTCAAAAAAAAAAAAAAAAAAAAAATTGTGATTCATATGTTAAGGACTCTAATGCACCAGACCAGGGACTGGCTTCTGCTCCCAAACTGGCTTATCAGCAATCACAAAGCTCACGGCATCTCCGCCCCATGAAGTGCAGCTTGCAGCTTCTTAGAGTGTAAGCCCAACTTGCACCAACAGGGACGCTCACATCATGTTCCACCAAGGCCAACAGGCCATCCTATTTCATTGAAATTTGTGACATTTTTTCACTGACACAACAAAGCAGGCAAGACCTTCCTCTGATGTCGGGAGTATAAGAGTGGGAGGATGGACTAGGATGGTGTCTTTTTGTTTACTACATATTCACAGGAAGAGAAAAGCAAAAGAGGATGGAGTTCTGGGAAGTAATAACATAATCTGGCCAGGCAGGGTAGCTCATGCCTGTAATCCCGGCACTTTGGGAGGCCAAGGCAGGTGGATTGCTTGAGCTCGTGAGTTTGAGACCAGCCTGGGTAATGGTGAAACTCCATATCTACAAAAAATACAAAGCATAGCCAGGCGTGGTGGCGGGTAGAGTCCGATACTCAGGAGGTTGAGGTGGGAGGATCGCTTGAGCCTGGGAGGCAGAGGTTGCAGTGAGCGAGGATGGTGCCACTGCACTCCAGGCTGGGCAGTTGAGCCAGGCCTTGTCTCAAAAAACGAAACAAAACAAAAACTTTGAGTCCATTGGAAGGGCCCTCAAAATGACCTTCCAGCCTGCTGGTTTTACAGATGGGAAACTGAGACCCAGAAAAGCAAAAGCATTGTGCAAGGTCACACAGCTAGTGGGTGCCAGAGGGGTGCTTGGAACCAGCAGTGTTTGCCTCCATGATCTGCGTGATGCCCCAACTCCTGTCAGGTCACCCTGATTGCCGCCGCTCCCTGCAGAGGGCTCATCAAACACATCGCCTGCCTGCACCATGCAGCCTGGAAGGTGAGCTGCTGCGGAATATGTTACCCACCACGCCTTGATACCTGCAGAGGTGGGGGCTGTAGGGGTGATTCACTTATCCTTCAATTCAGAAGCCATTTCAGAAATCAGAGGAGGTGTTACTTCCTGGTGTTCGGAGTATAGGTTATGTTTATTTTCTCATCTGTAATTTCCAGGGTTTTCCAAAATTTTACAACAAACATCTATAATTTTATGAACCCTCCCCATCTAATTTTTAAAAGAAGTTGAGAGGCAGAGAAATGCCCAGCTCACTACTGAGATCCATCAAGTGAGGCTAGACGGTATCTGTCACACCAGGCAGAGGCCCTGCGCTGGAAGCCCTGGAGGTTACCAGCTCCAAGCCTGGTATCCAAGGCCACCTGGGTAGCCACAGCCTCCTCCTTCCCTTTGCTTCCACCAGACTCTGCTCCTGAGATGTCCTTTCCCCATTACCACCACATAATTGGACTAATTTTTCAGGGCCCAACACCAGTTTTGCTAATTGGTTGAAGGTGTGTGGTTTTTTTTTTCTTTTTTGAGATGGAGTTTCACTGTATCATCCAGTCTGGAGTGCAGTGACGCAATCTTGGTTCACTGCAATCTCTGCCTCCCAGGTTCAAGGGATTCTCCTGATTTGGCCTCCTGAATAGCTGGGATTATAGGAGCCTGCCACCACCCCTGGCTAATTTTTGTATTTTTAGTGGAGATGGGGTTTTGCCATGTTGGCCAGGCTGGTCTCGAACTCCCGACCTCAGGTGATCCACCGTCTCAGCCTCCCAAAGTGCTGAGATTACACATGTGAGACATGTAATACACGTGATTACACATGTGAGATTATAGCTTGCCTGGCCTGGATGAAGCTGTTTTAAAAGCCCTACCTCCCCCTGTTGGGATGACCTTCTGTCTCCCTCCTTGGACCACTGGTGGCACTTTCCTTGAACGTACTTTATCATCTTTATCATGTCCTGCCTTGTCCTGGAATTGTTTGCACCCAGGTCTGTTTCTCCTACTGGACTAAGGCCTCTTTGCAAGTAGAACCTGCTTATCAGTTACCTTTGTATTCCCAGCTCCATCCTCAGCCTGTCACATGCTAGACTTCAGATAAATGTCTCTTGAACGTATGTGAATTGAAACTATGGTATCCTAAAAGAGGGGTTGATGTATCAGTATGTGGCAGGGCTCATGACCCTTGGCACTTGTGACATCTGGGTTGGGATAATTCTATGTGGTGGGAGCTACAGTGTTTAGAGTTTAGCATTTGAGGTAGAGGTTGCGGTGAGCCGTGTTTAGTATCTGATTAGTCTTTAGTGTTTAGTACCTGATCTCTACTTTTTAAAAATAAAAAAAAATTTTTTTAATAGAGGTGGGGTTTCACCATGTTGGCCAGGCTGGTATTGAACTACTGACCTTGTGATCCACTGCCTTGGCCTCCCAAAGTGCTGGGATTACAGGCGTGCACCACCACACCCGGCCCTGATCTCTACTTATTAGATGCCAATACTGGTAAATAGTACTAGTGCAGCCGGGTCTTCTATTCTGGGTCCTGGGTTCTTCCTGCTCTCCCGGAGGCCTCTCAGGACCCCAGAAGGATTTTCGCTTCACCACTTGGGTGCAACCGCTCCACCCTCACCCTCACATCCTGGGTTCTATCTTGTCCCCTTTCCTTCTGCCCCACCCCTATAGCCTGTGCCAGGCTGTGACCCACTGGTTGTCCCTACTGGTCCATGCAGACTAGACTGAGACTGTGCCCAGACACACGCTTCACATGCTCTTCAGCTCCTTGGGCTCATCTCCGTGCTTGAACACACTGATGGTGACCTGGCCCGTCTCGGAGCCATACTTGTTCTTGACAAAGACACCATAGCGGCCGCTGTCATCACTGTTGACCTTCTCAATGGTGATGGTGACCTCGGTGCCCCTCACTTCCATGTGGTATCGGTCAAGGAAGGTGACAGGCTGGTCATTCTTCAGCCAAGAGATTTCAGGGGTGGGGTCTCCTGAGATGACGCAAGTCAAGCACAGGGTCTGTTTGAAAAGACAGGAAGAGTATAGTCTCACTTCCTTGTAACCTGAACTTGGCATTCACTTTCATGCCCCCAGAGAGCTCCCAGTTCAGTTGCTCCCTGTGATAATTTAATACGTGTGTTTTACTGTAATTTATAAAGGGGAGAGATTTTATTTTAACCCCACATCCTGCAACGTCAACCTTTTATTTTATTTTATTTTATTGAAATGGAGTCTCGCTCGGTTACCCAGGCTGGAGTGCAGTGGTGCGATGTGAGCTCACTGCAACCTCCACCTCTCAGGATCAGGAGATTCTTGGGCCTTATCCTCCTGAGTAGCTGAGATTAGAGACGCATGCCACTGTGCCTGGCTAATTCTTGTATTCTTAGTAGAGACGGGGTTTCACCATGTTGCCAGGCTGGTCTTGAACTTCTGACCTCAGGTGATCTGCCTGCTTGGCCTTCCAAAGTTTTGGGATTACAGGCGTGAGGCACTGCTCCTAGCCATCCTCAACCTTTCTACAGGAATACTTACTAGTTAGAATCTCAGACCATGATTACTCTAGCAATTATCAGCCCTAGAATGGCCTTCACTTTCTTTTATTGCTTTTTTTAAATATATATGTCACTATGATTTTACTGTGCAAGTAAGATTATATTGCTTTAGTACATAGATTTATGAACTAAAATAGAAGATTATTGAACAAACAAGCTCTAATGCAGAGCACTGTAATGTAATAATTAAACACACAGGCCCTGGAGTTCAGCTGCCTGGGTGTGCATCTCAGCTCTGCCCCTTCAAGCTGTGTGACCTTATGTTTCTTAACCTGGATTAATGGACTCTGGGTTTCCTCAGCTATAAAGTGTGATTAGAAATAAATAAAACCCTATTTCTTTCATTTTTTTTTTTTTAGATGGAATTTCGCTTTTATTGCCCAGGCTGGAGTGCAATGGCGTGATCTCGGCTTACTGCAACCTCCACCTTCTGGGTTCAGGAGATTCACCTGTCTCAGCTTCCTGAGTAGCTGGGATTACAGGGGCATGCCACCACGCCTGGCTAATTTTTGTATTTTTAGTAGAGAAAGGGTTTCATCATATTGGTCAGGCTGGTCTTGAACTCTTGACCTCAGGTGATCTGACTGCCTTAGCCTCCCAAAATGTTGGGGTTACAGGCATGAGCCACTGTGCCCTACTGGCATAAAACTCTATTTCATGTGATTGCCTTGATGGTAAATAAGCTAAAATAGGTAACATACATGGAATCATGCCTGGCACAAAGGAAGCACCATAAAAATGTCAACAATTGTTTTCAGAAACACTAGCTTTGCATAAATAAGTTCGGTCCTAGACAGGCTTTTAGGGTTTACCCAGTAGACATTTCCTGTGGATGCTGAAGTTCACAGGCAAAAGTCTATGATGCCCAGGGCTGTCTAGACAGATGGAGATAGAACTGGGTCAAGCATCCACTAAGGGTGGACACCAGGCCCAATGGCTTTCCTTTGTACTACATGTAATCAATGAGGTGTGGTCACTTAGCCACGCTTTGGCTTCGAATCCATAGCACTGCATTGTTTCATGGTCTGTGATGGGCGCAGGAGGAAACAGCGGGGGGCTGCTGGCTGCAGGCAGGGAAGGGTCAGTACCTTATCTTCCATGATTGTGGCCACATCCGGCAGACCCCTCACCACTTTGGCACGATCTGAAAGGGAAATGAGAGACCCCAGCAATGAATCTTTTTCTGCCAGCTGCTTCCCAGAAGTTTCAGAGTTGAGGTTTATTTTTAAGCAAGGTTTCTTTTCTTTCTTTATCTTTTTTCTATTTTCATCATTGGATAGAAATCTTTTTTTACTTTATTTTTTCAAAATTAATTTTTTGAGACATGGTCTCACTCTGTTGCTCAGGGTGGAGTGCAGCAGTACAACCTCAGCTCACTGCAAACTCTGCCTTCTGGGCTCAAGCGATCCTCCCCCTTCAGCTTCCTGAGCAGCTGGGACTAGAGGCATGTGCCACATGCTGGCTAATTTTTGTATTTTTTGTAGAGACGGGGTTTTGCCATGTTGTCCTGGCTGGTCTTGAACTCCTGACTCAAGCAATCCTCCTGCCTTGGCCTCCCAAAATGCTTGGATTATAGGCATGAGCCACCACACCTGGCCTTGGGTGGAAACCTCTAGAACGATATTACATACTTCCTCGTATTCATAAGTAGAAGATATGGGACATAAAGTGTTTCTGTTACTGATCTGAGGTCCTTTGCTATGATCGGTGATACCTGGAGGAGACCATGCAATACACCTGCCCTCAAGAACCAGGAAGAAGGTAAGTGGGACTTCAACTGGCAAAATCCACACAACGGGCATGACCAACAAGCTTAGGGTGCGAACCAAGAGGGGTCAGAGAAAGCCAGATAGAAGCTTTTGGGCTACTTTGAATCTGATCAAGCAAAGGACCTGGTGGCCATTGTGGGTGGGCAGGAAGAGTGTGGCTGTCAATCACTAAACAGAAAGCCAGAGTACTTAGGTGAAGCTGCAGGAATAGGAGGAGTGGTCAGCATGGCCTAGACCAGGGATCAGGGATGTGCAAAGAGCCCGCCGCAGGTGGCGCCTTTCCAGTGGGTGAAAGGGGAGCAGGACCCCGGATGGGGTGGGGAAGGCCCCACCCCAGAATGCGGTGTTGGGCAGAAAGTGTCACCAGCCCTCCACAGTTGGGCGAAATGATCATTTCCCTCCGCTCTGATTCCACACACCCCAGCAACCCAGTATTGGTGAATTCAACTTTCCTCTATTAGGGTCCTGGATAGGGCTCCTGTTCAGGATGTGGCATTCCAGGATGGATAGGGATATTGTCGCTGGGGAAATGATTAGATTTATGGTACAAGAGCCTCCTCCTGGCCAGAGGCTAAGCTGATCTTGGGCTATGCTGCCTCCACCAAGGCGCCCCCAGTCCCCTGCAGGAGCTTCTCACTCCAGGGCCACTTACAACCCTCAACTGTCCCTTCCTGATAACAGCTATGAGCCTGAGGCCTGCACTTGCTGTCAGATGGAGACACTCGGGTACAATGATGCCATGCAGAGCAAATTACCCCCTCCCACAAGTGGCCTCAAGCTGGCAGTGTGAGTTTTCTGTCTGTTCTTAGAGCTGTGCCGTCTCCTTCTACGGCCGCACCTGTTTTCTGCTGCCTTCCCAGGTCTTTCCCTCACTGGAATCCCTCCTCCTCATCTGCTGGGAAGTGAGAACAGACAGCCACACTCCTACCATTGGGCCACTTAGAACTGGCTTGGGTTGTAGGGGCTGATGAATGGGACAAGCTTGAGCTCGTGGACTTGCTGGTGGCTCCCTTGGTGGCCCTGAGGCTCTGGGTTTGGTGGTGCCATGTGCCTCTGGGTTGGGGGCTTCATCCTGGATTCAATGAGGCTCTCATGCCTTGAGAGTCATAGCTCTTCAGCTATGAAGCATGATGCAGTTGTGGGCAGAAAGCTATGACTTTTCAGCTTTAAAGTCACCCTGTCCCCACAGATCACTCGGGAAGGCCTGTCCAGCCTCATTCCTGTGTTTCCCCTCCTTTCGGGTCCCCCCAATGTAGTTCATGTGTGTGCAAGGACCAGGCTTGTGCTGGGCGCTTCCACAACACAATCCCAGGTGTCCTCGGACTCTGTATCTGTCCTGCCCAGGTCTCCCCTGCAGCTCTGTAAGACCCTAGAGCCCCACAGACCCCACTGAATGAGGCCTTCAGCAGCCCCACTGAGAGCCTTAAGCTTCCAGGAAGTTTGCCCCAAATTCAGAAACAAAAACAACATTGGCAGACTTACTCTTCTCGATGATGGCCAAGGCTCTGAAAAACAGAAATGAGAACAAGATGTGAAATTCCACTTGCTAAAGGACAGTCCTGCCCACGTGGAGGTGAGGGGTGACGAGGGAAAGATGGAGCTGGCTGGGGCTCCCAGGAAGGGATCCTGAGCCTAGTTCGTGCCACACCCTGGAGAGTCCTGTAATTCACACTGAGAAGTGTAGAGGAAACTTACTTCAGTCTCTGGTGTTCAGCCATGGCGTCCTCAAAAGCTATAAGAAGGACAGAGGAGAAAGCGGGGCATCAGGGCCTCTGCTGTCCGATGGTGGGGACAGGGTGACCCTGGGAGCAGAGCTTATCCCTGACTGTCTTCCACTCTCCTCCTCATTCCAATGTTCCTTTGGGTGACTGCCAGGATTGGGTGGGAAGGTAGGTGTCACCTTGAAAGACCATGGGATTTTCTTTTTTCTTTTTATTTAGTTAAAAAAAAAAGCTTTCTTTCTTTAACACCTATCCCAGAGTAATCTTTATTATCGTTCTTTTATTTTTTGAGACAGGGCCTCACTCTGTTGCCCAGGCTAGAGCGTAGTGGGTGATCACAGCTCATTGGAGCTGCTATCTCCTGGGCTCAAGCAATCCTCCCACTTCAGCCTCCCGAGTAGCTGGGAATACAGGCACGTGCCGCCATGATAAATAATTTTTGTTTTTTGTAGAGATGTTGCCCCGGCTTGTCTCAAACTCCAGAGCTCAAGCGATCCTCCCACTTCAGCCTCCCAAAGTTCTGGGATGACAGGTGTGAGCCACTGTGCCCAGCCTAACCACGGGATTTTCTAAGCAGGTTTCTCTGCAGACATAGGTGGATGGCTCACCTTGCCCTGAGAGATCTGTCGAGAGCTGCCGGGCTTCCTTCCCTGCAGCTATTTCCAGAGTGTATTTGCCCTTGTCTGAGTCTTTGGGGTCCAGGATGTGAAGCCAGATCTCATCCAGGGTGGTGCCCACCCTTATGCGATCACCGCTCTCCAGGCGTTTGTCTCTGAATGTGAGGGCAGAGCAATAGTTAAGGCTGCCTGTCTGCAGGTCAACAGACACCCCTGCCCCAAAATCCTCGCCTGTGGTTTTGTTTCAAGATCCATGGGCTGTGGGTGATGGCCATTAATGAGGCACTGGATAAGTATCTGTTCACTTTCTCACTCATTATTCAATGCTCCATTCATCATTCAATACTTCATTCATTCATTCATCAGTTCTTGTGGCATGACAATTATGTGTCGGTGCTGAGTCTGCATTTGTGATGGGTGCTGCAGGCAGGGACCCTAAGGAAATGATGCTTTAGGGTAAGTGGCTGCCACTTCCCTCACTCTCAGGAGCCAGCTTCCTCACCTCTTTATTCTCCTCCTTTTAAACCCTCCCAGGCTTTCCTCCCGCAAGCACTCTCCTCTAACCTTTAGAAACCATATAAGGTTAAATTTCTCCCTTTTTTTTTTTTTTTTTTTTTTTTTTTTTGAGACGGAGTTTTGCTCTTGTTACCCAGGCTGGAGTGCAATGGCGCAATCTTGGCTCACCGCAACCTCTGCCTCCTGGGCTCAGGCAATTCTCCTGCCTCAGCCTCCCGAGTAGCTGGGATTACAGGCACGTGCCACCATGCCCAGCTAATTTTTTGTATTTTTAGTAGAGACGGGGTTTCACCATGTTGACCTGGATGGTCTCAATCTCTTGACCTTGTGATCCACCCGTCTCGGCCTCCCAAAGTGCTGGGATTACAGGCGTGAGCCACCGCGCCCGGCCCAACTTCTCCCCTTCTTTACTTAAATTTCATTCCTAGAGACACTGTCCTCTGTCCCCAGTGTTGTGCTGCAGAGGTGACACCTCTGTGCTTAGTTCCAGGGCTCAGAAACTCTGGCTGGGGAAGGAATCTATCGTCCTGAAATTCCATCTGTCCTTGGCTCTCACTCATTTGACAACCTTGACCAAATCAGTCTCGCCTTCTCCATAGAATGGGTGTAGTAATGTCTGCTCCACAAGGCTGAGGCGTGCACATGATAAAAAGCACTGGGAAAACTCTGCTGTCGAATTATCTGGGGTCTCTCAGAGAGTGGCTGAGTCTCGGTAGGCACCTCATCTATCCTGCCTTCAAGCCCTGGCCCTCAGCAAGTGATCAGCCCCACACACCCTTCTCCTGCATGTTTCTCCTAAGCCTGGCTGATTAAGTTTGCTAAGGCTGCAGAGGCCCACAAAGGCGCCCTGACCCACCTGACCACTTGGCTCTTCTTTGTCCCTTCATCCTTTCTCCCCCAGATGCTGCTCAGAGACTGACCCTGCTGTGGCCATAGAGTTTCCAGAAACATGTTGTCCCACCAAGGTTCCCATCTTCCCTGGGGGATCTCAGCAAAGCCTTTCTCCTCCTCCCACTGCTAATCTCTATCCTCAACTCCTCTGTAGATAGCAGGACCAGTGAGAGACCCTGTTTGCCAACCCCCCAGACTGGGCTTTGCTTGGAGGACCGGGCAGGGAGAAGGGATGGGAACCCTGTGGGGCAGGTGCTGAAACCTTTCCAGCCTGGCTGGGGCTCTGGGGCAAGGCGGACCTACTTGTGGAACCAGGTGGTTTTCATGTACTCCACGTTGTAGTACTTGACCTTGCTGAAGATCCGGATCCCTTCCTCAGTCCCCTGGATTTTCAGTGGCGTTGCAGAGAGGGCTGGGGAGACAGAGGAGAAGGGTGAGTCTTCCCTGAGTCCATTTGGGCATCACGTTTTGGGACCAGCTTGTCTGCTTCTGCTCTTGGGGAGGGGGCAGGTGCTGTCGGGGGAATGTAGGGCTGTGAGAGGCAGGATTTTCTCTTCAATGTTTGAGGTTGGAAACTAGACCCACTCCCGATAGCCAAGGCTGGTGTTAGGCTGCTTGGAGGCTGCTGGGCATCAGGGCAGGGCTGGGCAAAGAGGCAGGCTGCTTACCACCAATCCTGCCCAGCTCAGTGAAGATGGCATCCAGGGCTGGAGAGAGACAGAGAGAAGGGTTAGTTGGCAGAGGACTCCCCTAGGGATGTGCTAAGAGTGGGGACATCCTTGAAAAAGGCTGGTGGAGCCCATGAGCTGCTCTAGGGGTGGACAGGGAGCTCTGCAGGATGACTGTCATGGCTTGGGGATAGGAAGGTTCAGGGTACTCAGCAGTGGGGTGGGGAGAAGGGCACTAGGTGTGGAGGACAAGCATGCAAACCTGACGGGTTTTTGTAGGCTGAGCCGATCAGCCTGATGGGGAACCTGGGCCTGCTGTGGGACGGAGGAGTGAACTCAGGCTTCGGGTTTCCAAGCCTGGGCTCACTGTGATATACTGTGGTGAACACAAGCATCAGAGTTACACAGACCTGGTTCCTGCCATTGACTAGCTGTGGAAACTTGGGCAAGTCACTTAATCTCTTTGTGCCTCAATTTCCCCAAGTGACATGGGGATCCCATAAATCTTACTGCACAGATCACATCACAGTCCACCCCACTGCACTCCCTCTGCAGCCCCCTGACCTAGCACCAGCTCCTACCGTCACCCGTGAGGTCCAATATGGTGTCGTCCTCCCCTCGATCGTCAGAAACCATCGCTCTGTAAATCCCCTTGTCCTTTTTGGACAACTGGAAAGAAGGATGAGCGATGGTGCTGTCAGCATGGGCTCCAGAAGGAGAGATAGATACCAAATCAGGAGGCCTGGCCTCCAGGCCTGCCCCTAGTTCTCTGCATGACCTCAGGTAAGACCCTTCTCCTCCTGGGGCCTCCGTTTACTCATCTGAGCTGGGTGATCTCTAAGTCTCCTTTCAGCTCCAGAGCCCTTGGATTCCTAGCTCCAGGCTTTTCTGGGCCTGGGGAAGGGGTGGAGTAGGAGGAGCTGAGGGTCGAACTAGACACCTTCATGTGCTTTCACAGGCAGCTGTTCTGAGCACTACAGTGAGCCTCACTTTGTGAGCTTGTCTGACCTGGCACAGCTTTCACTCCCTGGTGGCTCCTGGATGGAGGGACCCCCACCACCTGCAGCTCCCCAGGAGGAAGCATGTTTTCTCTTGCCTAGGACGGGGGGTCATTTTGACCTGTGTTTGTCAGCCCCAAATTAAGTCTGAATCTCAGCAAAGCAAGAACTTGAGTTGTGCTTTCAAGGCAAGGTCCAGAGATCAGAAGTGACCTCTTATTACATAGCAGCTTCCTTAAGGCCTGGGAGTGATATTTGTCTTCCCAGCCCCTCATCTCTCTCTCTCTTTTTTTTTTTTTGAGATGGAGTCTTGCTCTGTCACCCAGGCTGGAGTGGAGTGGTATGATCTCAACTCACTACAACCTCTGCCTCCCAGATTCAAGTGATTCTCCTGCCTCAGCCTCCCGAGTAGCTGGGACTACAGGTGCATGCCACCACACCTGGCTAATTTTTTTTTTTTTTTGTATTTTTAGTAGAGACGGGGTTTCACCATATTGGCCAGGCTGGTCTTGAACTCCTGACCTCGTGATCTACCCACCTCAGCCTCCCAAAGTGCTGGGATTATAGGTGTGAGCCACTGTGCCCGGCCACTCATCTCTCAATACTTCCCACTGGGACCATCTCCACACAGTGGGTTTGGGGCAGGGTCCAAGACAGAGGCAGCTTTTAACCTGAGGATTGAGGTGCTGAGCCCCAAAGTCCTCTCTTATGTCTCACCAACCCATGAAGGCTCCAAGGTCTCAGCCAAATCCAGGGTGGGTGACTGGAGTGGCTCCTGACCCCACCCTCTAGACTTGTGTCTTTGTACTGAAATCCTCTGAGCCTCAGTTTACTCATCTGTAAAATTACAGCACCATCCTTGCCCTGCCTTTGTGCTACAGCTGTTGTAGGGGATCAAGGAAGGTAACTCTTAGGAGGCCAGAAAGTTTGCACCAATGGGACTGATGATTACTCCATAACTATTAAGCACTTACTTGGTGCCACACTCTGTTTGAGGAGCTTGCACAGTGGTGGCAAAGGCTGACTTGGCATCAGCCTGGGCAGGATTTGGGAGAAGACCTGGAAATCATTGTTTTCTTCCTAACCAGCAAACCTCTGTTCAGTACTCCTGGGCACCCAGTGAGGCCAAAGACATCAGCAGCAGGGCGGAAAAAGGTTGATGTTTAAGAGTAAGCCTTGGGTTTCTCTCTTAATCAGGCCACAGTCCGCCAAAGACCACTGGGGTGGGGTGGTGGTGGGGACTTGCGGGGAGAATTGAGCTTCAGGCCTGCTTTATGCTGCCAAATCTGCCTCACATGGAGACTCCCTTCCTGTCTTGAATCCTAGACTGTTGGAGCAGGAAGGAGGCATTGAGAGAGCATCCCTTCCAATTGGCTCATGTTGCAGATGAAAGCTGAGGTCAGAGAGGGACAGGGGCTAGCCCAAGCCTGCACAGTCATTGGCAGGGCCAGTAATGGAGCTAAAGAAAAAAAATCAGTAATACTGATTCTGTCTCTATTGAAAATTTAGGGCTTTTGGCCGGGTTTTGGCTCACACCTGGAATCCCAGCACTTTGGGAGGCTGAGCCGGGCAGATCATGAGGCCAACAGATGGAGACCATCCTGGCCAACAAGGTGAAACCCCGTCTCTACTAAAAATACAAAAATTAGCTGGACATGGTGGCATGCGCCTGCTATTCAGGAGGCTGAGGCAGGAGAATTGCTTGAACCTGGGAGACAGAGGTTGCAGTGAGCTGAGATTGTGCCACTGCACTCCAGCCTGGGCAACAGAGCAAGACTCCATCTCAAAAAAAAAAAAAAAAAAAACCTGAAAAGTTTTTAAATAGGTTTTTGCATTAATTTTGATTTTTTAAAGAATGTTGCATACAATATTATTTATCTTGATTACTGAGTTTTTTGGTGCCCCTTAAATTTTGTGCTCAGGGCCTCACTTGCATCAACCGAGCCTCGGCCCTGCTTCTGACTCCCAGCCCAGAGCTCTTGGCCCTCCCTGGCTCGCAGCTGAAGGAGAAGGTGAGCCCTGAAGCTGGAGCCACACTTGCCTCTTCGATGCAGAGAAGTCCTGTTCCCGTCTCTGGGTCATACTGACCATCTGGCATCTCTGCCCTCTGGAAGAACCACTGAAAGCGAGTCTCCTTCTTGGTATTGGTCACCTGGGGAAGTTGGGGAATGAGGAGACTCTGTCAGGCTTTCTCTCTTTTTGAGTAAAAACACACCTGTGTACACTTTCGGGCATCTAAGCCGATTCTTTTCACATACCGTGTGTCTCCTCTGCTGGATTCTTGCTAAGAATTTTCCCTTTGCCTCTTGATGCCTGGCCTACTCTATTTTGCTTGTAAATGTCCATACGCTTCTTACTGACTCAGTTAAATGTCCTCTCCAGGAAGCCACAGTCACCCCCCATCATGATTAATCAATTTCCTGCCCCTCTCTGGATCACGCATGAGGCATGCTGTTTCCCAAGGATCCTGCCTTGACCCACAGAGACCAACCACTTCTTCATCTTTGTACGTTCAGTACCCTGCAAAGTGGCACGTAACAGATGCTCTGAGTTTACTGAATGAATACGCTCTGGGAGAGCACCCACCCTCCCCTTCCCCAGTTATCTAAAGACACTGGAGGGTGCCAAGAAGGACCTTAGGATTTGGGGTCAGATAGACTTGGATCAAACCTGGGCTCTACCTCTTACTGTGTGGTCTTGAGCTATTTCCCCATTTGTTTTCTCATCTATAAAGTGGGGACAATAATGCCTATCTCACAGATGATTGTGAGGCGATGAAATGATACTGTGAGTCTCTGAGCACAGGCTAATAATAAAAGGACAGGGATACTCTTCAGCATATAAACCCTCGCAGTCTCCCAGATCTCATGACCCCTCAGAATCCCTTCTGGAGCCACTAGGATCTAGTTCAAGGCTGGCCCATCTCACACTAATCCTACCCTGTGGGTGCTGGGAAGGTGGGTTTATTTTTGGGGTTAAATGTAGTCTCCTTGGGGGTACTTCTGTGTGTGAGAACAGCGAAGCGCAGAGTATGGAATTTAGGGGGCGGGGGTGGGCAGGGACAGCCACTGGGCTTGGGGACAAGCCACAAGTCCTCCCCGCCCCGCCCCGCACTGGGCCTGGGGGCAGGGCAGGAGGAAGGGCAGGACTTGCCTTGCATATCAGCTGCACTTGGCAGTCCTCCGTGATCTTCCATTGCAACGGCTGCTCAAAATAAGGACCTGTGTGTGCAAAACAAAGGTGCCCGTCGTCAGAGCCAGGGTGCCACTCGTGTCCAGGTGGTGGTGGGGGGAGCCGGCAGCTAATGGCCATGGGCTCCTTAGTGTCGCTCTGCCAGGGCTGGGACTGGGGTGAGGCAAGGGGGGTGCTCCGGGTGCAAATTTCTTTTTTTTTTTGAGACACAGTCTCGCTCTGTTCACAGACTGGAGTGTAACGGCAGTCTCAGCTCACTGCAACCTCTGCCTCCTGGGCTCAAGGATTCTCGTGCCTTAGCCTCTTGTATAGCTGGGATTACAGGGGCGTGCCATCATGCCCGGCCAATTTTTGTATTTTTTGTAGACAGGGGGTTTCACCATGTTGGCTAGGCTGGTCTTAAACTCCTGGCCTCGAGTTTAAGTACTTGCCCGCCTCGGCCTCCCAAAGTACTGGGATTACAGGTATGAGCCACTGCACCTGGCCTCAGGGTGCAAAATTTAAGAGGGATTGGCTCTCACCCTCAGGTTAGCCAAGAGCTGTTTTGATCTGGCACTGGGACAGAACTGGACTGAATGGTGGAGCACCTCCCTTGGGGGCCCAGCAGGGCTGGGGGTCCCATTAACCCCTAGTCCAGCATCTCTAGCATGAACCAGTGGCCAGAGATTTTGAACTTCATTCCAGCAGCTCTTACCCTGTTTTCTCTTCCAGTCCCTTCTCTTAGCATCTGCCTTCCTCAGAAGTTTGTCAAAATCTGTGAACACAAAGGGAGGAACCCGCATGAGCTGAGAGGAGTGTGAGTCCAGAGAGGGAACATGGCACGGACAGAAGGCGAGGGGTGTGCTCAGCAGGCTGCAGAGCCGAGGGTTCAGGGCCACAGGGCAGGCTGGGTGTGCGAGGCAGGGTGGGGCGGGGCTGACCGTCATCCACCAGTGTCAACGTAATCTGGTTTTTGGCTTTTCCGTCTTGGAGTTGAGCGGTGTACGACCCTTTGTCCTCCTCAGACAAGTTCTGGATGATCACTTCCACCAGGCCCTTCTCTCGCTCAAAACTGATTTTGCGGTTCTGAAAAGGACAAACTCCAAAGTCCTTTTTGCACTTTCCCTGTTCCGGAAACTTTGTTGTGGGGCGCACATCAGGGTGTAGTGGGCTTGGGGTGGCAAGTGCAGAGCTGTCAGCCTTCAGAGACTAGGGCAGGGCGTCGGATAAGCCTCTGTGGCTCCCCCTACACCCAGTCCCTGGATGCTTGAATCAGTTACAATTTTGTTTGTTTTGAGACAGTCCCACTCTGTTGCTCAGGCTGGGGTACAGTAGCGCAATCAGTTACAATTTAATAATAAGCCCCCAACTCCTGCTGTGCCATGATTTTGCTCATTTTCTTTTTTTTTTTTTGAGATGGAGTCTTGCTCCATTGCAATGTCTCTCTCCATTGCCCAGGCTGGAGTGCAGTAGTGCAATCCTGGCTCACTGCAGCCTCTGCCTCCCGGGTTCAAGCACTTCTCCTGCCTCAGTCTCCCGAGTAGCTGGTACTACAAGCACATGCCAACACACCCGGCTAAGTTTTGCATTTTTAGTAGAGACAGGGTTTCACCATGTCGGCCAGGCTGGTCTTGAACTCCTGGCCTCAAGTGATCTGCCTGCCTTGGCTTCCTAAAGTGCTGGGATTACAGGTGTGAGCCACCATGCCCAGCTACTTATTTTCAATTTTTTTTCAAATAGGAAAAAAACCCCATCAACATGTGTAAAGGATAATGGAAAAAAATACCCCTGTACTTGCTACCCAGAATTAACACTCATTTACATTTTACCATATTCTAACAGTTATTAAAGTTTCATTATCCTCGTCTAGGTTCTTTCTTCCTCTGGCTTTATTTGTATGTATGATTTGGGGGAGTGATCTAATTTTGTTTTCCTATAGGGACAACTGATGATCCCACCACTGAATACTAATGAGTCCAGACTTTGTAACACTTCCTATACCACGTGGTAAGGTCACTGCATAATCTTCAGTTTTCTGACTTGCACTTTTTGATCCTGGGACAACCAGCCCCATTACACAGATGCAGAAACAGAGGCACAAGACAGGTGAAGAGACCTGCCATGATCATATAACCCACAGCCGGTGGACATGAATCTCCTGTCTGAACTAGCGCCCCCTTTCTATAATGCATATATTATTATTATTTTTTGTCATTGGACCTTTGATATATATATAACACATATTTTCTTTTCTTTTTTTTTTTTGACAGTCTCACCCTGTCGCCCAGGCTGGAGTGCAATGGCATGATCTCGGCTCACTGCAACTTCTGCCTTCCAGGTTCAATGATTCTCCTGCCTCAGCCTCCTAAGTAGCTGGGAGTACAGGTGCATACTGCCTTTTTTGTACTTTTAGTAGGGATGGGGTTTCATCATGCTGGCCAGATTGGTCTCGAACTCCTGACCTCAGGTGATCCACCTGCCTTGGCCTCCCAAAGTGCTGGGATTGTAGGTGTGAGCCATTCCACCTGGCCACAACACATATTTCCTAATGGCTGCTTTGCCATCTGGAGATGAAATTCACAAGTAATATGAGATTGAATCATGAATTTGAATCTCTCATGAGATTGAAATTGTCACATCAGCAGGTAAACAGTTGAATATCTAGAAATCACGGGGTTTGGCCAGGCGTGGTGGCTCACGCCTGTTATCCCAGCACTCTGGGAGGCCGAGGCGGGTGGATCACGAGGTCAAGAGATCGAGACCATCCTGGTCAACATGGTGAAACCCTGTCTCTACTAAAAATACAAAAAAAATTAGCTGGGCATGGTGGCACGTGCCTGTAATCCCACCTACTCAGGAGGCTGAGGCAGGAGAATTGCCTGAACACAGGAGGCGGAGGTTGCGGTGAGCCGAGATCACGCCATTGCACTCCAGCCTGGGTAACAAGAGTGAAACTCCAACTTAAAAAAAAAAAAAAAAAAAAGGCTGGGTTCGGTGGCTCACGCCTGTAATCCCAGCACTTTGGGAGGCCGAGGCGGGTGGATCACGAGGTCAACAGATCGAGACCATCCTGGTCAACATGGCAAAACCCCGTCTCTACTAAAAATAGAAAAAATTAGCTGGGCACGGTGGTGCGTGCCTGTAATCCCAGCTACTCAGGAGGCTGAGGCAGGAGAATTGCCTGAACCCAGGAGGCGGAGGTTGTGGTGAGCCGAGATCGAGCCATTGCACTCCAGCCTGGGTAACAAGAGCGAAACACTGTCTCAAAAAAAAAAAAAAAAGAAATCATGTGGTTCAATCTAATACAACATATTTACAGATATGATATACAAAATAATATCAACTGTAATACTTATAAAATATTTACAAAATAATGTCAACTGTAATATAAAGAAAAAATGTCATTTAAAATAAAATAAAATATAATGAATTGGTTTGACTTTAAGAGAAGAAAAGCAAAAAATCAGAAGCTATTCTGTACAAAAGCAGGAAAATGAATGAGCATAGGGAAAGTGGCTAGCAGAATACAAATTCTCTATTCAGTGTATAGTAACATTGCATACTTTGGGAGGCTGAGGCATGAGGAGTGCCTGAGCTCAGGAGTTTGAGACCAGCCTGGGCAACAAGGCAAAACCCCATCTCTACAAAAAAATACAAAAATTAGCTGGGTGTGGTGGTGTGTGACTGTGGTCCCAACTACTCGGGAGGCTGAGGTGAGAGGATTGCTTGAGTCCAGGACGTTGAGACTGCAGTGAGCTGAGATTGTGTGCACTCCAGCCTGGGTGACAAAGCGAGATTCTGTCTCAAAAACAAACAAAAACAGAAAACAAAAAATAAAATTGTTTGCGAGGTTGAGGAAGAAGTATTACTTGAGGCCAGGAGTTCAAGACCAACCTGGTCAACATAGTGAGCCCCCATCTCTAATTTAAAAGATTTTTAAAAAACAAACAAACAAAAAATTGGCTGGCCATCGTGGCTCATTTCTGTAATCCCAGCACTTTGGGAGGTGAAGGCAGGTGGGTGGAGGTTGCAGTGAGCAGAGATCCCACCATTGCATGCCAGCCTGGGCAACAGAGCAATACTGTCTCAGAAAAAAAAGAAAAGAAAAGAAAAGAAGGAAGGAAGGAAGGAAGGAAGGAAAGAAGGAAGGAAGGAAGGAAGGAAGGGCTAGGCGCAATGGCTCATGCCTGTAATCCTAGCACTTTGGGAGGCCAAGGTGGGCGGATCACCTGAGGTCAGGAGTTCAAGACCAGCCTGGCCATCATGGTGAAACCCCATCTTAAAAAAAAAAAAAAAAAAAGTGAAAAAGAAAGAAAGAAACAAACAAACAAAAATTTCAACCTGCTGAAACTAAAGAAGAAATAGAAAACCTGAATAGTTCGGCTGGGTGCAGTGGCTGACACCTGTAATCCCAGCACTTTGGGAGGCTGAGGCAGGCAGATTACAAGGTCAGGAGTTCAAGATCAGCCTGGCCAACATGGTGAAACCCTCTCTCTACTAAAAATACAAAAATTAGCTGGGTGTGGTGGTGGGTGCCTGTAATCCCAGCTACTTGGGAGGCTGAGGAAGGAGAATTTCTTGAGCCCAGGAGGTGGAGGTTGCAGTGAGCTGAGTTGGTGCCACTGCTCTCCAGCCTGGGCAACAGAGTGAGACTCTGTCTTAAAAAAAAAAATTGTGCAAAAATACTCTGTATTTATATCTAAAACAGAGTTAGGATCTAGGCTTGGATACTTTTAGGCATGAATACAGGTTTTTCATCTTAAGAATGTCTGGTGGGGTAATCAAAAATAGGGGGCATGGAAATTCTTTGTTTGTGGGAATGTCCCTTGCACTGGCCAGCCTCTAGTGTTCCTGCCAATCCCCACCCCCAACACCAGCACTAATACTAAAAGCCAAACGTCCCCATCCCTTCCCCATCACTGGACTGCAAAAGCACACTGTCGTTTCTGAAATGCCCACTAGGGGGAAGTACCAGCCTGTGCAGAATCACTGCCCCGAGAGACCACTTCCCAGGCAGGGGAGCCTCACTTTAGGGGTTGTGAGCACCCAATTACCGGAGAGCTGAAGATCTCCTTCTTGTTGAAGATTAGATGTAGCTCAGCGGCGGGAGATAACTTTTCTACTTCCAGCCAAAGCCGCACCTCCCCTCGTTCCAGGAGGTCAATGTTCCAGCCCGAGATCAGTTTGATCACTGTGGGAGCCACAGGACAGGAAGGGGGTGGGTTAAGCCCTCTTATCCCTTTCCCCCTCCCTTCAGCCCCACCTTGAGTACATCCTTCGCATTCTGACATGCAAAACGTTTACAGAACCTGAAGGAGACACCACTGGGTGGGCTCAGAGGAGGGATTTTCCGAATGCCCACTCCAGATTTAATTAATCTCAGCAAATCGTTTCCTCTTCTAAGAGCTCTGGGGCTGAAGTTCTCACCCTGGCAGGGCATTGGATCCCCAAGGACTTTCAAAAACCCTGGGCTCCACCCTCAGAGATTCTGATTTGTCTGGTGCCTGGCCTAGGTATTGGGATTTGGACAGGTGTCAGCATGGTTCTGCTGTGCAGCCAAGTTTGTGACTTCCCCTGCTCTAGGGACTGCACACACTGTTCCTAACCAACAGAGGGAAGCAGAGGTTTAGATGATCCCGAATCCTAATGACTAAAGAGCCAGTGATAGTAACTATAAAAACAGGAACATGCCCACATTTCCCCGCCTCGAATCCCTTCCCTTTCCTGATGCTCTTTTCCTTCCGTGAGCTTCCTGGGTGGTCTCTGACCTTCTAGCCCCGTGGCTCCCCCACGCTCCGTCCCTCTGGGATTGTTTCCTGGTCCTTGGCATGGCTCTACTCTGCTCAGAACATGCCAGTGGGCCCAGTGGGAGCTGCACAAGCAGGGCTGGCAGCGTGGACTGCTTACCTGGGTTTCTGATCTCATGACTCAGCTTCTTTAGTCTCTCCAGCTCTGGGATGGGGGGAGTAAGGAAGAAACCACAGAGAATGAGATATCATGGTGGGGAGTGGGGGGCCCATGGGAGCCATCCTAGGATCCTGTGCTGGGTCAAATTTCCAAGAGACACCTCCCCGCAATGTGGGGTCCCTTGGCTTCTTAGGGGCCATGATGAGCTCTGTGGGCATTTGCCCTGGGGCACTGAGGGTGATGCCAGCACTACTGCTGGTCACCCTGAGATTGCTGCGTCTTCTGTCCTTCAAGGCCTAGATCAAGTCCCACCACCCTGGAGGAGTGCCTGGCATGTGCCTGGTTCTGCACACCTCATTAGTCCTCTGCAGTGCTGTGGGCTGAGCGTTACCGTCCCCCTCTGGTCACTCTAGGACCACTGGTGCCAGGGCCTCATTGCTTATCCCTGTCATATGCTGTCCCAGGGTCCCAGGGTCTGGACCACACACCAAGCATTGCAGCCCAGAAGTCTCGGACTGTTCTAGAATGCTGTCTCATTTGCTGACTGCTTCTTCTTTTTCTTTTTTTTTTGAGACGGAGTTTTGCTCTTGTTGCCCAGGCTGGAGTACAATGGTGTGATCTGGGCTCACTGTAACCTCTGCCTCCCTGGTTCAAGCAAGTCTCCTGCCTCAGCCTCCGAAGTAGCTAGGATTACAGGGCATGTGCCACTGCACCCATCTAATTTTTGTATTTTTAGTAGAGACAGGGTTTCACCATGTTGGCCAGGCTGGTCTTGAACTCCTGACTTCAGGTGATCCACCCACCTCGGCCTCCCAAAGTGCTGGGATTACAGGCGTGAGCCACGGCACCCGCCTGCTGACTGCTTCTTTGTGTTGCCTCTCCTGCTAAGGTGAGCCCTGAACCTACATGAGTGTCTTGTACACAGTAGGTGCTCAGTCAATATGGACCCTGTGAATGAACTGTCAGGGGCAAAGCCCATTCCTCATTTCCCTAGTAAGCCCCAGAATCCTTAACAGTCTAGATTCATGGGAAGCACACAGCAAACAAAACAAAAAAAAAAAACACCATCATTTTTGTGGATGGCCTTAGTTTGGATAGGATGATCTGATTGTGGCTGCAGAACAATACTGCTTCAGGTGGGGGCAGCCAGGGATTATAATCCCTCTTCACGGGTGAGGCCCAGTAAGGTGGCGTGACTTGTCTAAAATGAGCCAGCAAATTATGGAACTGGAATTGGAACCCGGGTCTCTCTGGCTTCTGATTCTTAAAATCAAAAGGCCTCATGTGCCATGAGCAGGGCAGACAATGGGCAAGGGCCATCCCAGTTGCTATGGAGGTAGCAGAGCGTGAGTCTCATTGGTCATGAGCACAGGCTTTGGTTCAGTTTGATTTATCAAATATGGTTGGTCCTTTGGACATGCTATTCACTGTCTGGTTACCCACAGTCCCCAACACTCCCTATTGTCACCCCATTTCTCAGACCAACTGCCATTTGCAATTTATCATCACACTTGCACTGTTGTTTTTTGGGGCTATAGAAGGAAGTAAAAATAATTCTAGTACCTTTGCTTTTACTAAAAGTGGGAAAACAGGCCAGGTGCGGTGGCTCACTCCTGTAATCCCAGCACGTTGGGAGGCAAGGCGGGCAGATCACTTGAGGTCAGGAGTTCGAGACCAGCCTGGCCAACATGGTGAAACCCTGTCTCTACTAAAAATACAAAAGTTATCTAGGACTGGTGGCACATGCCTGTAATCCCAGTTACTCAGGAGGCCGAGGCAGGAGAATTGCTTGAACCCAAGAGGTGGAGGTTGCAGTGAGCTGAGATTGTGCCATTGCACTCCAGCCTGGGTGACAGAGTGAGACTCTGTCTCAAAAAAGAAAAAAAGCAAAAAAATGGGAAAACAAAAGAGAGACCAAAAAAATGTGAATTTCACTGGGTAGGGATTTTTGCCTGTTGAGTTCACTGATGTAATCTCCAGGGCTCAATAGGTATTTGTTGATGGAAAAATGGGCTGGTGAGGGCCGACTTCTCTGTGGAAATTTCCACTTTACTCATTTTGGTTGCTTTTTGCTGACCTCTGTGGGCACTTGTGTTTGAGACTCTCTCTCTGGGGAGGGGGTCGGGGGGGGAGGTGCATTACCTTCCTCGGTCAGGGTGTGGCTTGCTGGGAGGTGGTGGTGGGGGGAGGTGCATTACCTTCCTCGGTCAGTGTGTGGCTTGCTGAGATGTCTTCATCAGCATCAGTGACTATGACTGAGTAGGTGCCCACATCCTCGAGGCCAGGTTCTTTCAGGATGACCTTGGACCTGGCAGAGAGAGGTGTGCAGAGGCTCTGAGAGGAGCTTCTTAGTCCTGTGCACTGGCCTGGGAGCCAGGGAGTCCAGGTTGCCTCTGGTGAGCCTGTACCCCATGCAGACCCTGGCCAAGTCAGGAAGCAGGGGCAGCTGGCTCCTTCCACCTTCTCAGAGTCCCCTCTGGCCTGGCACTTTCAATGGTGCCATAATCTGGGCTCTCTGGCACTGGATCTGCACTGGCCACACCACCCTGACCTCTTCCAGGGCTTGAGGTGTAGGATTTATGCCTTGCTGGACACAGCTGAAGCCACGAGGTGCTGGGGGAGGAGTGAGACATGGGCATTTGACAGGGGCTCTTGTGGTCATCTGGTCCAACTCTTCATGTTATAGATGAGGAACCTGAGTACTGACAACTTGCAAGAGCAGGTCCCTGGCACCCAGGCTAGAAACCAAGTCCTCCTTGAAGGTCTCCTTGAAGGTCCTGAGTCAGAGGCACATACAGTTCCCTGCAGAAAAGGAATCTCCAGAAGAATGGTGCCATTGGCTGAGTGCAGTGGCTCACGCCTGTAATCCCAGCACTTTGGGAGGCTAAGCGGGGAGGATTGGTTGAGCTCAGGAGTTAGAGACCAGCCTGGACAACATCGTGAGACCCCATCTCTACAAAACATACAAAAATTAGCCAGGCATGATGACATGTGCATATAATCTTAGCTACTCAGGAGGCTGAGGCAGGAGGATTGCTTGAGCTTGGGAGGTCAAGGCTGCAGTGAGCCGAGATCATGCCATTGCACAGCCTGGGCAACAGAGCAAGACCCTGTCTCGAACCAAAAAAAAAAGAAGAAAGAAAAGAAAAAATAGCACCATTGCAGCCCCTTAAATGCACTCTCCACTCTTCTCACTAAGGTGGCAGTCAGCATCATCAGTGAAAGACCGAGCAGAGCCTTTCAACCATCACCAATGAGTCCTGCCCTGTGGCCTCAGCCAGGAGCCTCTGCCAGCTCCTCTGACAGCATTTGGGTCCCGTTGAGCAGTTGTTTCTCCTCTCCCCTCACTTACTTGTTAACTTCATCCTCGATCTTGACCCTCTGGGGGTCCAGTGGACCCTTGTAGTCTTTGGACCACTGAAACTCTGAGGAATCTGGGGCTTCAGGGGCTTCGAAAGCCAAATAGATAAAGCCCTCTTCATCCACACCAACCTCGATCTCATGGGCATCTAAGGGCGAGATCCAACAGAGGGCAGTGGATGTTTATGCATAATAAACCAGGTCATACCCTCCCGTGCTTAAACCTCCAGGGACTGCCCATTGCACTTAATAACAATAAACTTGACTCCTTCCTGCGGCTGCCAAGGCCTTGCATGATCTGGCTCCTTCTCAGCTCAAATGTCACCTCCTCAGAGAGGCCCTCCTTGACTGCCGTCGCTAAGCAACCTTGCCCCGTTCTATCACCCTGTTTTATTTCTTTTATAATAAAGCACTTATTCCTATCTTAAGTCGCTTTCCTTATGTAATAGTTTACTTGTTTACTGTCCTCTGCTCCCCCTGACCCCTATACTTTCTCATTCACTCCTGTATTCCCAGTGCAATGTGGGGATCACTAAATATTTGTTAAATGAATGAATAATTAAAAGAATGGAAGGAGAACATGCTTTATATAGTTGGGAGAGCTGAGTGACTCTGTCATATACCAGCGTGTGACCTGGTTAAACTTCTCCGACCTATAATAAGATCAGTGCAAATGTGGGATGATGACCCCTCCCTCAGGGGTTTGCTGGAGGGCCAGAGGAGTGTGAGGGCCTAGCATAGCATCAGGCTTCTCCCAACTTCCCTTGAACCCCACCCGTCCCGATGGCACAGCCCAGTGGCAGAGCTCTGGCCTCTCCGGCCACCCCTACCTGGCTTGTCCTCCAGGAACACGGGATCAGTGGGCATGGACGGTTGCCCCAGACCAGCTGAATTCATGGCCTGTACCTGGAACACATAACTCTTTCCTGGCTGCAAGTCAGAAACCTGGGAGCAGAGGGCAAGAGCCAGCAGTGAGGACAACAGTGACTCTTCCTGAAACCCGGGACCCAGCGTGCAGGGAACCACTCAGGGAGCTGCTCTCAGCAAGAAAACCCTCTCTCTTCCTGTGTCCCTCGTCTTTCCATGTGACACAGACATCCGTTCAACATCCGGGGATTGTCTTTGCCATCCTTTTCTTGGGCCCTCTCTACCAGTCACCAGGTTCCATCTGTTTTATTTCCCTAACGTTTCTTTTTCTTTTTTCTGAGATGGAGTTTCGCTCTTGTCGCTCAGGCTGAAGTGCAGTGACGTGATCTCTGCCCACTGCAACCTCCACTTCTCGGATTCAAGTGATTCTCCTGCCTCAGCCTCCCAAGTAGCTGGGATTACAGGTACCCGCCACCACCCCCAGCTAATTTTTGTATTTTTAGTAGAGACGGGGTTTCCCCATGTTGGCCAGGCTGTCTTGAACCCCTCACCTCAGGTGATCTACCTGCCTTAGCCACCCAAAGTGCTGTGATCACAGGTATGAGCCACTGCTCCTAGTCTTCCTAATGTTTCTTAAATGTGGCCACTTCCCTCCAGGTCCCAGCCACGGCTGTGTTGGAGGCTTCATTTCTCCTCACCTGGTGTAATCCAACAGTTTCCTAAAGGGCATTTCTGCCCTGGGATGCTTCTCCCCCTGTCTGTCTTTCCCTCTGCCAATCTGATGATGCTTACATCTTTTAGTGGCCTTCAAGGTCAAGTTCAAATTTCAAGGTTGAGTACCTCTAGTCTTCCTAACCTGGCTTTTGCCTGTTGTCCTCTTGCCCCTCCATCTGTCCCCTTCACTCCACAGCTCTCTCAGCGTCCCCACATCCATCACGTCATTTCACACCTCCCTGCCTTTGCCCTTGCTGAGCGCGCTGGCTGAAATGCCCTCCCGCCTCCCTCTCTGACTTACTCCAGTGTAGCCCGTGCTTCACCACCCAGTTTGGGCAGATACATGGATTCCAGGAAGCCCCTTGCACCTTCTCCTTTGAGCATCCAGAATTCCTGAGACCCCCTCCATTGCAGCATTTGTCACACAGTATCGTCAGTGCCTGCTACCCAAGAACTGTGACTTACTTAGCTTCTCATGCCTAGGAATTGGTCCAGGCCTGGCATTAAAGCAGTGTGAAGAAGTGTTTAGCCAACAACTTCCCGACCGAATGATGGCCAACTGTCCACATGCAGAAGTCGGTGCCAGGTCACCTAGGCTGTCCGGCCCTGGCCTGGGCCAACCTACATGCAGGCGGGGTGAGACCACTCATACAGGTGAAGACCTCAAGGTCTCAGCAGAGTCCCCTGGCTGAGACCCCTCTTCCCTGATTATGTCTGAGGTGACCTTATTTCATTGTTTTGTAAAATGAAAATATTTTAACTTTTTCCTATTATAAAAGAAATACACACTAGTTGGGAAAATTTTTAAGTAATAGAGTAGAACATGAAATGATGGACTAAAGCTCCGCTGGCAGGCCTTCCCCCAGAGATGACCAGAATGAACAATTTGGTAAAAAGCTTCGTAGACTTCTTTTTTTTTTTTAGATGGAGTCTTGCTCTGTCACCCAGGCTGGAGTGCAGTGGTGGGATCTTGGCTCACTGCAACCTCTGCCTCCTGGGTTCAAGTGATTCTCCTGCCTCAGCCTCCTGTGTAGCTGGGATTACAGGTATGTGCCACCACATGTGGCTAATTTTGGTATTTTGTTTTTTGCAGAGATGAGGTTTCAAGATATTGGCCAGGCTGGCTTGAACTCCTGACCTCAGGAGATCCACCCGTCTCAACCTCCTAGAGTGCTGGGATTACAGGCATGAGGCCCCTGTGCTCAGCCAAAATCTTTTTAGACTTTTACCAGCCCATAATCCACCTAGAAACAGGATATGCATGGTATACTATTTGTGAATGTCTTATTCTTTCCTATTGTTTTGGGCTTCTTGAGCCAGCCTTCTTTCCTCTGGGTGCTCCCTAGTGAAATGTTGACCAATGAGCCTGAAAACTGCATATCCTCCTGCCTGCTGGGGAAAAGCACCCAGGAAAACAGGCTGGAGAAATACTTTCCCTTTCCCTAGGGCTGCAGAAAATGGAACCTAATCCACATTACATTCTTGCAAATGTTCCTCAAATAAAGGAGGTCTCTGAGACACACTGGCCTTCGGTGTAGACACTCTGGCCTGTGAAAATGGCCTTCAGTCACCTGGAGGTTTAACTCTGACTGTCTAAGTTGGACGTTTGCATCTGCTAATAATGCTTCAAAAGACATCTTTGTTTCTTGATATGTATAAGTATTTGTGAGTTGTCTTGGTGAGACCAGAAGACTATTTGTGATTCCTTCCCTCCTGCATGTGTGGAAGTTAAAACAGCCACCACACCAGGAGAACAAAATCAGTGATTCTGCTAGACTTTCATTTAGCCAAAGACTCTAGAGTTTGTTTCACATTTAAATTGAGAACATGTATCTGCATACATGTTTAGTTATCTGTATGATATACTACACATTATATGTATCATATACTATTAATATGGATATCCTACTCTGTATTCTGCTTTTTCTTAGCCACATAGGATGGATATCCTTTTGTTTCAGTACATGCACAATACATGTAGGTCCACCTCATTCTTTTTTTTTTATTTGAGACAGGGTCTTGCTCTGTCCCCCAGGCTGGAGTGTTGTGGTACGATCATGGCTCCCTGTATGTAGCCTGGACCTTTCTGGGCTCAGGTGATCCTCCCACTTCAGTCTCCCAAGTAGCTGGGATTACAGGCATATACCACCATACTTGGTTAATTTTTAAACTATTTTTTGTAGAGATGAGGTTTCTCCATGTTTCCCAGGCTGGTCTTGAACTCCTGAGCTTGAGCAATCCTTCCATTTTGGCCTCCTCAGAGTGTTGAGATGAAAGGAATGAGCCACCAAGCCCTGCCCATCTCCATTCTTTTTACTGTTTTGTTCCTTTAACTGCCTTATTCTTTGTACTGCCTGGCACAGGATTCCACCTTTAAGGTGCACTGTGGTTAACTGAAGCACCCCCTACTCTAATAAACGTTTAAGTTGTTTCCAGCTTGAGCCATTATCAGCAAGGTTCAAGAAGCATCCTTGTCCTTAGATCTTTGCATATTTGCCTAATTACTTCTCTATAATTCAGTCCCAGAAGCAGAATTCCTGGATCAAGGGGTATGCCTGTGCAAAGGCTGATATACCTGGCTGATAGCAAGTGAGTCTTTTTTTTTTTTTTTTTGAGACAGAGTTTTGCTCTTGTTGCCCAGGCTGGAGTGCAGTGGTGTGATCTCAGCATACCACAACCTCCGCCTCCCAGGTTCAAGCAATTCTCCTGTCTCAGCCTCCCGAGTAGCTGGAACTACAGGTGTGCACCACCACGCCCAGCTAATTTTTTGTATTTTTAGTAGAGATGGGGTTTCACCATGTTGACGGGATGGTCTCGATCTCCTGACCTTGTGATCCGCCTGCCTCGGCCTCCCAAAGTGCTGGGATTACAGGCGTGAGCCACTGCACTTGGCAGCAAGTAAATCTTTAGGGAGGTATCTGCCTAGCATGGAACAGGATATGGGCACCAGCTAGCCAGACCTACTACCAACTTGCTGTGTGACCCTAGGTAAATCACTCCCCCTCTCTGGTCCTCTTCTGCCATTAAGGGAGGGCAGTGAGGTCTGGTGGTCATTCCATCTCTGATGCTCTAGTGGCAGGGCACAAAGGCACAAGAACTTACCCTCAGGTGGGTGCCAGAGATGGGGCCTGGGGTGACCGGCTTCCACTGCTCAGAGCCTTCCTCCTGGACACTGATGTGGTAACCGGTGACAGGCCCAGCCCCTGTGTACAGTGGGGGTTCCCACTGCAGTAACAGGGATGTGGCCCGTACCTCGGAAGCCCGGACATCATACGGGGGGCCTGTGAGAAATCAGAGATGGGCAGACATGTATGAGTTGGGCAGCCAGGAAGCCAGGTGGGCAGCAATCCCAGTGGTCAGTCAATAAGCTTGTCAATCCATCCGTCACAATCAAGCCTGGAAGGGCCTGCTCTGGGTGTCACTGAGCCCTGGTCAGCCTTGGCATCATGACAAAGCTTGGCTCTGGGCCTGAAACGGGGTTAACTTTTCAAAATGTGCTCAGCCTCCCCTCCTCCAGGAAGCTTCACTGACCTTCCCCGTCCCCATCCCAGAAAGCATTAATTCTTCTAAAGTGCTTCAGTGTTTAGTGTCCAGGCCAAGGGTGTGACTTCCAGAGTCAGACCTCTGGGGTTAGTGTTGAAGCTCCGCCCTTTTCAGATATGGGGGCTCTGGGCGAGTTACTTAGCCTCTACGCTCCTGTCCCCTCATCTGTAAAATGGGGATAATAATAGTTCTTATAATACAGTGCTTCTGTGAGCATTAGGGAGAATATTTATGAAAAGTATCTGGTACCTAGTAAGTACCCAATAAATATTAGTTGTTTATCATTGTTGCTGTTGAAAGCATCATACGTTGTAATTACCTGCCACTCAGGTAGAGGTTTTGTGTAGAAAACAGAACTGAGCTGAACAAAGCGATGGAAGGGTGTGCTTCTCCTTCCTCAGTGGGAGGTAAAGGGCTCATCTGTGAGAAGGCTTACACGGTTATGGGAGCAGTGGGTAGGGTGGCCAACTGTCCATCTGTCCAAGACTAAGAGGGTTCCTGGGACATGGGATTTTCATTAGTAAACTGAAAGTCTCAGGCAAACCAGCACTAGCTGCTCACCCTAGCAGTGCGCTATGGCCATGGTCTATGGCCAGAAGCAAAGCTCAGGCAGGGTCTCGAGTTAGGGAATAGTTTGTGCTGGGGTACAGAGCCAGTTGATGGCTCAGATCAGGGGTCCTTTTTTTTTTTTTTTTTTTTTTTTTTGAGATGGAGACTTACTCTGTCATTCAGACTGGAGTGCAGTGGCGCAATCTTGGCTAACTGTAAACTCCTCCTCCAGGGTTCAAGCAATTCTCATGCCTCAGCCACCCAAATAGCTGGGATTACAGGCATGTGTCACCATGTCTGGCTAATTTTGTATTATTAGTAGAGATGGGGTTTCACCATGTTGGCCAGGCTGGTCTAGAACTCCTGACCTCAGGTGATCCACCTATCTCAGTCTCCCAAAATGTTAGGATTACAGGTGTGAGCCACTGCACTCAGCCAATCAGGGGTCTTTTAAGACAGGCTGAGGACTCTATCTGTGTCAGGAATTATAGAGTCAGTGTGTGGAAGGGCCAGGGGCCTGGGGTGGGGAGAAACAGTGCAAGCCTGAGTGCAGAGAGGAGTGCAGTGGCCTTCATCTCATCGGGTAGGTTTGGGGAGGGAGGAAAGGGCAGGCAGTGGACTTTAGACCTTCAGACCTCTCACCTGGCTGGGGCATCGTCCACTCTTTGCACTCAAACAGGCTGCTGGGTGCTGACAGCTCGCCAACACCTGCCCAGTTGGCAGCCCGGGCACGGAACTCATAGAAGTGGCCTTCATGAAGGTCACTAACCTTGAGAAGCAGAAACACAGACTGTGAGGCTGAGGCTGGGGGAGGGATGGGGAGTGACTCAGAGCAAGAGGTCTGTGGGGACTTTGCTTTTATTTTTATTTTTTGAGACTTGCTCTCATTTTGTCACCCAGGCTAGAGTGCCGTGGCATGAACATGGCTCACTGCAGCCTCAACCTTCTGAGCTCATGCAATCCTCCCATCTCAGTCTCCTGAGTAGCCAGGACTGCAGGTACATGCCACCACACTCAGCTAATTTTTGCATATTTTGTAGAGTCAGGGTTTCGAACATGTTGCTGGCTGGTCTCGGACTTTTGAGCTCAAACAATCCACCTGCCTCAACCTCCCAAAGTGCTGGGATTCTTTTCTTTTTGAGACAAGAGTTTTGTTCTTGCTGCCCAGGCTAGAGTGCAATGGTGCAATCTTGGCTCACTGTAACTTCTGCCTCCTGGGTTCAAGCAATTCTCCTGCCTCAGCCTCCTGAGTAGCTGGGAATATAGGCATGTGTCACCACGCCTGGCTAACTTTGTATTTTTAGTAGAGATGGGGTTTCTCCATGTTGGTCAGGCTGGTCTCGAACTTCCAACCTCAGGTGATCCTCCCACCTTGGCCTCCCGAAGTGCTGTGATTACAGGTGTGAGCCACTGCCCCCAGCAAAGTGTTGGGATTCTTGGGGGCTCTAAACAGTTCTGTTCAAGGTGGGTCTGCACTGGAAAATGAGCTGGATGGCTAAGGCAGGGGAACTTGAGAACTCTGTCAGTCTCTGTCAGACTCCAAGACTCAAACAGTGGCCTCCAGTCTCTGCTGAACAAGTCACGACACAGGCTGCGGCCACTTTCCAGCCTCACCTTGCAGACCCGGGTGGGGATGGGCTGCTGATTGACCGCGTGCCAGTCCAGCTCCTCTGAGTCGTGCTGGTCCAGGAAGTAGCCCAGGATCTTGCCACCTCCGCGACGCTTGGGGGGTTTCCACCCAATGACCATTTCATTCTTCCCGCAGTTCAGGAGGACAAAGCCATATGGGGCAGATGGGGTAGCTACAGGGAGGTAAGGAGACGAGGACAGCTGCTCCCTGGGAGTGGCTGGATTGGACAGTGGGCCCTGAGGGAGCCAATGAGCCTCCCCTAGTGGGTGGCCACCCTACTCCACAGAGTTTTCCCTGAGCCAGCAGTGTCTGAGCCTCAGGTTTCTGGGCCTGAGTGCTTCCCCATCTCCTGAAGCTACCAGGGCCTCATTCCATGACCTCAAGCCAGGGTTACTTCCTCCCCAAAGGAAAGGGTGGCCAGTGCCAGCTCCAGTTCCCCTCAGAGGGCATATGCACCACTGGCCACCAGGACTGGTCCCTCCAGGATGTGGTTATGAGCCACAGCTCCCCGCCCAGCCCATGGAGGTTTGCAGGCTGGACCTGCCCTTGCACTCACCCAGAGCCTGCTTGACCCTGATGGGCTCAGTGGCGGCTGAGCTCTCGCCTACCCCAGCCTCGCTGACTGACCGGACACAAAACTCGTACTCCTTCCCCGTCCGCAGACCAGGAACTGTAAACCTGGGAGGGAAATGGGCAGCTTTCATGGATGTACAAACAGCCTGGAGACATTCCCAAACTTTCTAGAACAACTTTGTGGAATAAGAGGTCCCCAGCATGGTAGAATTTGAAGGTGCCAGGTCAATTCTTCCTAAAAGTATTGCCCTGGATCCCATGGCAATGCCTGAAATGGCACTGTGGAGGAGGTAGTCCTGAGGGTTTTAAAGGGTGTTTGCTTTTCCAGATCCACCATTAAAATGCAAATACACTAGGAAAGGTACCAATTTAAAGCAAAGGCAGCCAACTCCAGCGCCACGTGGTACATCTTCAGGACTTTGGGCTTTGTCCTTGAAAAAGAAGATGTGGCTGTTAATACCTGCACTCATGCTGTGATGTGAAAACGTAGAGTCCTTTCAGAGCCCCTCAGAGAAAGCTGTCATCCAGAGACATGAAGGGGTGCTCTGGCCTAGATAAAAATGTCCTTCTCATCCTGTCCCTTTTTTGATAAAACCCAAATTGTGGACCTCTTTCTCTCTCTTCACCTATCAACATTCTCTGAGAGCAAATCTTCTTTTGCAGGGAGCTCCTCTCAGCCAGTGGTCCCTGAGCAGTCCCCAGGACTTTAATCACATCAAGTGTGGACAGCTGACAGAGCAGCAAGCTCTCTGCTTGGGGACGAGTGCACCTAAGGGGGGAACATGTCTTTATGGGATGAAGGCAGCACTGAAGCGGGTGACGGTCAGGGAGCACCTGAACAGGGGAGGCTGGGATGACTCCCAGACCCTGTTGACAACAGATGACAACGATGATGATGACGATGGCAGTGTGCCCTTGTCTAGGACTCACTTTATGTCTATCCACCAGGTACTCCTCACAACACTCTCTGGGGAAGATGCTGTTACGTATCCCTCTTTTGGAGATGAGGACAAAGTCTTGGGTGTTGGAGGGGCCCTTAGGGATGAAACTATCCAATTTTTTCATGTTTCATGTAGGGAAGCACTCCCACAGCAGGAGAGATGGCCAGAAGTACAGAGCCAATTAGGGGCTCAGCCCAGAGGGTAGCCAGGTCTCCCGAGCGCCAGTGCAGCACCTGTCCACTCAGCACTCATTCATTCACTCATTCAGATATTTTTGTGAGCCAGGTTCTGTGGCACCTGATGATTCCACAGTGACCTGGACCACCACAGCCCAACTGAACTCTCTTTCTGTTGTCGCCGAGGCTCCAACTCCTGGGCAGCAGGGTGTAGCCTCTTTCCAGCCATGACACATGTAACAGATGACAGGCACCCATGGGACAAGCTCTCTGGACATGCCAGAGCAGCATGCTGCCTTCACCTCCATGTGCTACTTCCCCTGGTCATGCCGCTCCCTTCATGCTAACCTTCCTTCAACCCTGGGCCTCCCCTTTAGGGAAGCACAGCTGAATGCAAGTGGGGGGAGAAGTCTTCTTCTAGGGATAAGGTTGACTCTGAGCTAATTAGTCAAAACCTGATTATTCTCCAACTTGGGAATTTTAACTGTTTCTGGTAACAAAGCAGAAGGGACTCCTTGCAGCTGACTGTGAGGCACCAAAGACCAGTGGGGCACCGGGCCTGTTCCTTTTCCTTGGCCAGATGACCTTGGCTCATGGCCCAGGGTGAGGGCAGCCCAGCCAGGTGTGCTCAAGGCTTGGCCAGTTGTCTGATGGAAAGGGAAGGAAGAGGTATCATCACCTAAGGTCCCTCTCCCACAGAGCTCCTATATCAAGGGAAGTTACCAGCCCAGAAGCCCCAGGACTCACTGTGCCTGCTAGGACGAGGGTCATTCCGTCCCAGGAATGAGGAGGGAACCTCAGAGTGGAGTTCGAGTTGGAATGTCCAGAGGCCAGGAATGCACCCCCACCCTCCTGGTTTACAGAGGAGGGAACTGAGGCTCAGAGGGTGATGGTTAATGTTGAGTGTCGACTTGATTGGTTTAAGGATGCAAAGAGTTATTCCTGGGTGCGTCTGTGAGGGTGCTGCTACAGGGGATTTAACATCTGAGTCAGCAGACTGGGAGAGGCAGACCTGCCCTCAGTCTGGGTGGGTGCCATCTAATTGGCTGCCAGCATGGCTAGGATAAAGCAGGTAGAAGAATATGGAAGGACGAGACTGGATGAGTCTTCAGGCCTTCATCTTTCTGCCACGTTGGATGCTTCCTGCCCTAGAACACTGGACTCCAAGTTCTTCAGCTTCTGTACTCAGACTTATACCAGTGGTTTGCCAGGAGCTCTTAACCTTCGGCCACAGACTGAAGGCTGCACTGTTGGCCTCCCTACTTTTGAGGTTTTGGGATTCAGACTAGCTTCCTTGCTCCTCAGCTTGCAGACAGACGATTGTAGAACTTTACCTTGCAATTGTGTGAGTCAATACTCCTTAATAACCCCCCTTTCATATATACATCTATCCTATTAGCCTGTCCCTCTAGAGAACCCTGACTAATACAGAAAGGGTGAGGGGTGGTGTGGAGCCTGAACCATGCCTCCCTGGCTCCGAAGCCCTCCACTGCTCTGCTTTCCCACCTCTCTCTGGCTCTAAGCTCCTAGAGGGATGAGACCAAGCCATGGTCATCTCTGTTCACAGAGTCCTACAAATAGCACATTCTCAGCAAGTGTTTGTTGACAAAGACCATCTGGGTTCAAGTCCCAGACCTGCCACTTACTAAGCTACAGGAGCTTTGGTAAGTTACTCAAACTCTCCATGCCTCAGTTTCTTCATCTGTAAAATGACTATAAAAATAATAGTCCTATACATATAGCCTCGCAGGTAGAACCAACTGACCTCCCATATGAAAAATACTAGAACAGTACCTGGCGCAGGGGAAATACTGTGAATGTGGGGCTTCATTATTATTATGGCACCCCCCACTTCAAGGATGCTCTGGTGCAGAAAGCAGGGTGATCGGGGTTGGCTCTGTGTCCCCACCCAAATCTCATGTTAAATTGTAATCCCTAGTATTGGGGGAGGGATGTCATGGGAGGAGATTGGATCATGGGGGCGGATTTCCCCTTTGCCGCTCTCAAGATAGGGAGCAAGTTCTCATGAGACCTGTTTGGAAGTGTGTAGCACTTCCTGCTTTGCTCTTTCTCCCTCTCCTGCTCCCACCATGTAAGATGTGCTTCCTTCCCCCTCACCTCCGCCATAATCGTAAGTTTCCTGAAGCTTCCCTAGAAGCAGAAGCCTGTACAGCCTGCAGAACTATGAGCTGATTAAACCTCTTTTCTTTATAAAAGAAATTACCCAGTCTCAGGTATGTCTTTATAGCAGTGTGAGGACAGACTGATACAGGTGGGCAGACGTACCTGGTGCCTTGGATGGGTTTGTTGTTGACTGTTTGCCACTCAGATGACCCCACCTCCCGGGAGTAGATGTAATAACCCAGGAGCTCTGAATCTTTCACGGGATCCCAGGTCAGGGAGACAGAGGTCTGTGTGTCTCGGAAAGCTTGAACTTGAGCTGGAGGAGGGAGGGTAGCTAAAATATAGAAACATGGACTGAATTAGAAGGCTGTTATGTGGCTCTCAGGCTAGGGAAGGGGAAGAGCATGGGGGGAGGCTAGGAGGAGCTCCTGTAGCAATCAAGCTGCATGAATTCCTGACCTGTCAGGGACTTTGGGCAGCTCATTCCTAGGCCCAGAAGTGTATGGACCTAAAAGCCCTCTCTCCGCTTATCTCTGAGCATCTCTGCTTTCCCACTAAAGCAAAAAGCACACTCACTCATTCATCCTTACACACACACTCTCTCTCTCTCACGTGAAAGTCACCAAATCTGAAAGCTTCCCTCAGTCCTTATCTTTAATCGCAGTTTTCTTTTTTTGAAACTTCTTTACTGATTTTCAGTCTCCCTGAAACTAAGCTCCTTGAGGTAGGGCCTGCTGTAACTTGTTCAATGGATAGATGGATGGTTGGTTGAATGAATGGATGGATGGATGGATGGATGGATGGATGGATGGATGGATGGTTGGGTGGATGGATGGATGGATGGATGGTTGGATGAATGGATGAATGCATGGATGGTTGAATGAATGGATGGATGGTTGGTTGGTCGGATGAATGGATGGTTGTATGGATGGATGGATGGATGGATGAAGAGGTGGATACATGGATGAATAAATGGATGGATCGATAGATGGATGGATGAATAGATGGCTAGATGGACTGATGGATGGCAAGTGCATGATATTCCTAGTTCTCTTTTTACTTCTCAAACTCCTTATGCATCCTTTGGTGGTTCTCTATTTTCTTTTGGCCTCCAAAAATTGTACTCCTCCAAGCTTCTGTTTCTTGACCTGCTCTGTTTTTCTTCCTCTCTTCTTTTTCCTAAGGTCCTGCCTATCCCAGGTCTTCACTCCTCACCTCTTTGAAGGCTTTGCCTCTAGCTCTGCCATCCCTTCCTTTCTGAATTATACCAGAGCCTTGCCTGGTGTAATTTAAGTCTGGTTTAGTCTAGAGACTGCCCACATCTAATGACAAACTGTTCACTGGCCAGGCCCAAATCAGATCCAAATGCTAACCAGAATTAAAGAAAAACAGCACTTGCTCACCAACTTGTTCATATGTGCTCTGTGTGTGTGTGTAGTTTTTTCCCTCTAAATTACTGAACAAATCTAGAACTTTGAAATCTTCCCTAAATGGGACCTGCAGCAAACCAGGCTTTTCTTGCATAGGTGGCACTGTAGCAAAGTTTCTTAAAGGGCTGGTTGGTGACGGCAGCTACAGGGAACCTTCTAATCTGATGGCAGGGTAAAGAACCTCAGAATCCAGAGGCCTCAGAGGTGGGAGCCCTGGGAAACTGGGGTCAGAATGGAGTTGTAATTGGAAGACTCAAGAAGGAGCCAGAGGTGGGAGTAGTAACGAGGGTCTTTAGAACAATGGGTTTGGCCACTGAGGACAGCAAAGTGTGCAGCTTGGAAATGACTCTCCCAGGTCCCTGTTATGTTGATTATGTCCTGGTAAGCCAGGGCTCAGTGGGACAGGTCAGTCTCCACCAGGCAGGGAGCAGGGGCCTGCTCGGGAGTGAGGTGCAGGATCTAGGGGCAGGCCAGAGATCTGTAGAACGGAGAGACCACTTGCTTGCATAGCCACAGTGTGGGACCCAGCTGCACTCTGTAACCCATGCACTGCTGATCTAGAAAAAGGCAGAAGGCTCTGGCCAGGCACAGCGGCTCACACCTGTAATCCTAGCACTTTGGGAGGCTGAGGCGGGTGAATCATGAGGTCAGGAGTTTGAGACTAGCCTGGCCAGCATGGTGAAACCCCATCTCCAATAAAAATACAAAAATTATCAGGGCATGGTGATGCGTGCCTATAATCCCAGCTACTTGGGAGGTTGAGGCAGGAGAATTGCTTGAACCTGGGAGGTGGAGGTTGCAGTGAGCTAAGATCACACCACTGCACTCGAGCCTAGGCAACAGAGCGAGAATCCATGTCAAAAAAAAAAAAAAAAAAAAAAAAAAAAGGCAGAAGGCTGTCTCCCTCCATGAGCCTCCTACCCAGAGAAATGTGATTTTTGATGTCTTAAAACTCCCCAGGCCTGAGATTGAATTGCTTTTCAGCTTCATGATGGGTAGAAGGGAGCAGGGACAGGGAAGTGGGCAGGGCTTTGCCCCTGAAGCTTCAGGTCCTGAGCCTGACCTGGCCTGCCTCCTCCCCAGCCCCCACATCATGAGGGTACCTGGCTTGCCCCGCAAGATGATGGGCTCGCTGGGCTCCGAGGGGTCACTCAGCCCGTACCGGTTCATTGCTCTCACTCTGAAGACATATGACTTCCCTTTCTCCAGGTCCAGAAGGGCGAATCTCGGGGATTTCACAGGGCTTTCTGAGGTAATGGCCTCCCAGGTGCCGCTACCTATGACTGACTGAAGAAAAAGAGGAAATCACATTGGCTAAGAGGTCACACTGACCGGCTCTGTGCTGGTCACCTCCCACGATCTCTGTCCCCAGCCCATGTGCTCTCATGATCCTCTATATTCAGCCTAGGCTGCCCTGAGCATGGGGCTGTGTCCCATCTGCCTCCCCACCTCTCCACCTGGATGCCTACCGAAACCTCACGTCCAGCCTGTCCCGATGCAGCTCCTGAGCTTCCCATACCTACGTTGTATTAGTGGCTGCCATCCTTCCAGTCTGTCGCGTGAAACCCCTGGAGCCACCCTTGGCTCTTCCTCTCTTTCTCTCATGCCCTAAATGTGCTCCATCAATGAACCCAGATGGCTCACTCTTCAAAATGTACCCAGAACCCAGCCATGCCTTACTGCCCTCCTGCTCCCCACCATAACCTTGATGCATGCCTCGAGCCCGAATGATCTGACTGGTCTCCATGTTTCTACCCATAACCCAATTCCGTCTTGTCTCAAATGGCCATCAGGGGGATCCTTTAATAGCATGGGTCAGACCAGGTCCCTGTCCCTGACACTCCCAAGCCCCGCATCTCCCTCAGAGCAAAAGCTTCCCCATGGCCTGCCCCCTCGGCCTGTCTGGCCACCATTCCCTCTGCCCTTTGTCTCTGTGCCTCTCTACTGCTCCCTGAGGGCCCAAGTCCCACCTCCAGGCCTTTGTACTTGTCAGTCCCTCAGCCTGGAATGTTCTTCCCCCAGAAATCTCTTGACTGGCTTCCTGTAGGCCTTTATTTAAAACCCACCTTCCTGGGGAGTAGGGAGGCCCTCCCAGCCACTCCACCTAAAAACATCAGCAGCCCCTCACCCGACACTTCAAGTTCTCCCCGCTCGATGTCTTTCTCCTTAGTGTCTACCACTCACTACCGTGCTTAATATTTTACTGATTTATCCCATTTATTGTAGGCACCCCTTCTCCCTGACTGCTGTGTCCCCAGGAGCAAGAACAGGACTGGCACGTGGCGGGTGCTCCATCTATGTTTCTGGGACAAACAAATGAACAAATGAACAAATGCTCACAATAACCCTGCAGGGAAGGTGTTAATTTCCCTGCCGATGAGGAAACTCACGTTCAGAGAGTGTCAGTAACTTGGCCAAAAGTCCTGCATCCAGAACTGGTGGATATGGTATTTAACTTCACTCAGGTGTGGGTGACTGCAACCTGTTTACTCTCCACAGTGTCAGGGACCCAGAAGGCAGCCAGAAACCCCCAGTCTCTGGGCAGATGGAGGGTGAAGAGCCCAGGGTGATAGAGATGAGGGAGGCACCCAGAGACTTTCTGCTGAGTCTGGGTGAGGGAGTTAAGACCTAGAAGCACCAGGGGACCCACCGATTCCATCCTCTGTGGTCTTCCCCCTCCCAAGCCCATCGGGCTGTCAGTGGCTTAGAACCCAGGTAGGACAAGAAATAAGGAACCATGAACACTGCTGAGCACCTACTATGTGCCAGGTTCTATTCTAAGTCTTTATGTGCTCTGATTTGATCCTCAGATTAACCCTACAAGCTGTGTATGATTATTATCACCATTTTATAGGAGAAGATACAGAGGCACAGAGAGACTAAATAACTTGCCTAAGGTCACACAGCTGGTAAATAGCAGAGATGGGATTTGAACCCAAGCAGTCTGACGCCAACATCTTCACTGTGATACACTACCACCTCGCAAAACCAATCCTCAATTATCTGTAGCTTTCCTAAGTCGGAGATAAAGGATTACCCATGAACATGAAGAGAGTCTTGTTTGGATAACCGGAGACAGATTCCTCCCTGGAAATTTTAAATTCATTTATTCCCTAAACCTTCTCTGTCCACCTAGTGTGTGCCAGGCATTGTGCTGGGCACAGAAAGTAATGAGAAGATAAACGGAGTCTCTGGCTTCAGGGAGATCAGCCAAGGACACCTCCTTGGGAAGTACTGACAGATCTTGAGGGTTGCTGTAGTGCAATCGTACAATCTTGGCTCACTACAACCTCTGCCTCCTGGGTTCATGTGATTCTCCTGCCTCAGCCTCCTGAGTAGCTGGGATTACAGGCATGTACCATCACACCCAACTAATTTTTGTATTTTTAGTAGAGAGATGGGGTTTCACCATGTTGGTCAGGCTGGTCTTGAACTCCTGACCTCATGATCCGCCCACCTCGGCCTCCCAAAGTGCTGGGATTACAGGCACGAGCCACCCTGCCTGGCCTGGGGGCTGTGTTTTATTTCATCTTCACAGGGCAGGGTCTTCATTTTATGCTGAAGGAAACTGAGGCTTAGAGAAGTTAGGACACTCACTCTGGATCACACAGCAAAACCAGGATTTGAATAGATTGTGACATCCATGCTGTCTTCTGCTCCGCCATACCACCTTCCCTCACTGTGAAGTCCACTCCACAAGACTTGCCTCATCCCCAGTGGGGCCTCCCCTGCCCTCACTCGGTCCCCAGTGAGAACCACCTCCTCGTGCTAATCACTCCATAGGCCCTGCAGGTGCTGCTGGTGCCTGTCCCTGGCTGGAGGGTACCAGCCTCACTTCCCTCCCAATATAGTCCCACCAAGAAGAAGTGCTTGGCCCCAATGTGTGGCCTGATGCCAGTGGACTTGCGGGCAGGGAGGTACCCAGGGGGTGGTGGATCATATTGTCATTGTTGTCTATGCATTGTATTTTGTGTATTCCACAAACAGCCTCAGGAACGACCAGCAGTGACTGGCTTCCCAGGGCTAGAGGTAGCCTCAAAAGGCTGCTCAATCCATCCCCATGCCTCTGGGTAGGGCCATGCGTGGGCCCTTCCAGGCAGGGAATTCTTTTTTATTCTCCAACAGCCTCCCCGGGGGAGGGTCCCACTGCACATCTGTTTCTCAGGCTGGCCTGGGGCTGGGGCCTCGGCGTCCCCTACCTTCTCCAGAGAGTATGTCAGCGGCGCTCTGCCCCGGGGTCTCGGCTCCTCCCAGGCCAGAACCACGTAGCCCTCTCGAATCTCGCAGGCATGGACATTGGTCGGTGGTGAAGGGATGGTCACAGTTTCTGGAATTAGAGTCACCTGGGGCTGAGATGGCTGGGCCCTCAGAGACCCCCTAATCTCAGTGCCTCATTCAATGGAGGAGGGAACTGCACCCCCACCCATCCCTGAGAGATCGGCAGTGATTGGCTCTAGGTCACACAAGACTTTTCCTGCCCAGCACTTTTACCAACGTGTTCCCTCCTTCAGGAGGTCCACAGCCAGATGGGCCACCGTGACCCCAGCACTTTGGCTACCTCTGACTAGACCCCACCTGCTCTCACCCCCGACACCCTGCACAGGGACAGCTTCTGCCCCCTTGCCAGTTTGAGTCCCAGAGTTTCCAGAACTATATAGGAGGCCCAGTGTGTGGGAGGGTCCCGAGTACCTTCAAAATCATCTGTGCTGATGGTGATCTTGTTTCCCAGATCAAACGGGATCTCTAGGATGAGAAGGGAGCATGGGGACAGGAGGAGTTGGGCCAGGGCCTACCCCACACCAGGCTCTGCATCCTGCCCCATCCTGGTTCTGGCCTGGTAGCCCTCGCTGTGTGACCGCAGGCAGGTGCCCTCTGGCCTCAGCTCTCTCAGGAGTCGCAAGTGGAGCCCTGCTGCTCTCAGGCCCTGGGAGATGCTCTGTCTCTTGGGACACATGGAGACAGAGAGGAGGAGCCTGGGGCCAGGTACCCTGGCATGGTGGAGCTTCTGGCACACCCAAGTCAGCATGGCTCCAGAGGGCTGAGAGGCCATGTCCCCACACTCAAGCTTAAGGACATCTGAGAGGTGCTGGGGTGCTCCCTCAGACTGCTCTCTCCCTGGACAGGTTTGGGTCCCTGGACAGGTTTGCTTTCTTCCATTAGATTAGCTGTATCTTCCTTCTCAGGCTAGGGGTTCCTAAGGACCAGATTGTGCCTCTTCCATCAGACTGGGGGTTCTTGGGGGCTGGCCTTTGTCTCCTTCATCAGACTAGTGTTTACTGAGGGCTGGGCTGTGCCTCCTTCATCAGACTTGGGGTTCCTGAGGACTGGGTTGTCTCCTGTGTGAGGTAGTCCTGAGGGTTCCCAGACTGATGTTCTAGAAAGTTGCTTAGGACCTCGGTACCCACCTGTCTGCCTCCGGGCTGCATCATGGTCGCCCATGACAACTACCTCTGAGGCTTTGGAGGGAAGGCTGCTGCCCACCCTGCTGATGGCTCTCACCCGGAACTGATACATCTGACCTTCGACGAGGCCTTGGATTGGGCACCGACAAGTCCCTCCGGGGGCCTCATGGCAGGGGACCCATTCCCCAGAGTCACCCTGGCACCTGTGGGAGACAGGTCCCCCTTTTAGCCTTCAGCCCCTGCCTACATCTCACACTTTCTCAGTGTCAGTCTCTAAGAGGGCCATTCTCTGACCCGGGGGGAGCCTGCCCAGCTCATCTCTGCCAGTAAAAGTCCCTCTCTCTGGCCTGGCGCAGTGGCAGTCGTCACATGTGGGTCCAAATCTTGTCTCTACCACTAATGACAAATGTGACTTTGGGCAAAGTCATCTCCCCACATACCTCAGTTCCCCCATCTGTAGAAGGGGTCGTTAGTTAGTGCCCCTCCCCTTTAGAGATGAGGCATGCCTGCAATCCCAGCACTTTGGGAGGCCAACGTGTGCGAATCACGAGGTCAGGAGTTCGAGACCAGCCTGGCCAACAGGGTGAAACCCCAGCTTTACTAAAAATACAAAAGATTAGCTGGGTGTGGTGGCGGGTGCCTGTAATCCCAGCTACTCGGGAGGCTGAGGCAGGGAATCACTTGAACTCAGAAGGTGGAGGTTGAAGTGAGCCGAGATTGAGCCACTGCACTCCAACGCAGGCAGCCCTGTCTCAAAAAAAAAAAAAAAAAAAAAATCCTTCTCCCCTATGGAAGAGCCAGGCTCCAACATCGGGCACCCGGGAGGCCTTCACACAATCCCTGACGCTCCCAGCAGCAGCGCCTTTCCCGGCATCGTGGTGAGCCTGCACACCCAGCCCGTGTTTCATCTGTACTGTGCCCTCCACAATGAGCCCTCGCTTCATCTCCCTGCTGGTCCTGGGGCATGTGTGGCCACCTTCGCTGTACACATGGAGGATCTGCGGCTCAGAGAGTGACAAGACCTGCCCAAGGCCACACAGTGTTAGGAATCACCTGAGATTGTCCCCTCCCTAAGTTGGCATGCGTTCTAGGTTGACCCTCCAAGCCTGGGCTCACTGTGCCCTCTTGGTACTGATGTCCCAGGCAGTATGACAGTATTATCCTTATTGTCACTGGCTGATTGAGGCAGTCGTTACATGTGGGTCCAAATCTTGTCTCTACCACTAAGGACAAATGTGACTTTGGGCAAAGTCATCTCCCCACATACCTCAGTTTCCCCATCTGTAGAAGGGGTCGTTAGTTAGTGCCCCTCCCCTTTAGAGATGAGGCATGCCATTAGCACAGTCATGGGCCCGTCTGTTGCAGCATTAGCTATTTCCTTAAGCTGGGCCTTCAGAGCGGGCAGCACGGGAAGGAGGCCAGAGGTTCTAGGCCCTCGACCTGTACTTCTGTCCTGTGTGCCTCCTCCCTTGGGGTCAGTGCTATTCCATCTCTCTCTCTGTCATTCAGGAAGGAAAATAGCCCACGAATTCACTGCACTCAGGGGTCAAGCACTCCCTCTTTTGCCCCTCCGGGTCAGCTCATACCATAAAGGGTTCACAGGGCAGGGGCCGACTCCAGCATAGAATTCCAGGTATCAACATGACTTGGAGGCATGGATGTCCCTCTATTACCCTTAAATTACACAGCACAGCCTGCCCCCTGTCCTGTTCTGAGGAGTAGGGTTTTGGGGGTTCCCTGAGACCAGCTGTGGGGCCTCCTCTTTACTGTGGCTCCCACAACCAGACAGAATTCTACCCCTAGGGCCTCCGCCCCCCAAGGGACTGACTCACCGCTCAATGGAGTAGGCAGTGATGGGGTGGCCCCGGGTGTTGCTGGGTGGGGCCCAGGTCAGGATGAGGCAGTCTCTGTTCACATCCAGACATCGGACGTTCAGTGGGGAGCCTGGGGCCCCGGGGTTCTCGGCCTCAGCATCTGAAACCCAGGGGTGAGAGGGGAGGTCCTTCTACTCAATGGCCATTTGGTGACAAGCCCTTCCCACTCCTGCCCAGCATCCTCTTCTCATTCATCCTCCAGGGGCTCAGTTTTGATCTTGAGGCCTGGGGTCTAAATATTAGCCCCCACTCCCTTAACAGTATCTGAGGGACAGATGACAGTATTATTTTCTTGGGGGCCCGTTTTACACCAAGTACCTGAACAAGTAGAATAGTTAATTCCAGCCCCAGAGCAGCCTTCCACTCTGTGGATGGGGAAACTGAGTCTCACAGAGGTGAGTGACCTGCACAAGGTCACCCAGCTGGTGAAGTGACAAAGTCAGAATTCAAACCCAGACCCTAAGCGGTGGTTGGAATAACTCCAGCCCCACACTCAGCTCCCCACCTCCCCGGCTCCAGCTGGGCTAACTCTCAGGCCATGTCCCTTTGGAGGGTCATAGGATGCCATGAAGATTCTTGGACACACCAACCTGAAGCCCTGATTCTATGGTAGAGAAAGTGAGGCCCCAAGAGAGCAGGGAACTTGCCTAAGGTTCCACAGTAACGTGGGGCAGAGCCCTGGGCTCTGGGCTCCTGCTGCCACCCTGTACCCACTCATGCCCTCACCTCTCACGAGCACATAGGTGCTCTGTTCCCGGGCTCCGAAGGGTGAGGGCACTTGGACCATGTAGAGCCCCTCATCCTCCTTGTAGGTGCAGGATACCTTCAGGGACGCCTGGCGGTCTGTGTAGAGGATCTTCCGACGTCTCGAGGACCTCAGTAGCCTCCCTGTGGAGGGAAAGTGGGGAGCCATTGTGAATATGTTGGGGGCCCTGGTCTCACCTGGGAAACATGGAAACTCAAGGGGTCTGGAGACCCTGGCCAGGCAGAGGGAGAGGCTGGTGAGGCTGCAGCCTGAGGCTCAGCTCGGGCCTGGGGTGGGGGTGGAGGCTTCCAGGACTTTGCCAAGGTGGCAGGGAATGCTCCTCGGCAGAGGGCTTGGGGAGGAGGGAAGGACCCGTGTGGGGCTGGGGCTCAGTGAGGAAGTGAAGGTTTAGGGACATAGCTGGGGACAAGGTGAGGAGTTGTAGGTTCTCTGAGGAAGTAGGAGCAAGAGAGATGGGTCTCGGTGTGCGGTCAGGGGACTCAAAGAAGTGGGGCCTGGTTGGGTGGGTGGGAACTCAGGAATGGGCCTCGGTGAGGCAGGTGGAGGACTTGTCGAGAGGTTGGGGTCAGGGAGGGGAGTGAGGGCTCATGGGATGGGAGCTTAGGAGGTGGATGGAGACTCAGAAGGGGAGTCCAGGGCTCAGGGGCGGGCCCTGCCCCGTGGCCACACTGTGGGGCCAGCTCTTCTCTTTTCCCCATGTGGAGGCCTCACCCTCCCATCAGCACCTCCGTTCTGGAAGATCTAGAGGTTTGGGAAAATGTCTTAGCCTTGTTACTGCAGCGGTCAGGGATCCTGATGGACCCCCAACTCCCTGCTCCTAGCAGGGGTAGTCTCCCTGGGCTCAGAGCTGGGGGTGCCGGAGGGGCGCTGTACTCTGGGTCCTTATGCTACAGGCCTGGTCACGGATGGGGTGGGAGGTTCAATCATCCTCCTCCCTCACTAGGCCACGTCTTCCTGCCTTGGCTCTGACGAGGCCTCTCCAGGCCCCACCTGAGGCATCCCCAGAGGCTTCCCAGCCCACAGGTCAGCAACTGTTTATCTGCACCTCCACCTGCCTCTGAAAAGCAGCCCGCGCCGCTTGTGCTGCCCTCCTCCCTCCCGGCCTTGGGCTCTGTTCCCATTGCTTTGGGTGCCCTCACTCACTGCTTTTTTTTTTTTTTTCAGATGAAGTTTCACTCTTGTTGCTCAGGCTGTAATGCAATGGAGTGATCTCAGCTCACCACAACATCCACCTCCCCTCAAGTAACTAGGATTACAGGTGCCCACCACCACGACCAGCTAATTTTTTGTATTTTTAGTAGAGATGGGGTTTCACCATGTTGGCCAGGCTGGTCTTGAACTCTTGACCTCAGGTGATCCACCCACCTCAGCCTCCTAGAGTGCTGGGATTACAGGTGTGAGTCACCACGCCCACCTCCCTTACTCACTCTTAAGGAGGTAACGATGCATGTAAATGGCTAGGCAGGTGCTTGGTCACTGCCAGAGGCTATAATTGTCTCCTCTTCCCAGGTGGACACAGCCCCCAGGGCTCATGCATGTCTGCATCTACCCTTCACCCTAGCCCCAATCCAGGGACTGGCACCCCACAGATGCTTGGTGGCTGTTTGTGGGTGGTATGGTCTGCCCACACCCAGCTTCATTCCTCTGCCTCTTCAGCCCGTCAGCTCAGCTGGTACTGCTTGGGGAAGGTCTCTGTCTGCTAGTGGTCCTTTCTGGCTCTGAGTTGAGCTTCGGAGGGGCTAACACTAGAGGCTGGGGGCCACAACTGGGGGTCCTCACCATCTCGGAACCACTGGATGCTCTCAGCATCTAACACATCTTCTGAAAACAAGCATGACAGGGAGAAGGGTTCCTTCTCACGAGCGAAGACTGGCTTCAGCACTGATGTGAATTCCACGTTGGGGCCAAACATTGATCCTGGGGTGGGATGAAATTTGGGGCAGAAGTTTTTGAGGCAGCCAGCCTGGCCTGGGTCTCAGGTGGGAGTGAGGACTTTTATGGGGCATCCTGTCTCTTCTGGGTCTTGACTGGGAGAAGGGGATCTGACCTTGGGGAGGAGGGGAAGAGACTTATCTAGGTAGGGGCCAGGGAAGCCAAATGGCAAACATCCGAAGGCCAAGCCCATTGGTTTTCCTGGCTTCTGGCTTTGCCTTTCTTTTTTATGAGATGGAGCTTGACTCTTGTCACCCAGGCTGGAGTGCAATGACTCGATCTTGGCTCACTACAACCTCTACCTCCTGGGTTCAGGCGATTCTCCTGTCTCAGCCTCCTGAGTAGCTGGGATTACAGATGCCACCCTGCACTCACCTATGCTCTCATCTCTCACAAGCACATAGGTGCTCTGTTCCCAGGCTCTGAAGGGTGAAGGCACCTGGGTGAGGGTGCCCGTCCCCATGCCAGGCTAATTGTGTTTTTAGTAGAGACGGGGTTTCTCCATGTTGGCCAAGCTGGTCTTGAACTCCTGATCTCAGGTGATCTGCCTGCCTCGGCCTCCCAAAGTGCTGGGATTACAGGTGTGAGCCACCACACCTGGCACCCCCGGCTTGGCCTTTCTAGCCCAGTTTGGTCAGAGGACAGCTCAGTAGCTGGGGGACACCTCTGGGGTACCCTGGGGCCCTTAGAAATCAGGTGAAAGTGTTACCAGCTCATAGATAAACCGCAGTGGACATCCTTTCATGGGCAGGGGATGGCTATATTCTAAACAGGGACCATTGGGGTAGAGGAGCAAAGCCTGAACAAATAGTCCAGGTCGTCTTCTCCCCCAGCCCACTTACTTTTGAAGATCTCTGAATCGAAACCAGCATCCTTCCCCAGGTAAGCTGAAAACCAAAGGCAAATGGAGTTGGAGAAGGTTCAGACTCCACATTCCTACACTGTTTTGGGGACATGGGCTTTGGATATGAGTTTGAGACCTGATCTGTCGGTGGCTCCCCCTTGTGGCTTTGGGAAAGCTCTTTCACCTCTCTGTGCCTCAGTTTCTTCAGCAGTAAAATGGGACAGTAATTCCTACCTGTTGGTGGTGGGGCTAGGAACGAGTGGGTTCACATGAATCAAACCGCCAGCCATCGCCTGACACATGGAAGCTTCTCAATACGTGCTGGTTTTCTTTCCCTACCCAAACTTGCCCCCAGGATCGTGCACTGTCTTCACAGTGGTCAAGCCTGGCCAGAGACGCCGGGATTTCTGGTGGGATCAGGGAGAGCGGCGGGGGAGGGGCAGCACTGAGAGGCATCCGGGGGCTGAAGGGTGAAATCCAAGGTACTGTTGCCACAGACCACCTGAGAATAGTAACAGCAGCTCTGGCTCACACAGTGCTTGCCCCGTGCTGTGAGGATTTATGAGCCAATTAAACACATAAACACATGGATTCATTTAATCCTCACAACAGCCTTGTCAGTCAGTACTATTACCATCCTCTGAAACAGATGGGGAAACTGAGGCACAGTCACCCAGACAACACCCCAGCAGTGGGAAGCTTTGACTTGAGAAGCTGGATTCTGGTGCACATTTTCTAGGTGGGCTTGGGACCCTCCTGGAGGTCAGCCCATGGGCATCTTAAATCACAGCATAAAGCAGGGAGACACTCAGAAGTCAGCCAGACCCAAGTTCACATCCTGCCCCTGCTGCTGAGTGGCTGTGTAATCCTGGGAAGCCACCTCACTTCTCTGAGCCTCTATTTCCTCATCTGTGGGTCCCTGGAAAGGCTCTTCCTTAGCAAGGTCCAGAGAAGGGTAGGAGGCTGCCCAAGACCACACAGGTCAGTGGAAGAGTCAGGATTGGAATCCAGGACTCCTGCCTCCCAGGCTGCTAAAACCACCCAAGTTACTACAGAGATGAGAGCAAAGGGTGGTAGTGGCGGTGAGTGGAGTAGGAGGAGCAGGGGGTTGGCTGGAGACTGGGGCCAAGAGCAAGCCTGGTGGACCCTGGAGTTGCCAGCCTTGATGGAGGGAGGGACAGGGTTTGTGAAGAAGTGGTAGGAAGGATGGGTGGGCAGAGGGAGGCAGGGCCCCAGTGCCTGACCTTGGGCTTGACTCTGGGCACAGTCTATGGAGACAGCTCAAATTTCCGCACAAGAGCTTGGCCTGGCAGCAGATCCGCCTCCTAAGAGCTATTTAGGGAACAGGGCAGTGGGTGGAGAGGGCTGTGCAGGACAGTTTAACGAGGTCTGAGAGAGGCAGGGAGGGTGGGCTGTGCTCCACCTGTCTACTGCCCAAGACAGCTGCCCGAGGAGTGTGTGTATGAGTGCATGTGTGTGTGTGTGTGTGTGTGTGTGTGTGCACGTGTGGGCTTCTCTTTCCTGGGGGTCCTGGAGTTCAGGGCACGACATTCTTCTGGGCACAAAGGTGTGATCCCCTTGGGCAGTGCCCTGCCCTGGTCATGGGAGTGGGTACCATGCGCCAAGGCTGATATGTATCATCTCATTTAATTAATGTGAGCATCTGAAAGAGGTGGTAGGATTGTTGGATTCTCCATTTCACAGATGAGGAAATAGAGGCTCAGAGAAGTGAGGTGGCTTCCCAGGATTACACAGCCACTCAGCAGCAGGGGCAGGATGTGAACTTGGGTCTGGCTGACTTCTGAGTGTCTCCCTGCTTTATGCTGTGATTTAAGATGCCCATGGGCTGACCTCCAGGAGGGTCCCAAGCCCACCTAGAAAATGTGCACCAGAATCCACATGGGGCAGTGGGGGTCATGTGGGGAGTTGCTGGGGTTTGGCCTTTGCCCTGAGGACCCCTCAGCAGGGTCGGCAGGACCAGACTACCCACCCAGAGGCCCTGAGATGGATCCTGACCTAAGTGCAATCCGGTGGGCCAAGCATGCTCTTTGGCATGGCAGGCAGGTGGGTTCACCTTGAACAGTTGTATAGGTTGTGCACTGTGCAAAGGTATCCCTGAGAGGGCAAGTTGGGGGCTAAAATTCAGTCTGTTTTTCATTTGCCAAGCCATGTGCCCTGGAGTGGGAGCTGCACCTGCCTGCAGAATTCAGGTGCAGCTAATTTTGCTAATTCATCCACTCAATTCACACAAAGGTGCCCACCATGTCAGTGATGACCCTGCAGAGAGAGCTGAATTCAAGTCCAAGCCCTGCCACTGGCTGGCTGAGGATAGAATCAGGTACTATCAATAGTGTCTGGCACAGAGTGAGGACTCAGGAAAGGTCAGTTCCTTTCCCCTCTCCTGGTTGCTCTCGACACCAATCCATAGGGACAGGTGATCCTGCCTGTCTCACCTTCCACCACCAGCCCCTACCAGGCTGATGGAGGAGACTCGCTGCAAAGGCCCCCAGGGAAGCGGGAGTCTCTAGGCTGCCCTGATCACCCAATGCCAGGCCAAACAGCCCTGTGCCAAGGGCTCTCGTTGGGTCTCATGCAGACCCATGCCCTTGTTTGCTCAGCTTGGGTTTGTTGTGGCCCGGCCTGCCTGTTGTGGATGGGAGGACTCACTGCGGACGAGGACTTTGGCGAAGGAGGAGGCCTGGCCGTAGGCATTCTTCACTCGCACGGTGTAAGTGGCTGAGTCCTCAATGGCGCATCTGAAAAGGAGACAGGGAGAAGTCCCTTCCAAGGCTGCTGGCTCCATGGGAAACACAAGTCCCCATATGTGGGTGGGAAAGGCTGGAACTAAGGGAAGCCTCATGGTGTCAGGAAGAGACTTTGGCCACCATCTCTGAAAAGCTGTGTGTTTTCAGGTTGGCCACTGCACCTTTCCATGCTTTGGTGTCCTCTGAAAAACTGGGGACACAATGCCCCCTAAATCATCTCAGGAGAAAGTGCTTTGAAAATATAATATGCTACATTGCAGTTATTGCTGATTCTGGAGGATCAGAGAGGTTAAGTGACTTTCCCGGAGTCACACAGCAAATGGAATTCAACTCTGCTTCAAACAAGAATTCTGAAGCAGGATCCTCTTCCTTTCTCAGAGAGCAGCAGACAAACTTGGTCAAGGCAGACTGCAATCTGGGTAGAACTGGGCCGGATGCCCAGGCGTTCCTCAGGCATGGGTCTCACCACCATCCAGGACAACCCAGTCATGTCCCCAGTGGAAGCCTGGGGCACCTTGGTGATAGAGGGGAGATGGTAGGCTGTGGCACCTCTGGCCCCATCAGCAAGCAGAGGCCCCTTGGTGCCTTCTTTTTGCCCTGGTCACTCAGGGCAGGAATCCCTGTTGCTTTCAAGGCCAGTCCTGCCTGCCCTGAAGACCCCACCCTGGGCCTGCACACCCTCCCAGATTGTGCAGTCCATGCGGCCCCTCCCTACTGCAGCCTCGTGTGGTCCGGTATGTAGGTCTCCCCACTTCTGGAGGGTAAGATCAGTGTTCTGCTTCTCTTTGTGTCTCTGAGGCCTGAGTCGGTTGAGGGGTAGGGTTTGGTGTTTGGGAAACAACCCACATAGAGAGAAATGGCTCAAACTAGGTGAGACCCTTAACTTTCTGTCTTTCTTTTTTTTTTGAGACGGAATTTCACTCTTGTTGCCTAGGCTGGAGTACAGTGGTGTGATCTCAGCTTGCTGCAACCTCTGCCTCTGGGGTTCAGGTGATTCTCCTGCCTCAGCCTCCAGAGGAGCTGGGATTACAGGCATGCACCACCACACCCGGCTAACTTTTGCATTTTTAGCAGAGACAGGTTTTCACCATTGTTGGTCAGGCTGGTCTCGAACTCCTGACCTCAAGTGATCCATCCACCTCGGCCTCCCGAAATGCTGGGATTACAGGCATGAGCCACTGTGCCCAGCCGAGACCCTTAACTTTCTGAGCCTGTTTCATCACCTGTAACATGGGGTGGCAGGGATTATCGATTTTATATGAAAAGCACCTAGCATGGGGCTTGGCACTTGGGAAGAGGTCAGCGTGTGGCAGCTGATATGAATGGTGGATGACACAGGCCTGGGGGAGGATTGGGCTCTTACAGTCCCACGTGGCCTCCCCCCATGCGCCCTGCCTCTTCCCTCAAAATCACCCTTAGGACTCACCATCTCTTGAAAGGCTGAACTCTCTCCCAGGTAACTGCTTTGCCTTACATGTGTACGTCTGCATATACAAGCACATGTATGTGCACATGTGTATGTGCATGTGTGCATATGTGCGTAGAAAGGTGCACATGTATGTATGTTATGGTGTTTTCTCTCCCCCACAAGGAGCCTTCCCAGCATGCCTAGCTCAGCATTCAGTCCTCACGGCTAGCCTCTGAGTTCAAATTTCTCACCGTGTATCCCAAGGCATCGGAATCACACAGTGGGTGTGTGTGTTAAAGATCGATTCCTGGAATCTGAATCTCTGGGGGCCGGGGGTCAGAGGCGTCTGTCCTGTCCCAGGAATCGGTATTTTGACCAGCACCCCAGAGACTTCTGAAGAAGGAGCACTTGGGCCGAAGCTCTGAGGATGGGTTTGGGATCCCGTTCTGGCCTTGGTGGTGGCAGGGCCTGGGGTCATGGGTCTTCCCAGGTCCCCAGTCTCACCTTCTAATCTCCAGGGACAGCAGCCCATAGTTGTTGGTGATTCGGTACTTTCCGGCAGGAAAGAGGCGGGGATCAATCCGTGTGTCATTTTTGTACCTGTGGACACATAGCGGTCTGTGGTAGGAGGTGTGGGTCCAAGCGGGAGCGGTCTGGGGCCTCTTGAACTGGGATTCCAGCCGCAGGTTTTGTGTTGGTTTTTTTTTTTGAGATGGAGTCTTGCTCTATTGTGCAGTGCAGTGCTGTGATCTCAGCTCACTGCAACCTCCGCCTCCTGAATTCAGGCAATTCTCCCTGCCTTTGCCTCTCCAATAGCTGGGATTACAGGCACCCGCCACCACACCCAGCTAATTTTTGTATTTTGAGTAGAGATGGGAGTTTCCCGTGTTGTTTGGGCTGGTCTTGAACTTCTGACCTCAGGTGATCCACCCACTTCAGCCTCCCAAAGTGCTGGGATTATAGGTGTGAACCCGCGAACCTGGCCTCCAGTTAGTTTTGTGTTGCTCACTTGCCTGTGTGATAGGAGCAGCACTTATGCCACTCTGAGCCTCAGTTGTCCTGACCTGTGAAATGGGGGAACGAGAGCACCAGCCTCACAGAGCTGCTGTGACAATTGAATGGGATGAGCATGTAAAGCGCCCCCCCCCCCACCCTGCCCACACACCGCAGGTGCTCAGGGTTTGTTTCCCTTCTGGGGGCAGAGAAGAGGGAGCCTTTAATTAGGAGCAGCTGCCCCTCCCTCTGCCAAGCCATCCCCAGGGGTACCCTAGGACCAGGCCCCAGCTATTCCCTTCCCTCTGAAGGAGCTTGCCAGGGAAGGAACCCCAGACCCCTGCCCCTCTTCCCAGTCCCCCAGGTTGGCTGTTCTTTATTCTGGCTCTCATTACAGGAGCTGGGGGAGCTTTCAAAAATCTCCATGCCTAGTTTTTGAACATAAACCTGTGGAAATTTGCATCGGAAACTGCCAATTGTTCTCCAATAGCCATTTTCAGGCTATTGAATGTGGAATTTACCCATGAGCCACCAAATATGTGATGTATCTCCTTGCCTCTCTTTCTGTTAGGTGTGGCCATATGACTTAGCATTGTCAACCCCAAGCCAGGACGAGAGTCATGTGGCTGCTCCTGATGACACCCTTTGCCCCTTTTACGTCTTTCATGTCATTGTTCCCTATGTCCTTGGCAGGAACAGGGTGGTGCTGGCAGCTGTCTCACACCCTGAAGCTCAGAGCTGCCCCTCCAGCAGTGGTGCAGAGAAGCTGGGTCCCTGGGGAATCTGTGCAGCAGCCTGTGCCGTCTGCATCCAGACATTCAGAAGGAAGAAAATGAGCTTCTAGCTTATTTAAGCCGTTAAAAACAAAACAAAACTCCAGGCTGCATCCCAGACCAATGAAATCAGAATTTCTGTGGGTGAGACCCTGGGGAATCAGTATTTTGAAAATCCCCTCATGAGGCTGGGTGTGGTAACATGCCTGTAATCCCAACAGTTTGGGAGGCTGAGGCTGGAGGATTGCTTGAGGCCAGGGGTTCAAGACCAGCCTGGGCAATACAGCAAGACCTCATCTTTACAAAATATTCTTTAAAATGATTAGCTGGGCATGTTGGGATGTGCCTGTCATCTTAACTACTCAGGAGGCTGAGGCAGGAGGATTGCTTGAGGCCAGGAGTTTGAGGCTGCAGTGAACCATGATTGTACCACTGCCCTCTAGCCTGGGTGATAGAGCAAAATCCTGTCAATATACACATATTGTTTTTCTTAATGTCCTTTGGTGATCCCCAAGGGTAGTCAAGCAGATCACCCTGCGCTGGACACTGCCCTCATTTTCTGAGAACTCAGGTGTTGTTCCCCCTGCTGTGTGGACAGGGCAGGGGGGTGGCCTGGGGGCCTGGGGGCCTGGAGGCCTAAGGCGTAGGGGCTGAGGAGTGAGGGTGAGTGACACTTAGGATGCCTGGGTTTTGACACAGCCTGCTGTGTGACCTTGGGCAACTCAGTACCCCTCTCTGGGCTTCTGTGTCCAGAGTCTCATGGGGTGAATGCTTCTCCCTGTCCTGGGGCAGTGGAGGAGGAAGCCTCCCAGAGAGAGGGCACCCCAGCCTCAGCCCGCTTCCTTCTGGACCTGGCCTTACCCACGCCCTGTTTGTCTCTCCAGGGCAACCAAACATAGCCATACCCACACCCTACCACGCAGCCCCCAGCCTGGCCCCCTCCCGAAAGGAACCTGAACCTCCCACAGGGAGGGTGCTGCCTAATCTCGGTGCCTAATCTATCCAGATCTCCCACGCCTGGGGGCCAGAGTTGGGCCCCCCACCACACACCTGTCAGGAACATTCCAGACACCTCAGCCTGGCCAGCTTTGCTTTTCCTGGAAAAAGCAGCTGCTGTGGCTCTGGCATGGCCAAGATAGCCGGAGGCCTCAACACTCACCCCTCCCTCTCTCTGGGCCTCAGTCTCCGCCTGTGCAGTCAGGCTTTTGATGGCACAGGCAGAGGACCACCGAAGTGGCAGCCAGTGACAAAACAAGCTTGACTGAGACAGGGGAGGTGAGGGAGCAAGGACCTCATAAAGGAGTGAGATTTCTGTTATTTACCAAAATCTTTTTTTTGGCCTTAAATATTTTAGTGTTAGATTTTAGTTTTTCAGAATGCTTTAGGGAGGCCAAGGCAGGCAGATCACTTGAAGTCAGGAGTTCCAAACTAGCCCATCCAAAATGGTGAAACCCTATCTCTGCTAAAAAATACCCCCCAAAAATTAGCTGGGTGTGCTGGTGGGCGCCTGTAATCCCAGCTACTTGGGAGGCTGAGGCAGGAGAATCATTTGAACCCAGGAGGCAGAGGCTGCAGTGAGCTGAGATTATGCCACTGCACTCCAGCCTGGGCAACAGAATGAGACTCCATCTTAAAAAAAAATTATTTTTTAAAGAAAATAAGGCCAGGCATGGTGGCTCATGCTTGTATTCCCAGAGCTTTGGGTGACTGAGATTGGTGGAATACTTGAGGACAGGAGTTTGAGATCAACCTGGGCAACATAAGGAGACTCTGTCTCTACAAAAAAATTAAAAAGTTAGCCGGTGTGGTGGCGCATGGCTGTGGTCCCAGCTACTTGGAGGCTGAGGTGGGAGGAGCACTTGAGCCCAGGAAGTTGAGGCTGCAGTAAGCCGTGATTGCACCACTGTACTCTAGCCTGGGCTACAGAGTGAGACCTTATCTCTAAGTAATAATGATAATTGTTGAATTGAATAGACTTGCCTACCTTAACATGCCAGGTGAGCTGGAATATTCCTCTAGTCCTAGGGCTAGACAGAATCCCGGGAGGTCAGTCCTGGGGCAACTTGTGGTCTTGCCTGATGCGATTGATGATGGAAAACCAGATCCTTCAAGCCAGGAGTGCCAGGGGCCACCTGAGCTGCCTGGGCTGGAGGTAGGCCTGAGCTTGGCTTATGCCACTTGTCAATAATGCTCAGCTCCCTGTTGTGGCAACCTTGTTGGCAGGGGTAGAAACAAGGTCCCCTCCCAAGAGGCTTCCAAGAATGCCTTCCATGTGGGGCTCAGTGCCAGGGCCCAGCAGAGCTTGGCTGCAGGGCCAGGACAGCTGAGATGCTGACCTCTGCTTAGCCCAGCCAGCACTGGGAGCAGTCCTCCTAGTGGAACCAGCAACCTGCACTCAGGGACCGCCCAGTCCCCACAGAATCCCAGGGCCCAGCAAGGTACTTGGCATACTTTTTGGAATAAATGCCAGCTGGCAGTGACCAGCCCTGATGCCAGCTCCCCCAAGATGCCTTTCTTGATTGCTCCTGGCCTGAGTGATTTCTATTTCTCTGCTTTCTGAAGCATTACATGTGCTTTAAGGAAAGTAACACTTATGATAATCACTCTCCTACTCTCTAAGCCAGTGGAAAGCGTTATGGGCTTAGAGGCAGGAGACCTGAGTTTGAATCCTGGCTCACATTGGCTGTGTGACCTTAGATAAGTAAGACTACCTCTCTGAGCCTTGACATCCTTTCCCATGAAATGGGCATAGTAGTTCCATCATGAATGGCCCTGATGCCTCAAATGAGAGTCAGTGCAATGTGGATTCAAGTATAAGAGGCTGCTGTTTTCCTTTATGTTTTCCATTATTTGTGCCTCTGTTCTCTCTCCTGCTAGACCACGAGCTGTTCCCCATCCAGATCTGACTCATATGCAACCTCTTCTGAGAAGCCTTCCTGGATTCTACAGGCTGAGGGAGCCACCTCTTCCTTTTCACCTAGACTCTTTGATCTCAAATATCACCCATGAATATACTTCTGTATATGTTGATGTTTCTTTTCTGGGCTAAGAGTTAGTTCCTTGAGGGTGAGATTGTGTCCAGTTATTTCTTTTTTTTTTTTTTGAGATGGAGTTTCCCTCTGTCGCCCAGAGTGCAGTGTCGCAATCTCGGCTCACTGCAACCTCTACCTCCCAGGTTCAAGAGATTCTCCTGCCATAGCCTCCCAAGTAACTGGGACTACAGGCATCTGCCACCACGCCCAGCTAATTGTTTGTATTTTTAGTAGAGACGGGGTTTCACTATGTTGGCCAGGATGGTCTCGATCTCCTGACCTTGTGATCTGGCCGCCTTGGCCTCCCAAGTGCTGGGATTACAGGCGTGAACCACCGCGCCCGGCCTCCCAGCCCTTTTCAAGTTCTGAGGTTTCCATGTTGTGGGATTAAATCCTCATCACACACAAGCTGGACGGGAGGTCTTCAATCCAGGCTTCAGAATAGGAAATGGAGGCAGGACCAGGTAGTTTAAGGGCATGGCTGAGACCTCACACAAGTTGGGAGAGAGAGAAAGCAAGGCTGGGAGCACAAGGCTCCTGCCCAGGCCTGAGCTCCTTCTCCATAGGCCCTGCCCCGCCCACCTCCTCCCTGCCCCTTGGCCCCTGTCCTTCCTCTCACCATCATCCTTAACCCTGGAGATGCCCAGCTTGCAGCACCTGCCTTCTCATGAGACCAGAATCATATTTTTACAAGGGCAGGCTCCCCAGGGGCCCAGTCTTCCAGCCCCAGGCTGGCTGGGGTGCAGCTAATAATAACCCAGGCCTAAGCTGGGCGTGGTGGCTTGTGCCTGAGGTCTCACCTATTGGGAGGATCACTTGAGCCCAGGAGTGAAGACTGCAGTGAGCGATGATCACTCCACTGCACTGAGTGAGACCTTGTCTCTAAAAAACTAACCCAGGCCTGGTTCCCCAGCAGCTGCTCTATCCAGTGGGTTGGCTGAGCTCAGGGTTCATGAGTCTACAACAAGAAGTCCTGGTGGAGGTTTGGGATGTACGGAACTCGCTTGTGACCCCAGAGGCCCAGACCCCACTCCTGCCCTAGCGGCTTACCAGGTGACCTGGGGTGGTGGTGAGGCCTGGATGGTGCAGGTCAGCAGGACTGTAGTGTGCTCCCAGACGGCGTGGGAGCGAAGAGGGATCCAGAACCAGGGCCCACGGCCAGAGCACAGCTCCCTCAGCTCCCTGGCCTCCTGGACCTTCTCCTCTGTCTGGAGGTGGGAGGATGACGCTGTGAGCCAGGGACCACCTCTCTGCCATTTTTGCATTACCTCCCCCCTGACACCCAGTATCTGCAGTCAGACCCATGTGGGCTGGAGTTCTCCGCCCCCTCACCAGCTGAGCTGTGTGGCACGGTGGGCAGGGCATGGGCTTTGGAGCCAGCTGGCCTGGGGTCAAGGTATTGACTAGCTGTGGGACCATAGGCAGGTCCTCAGTGTCCTTATCTGTAGAATTCGGATGATAACAAAATCCCCCGCCCACTATGGGGGTGTCGGGGTGAAAGACACGGCACTTGTAAGTGGGAGCTGGGGAGGGGGTGTGGAAAGGGGCTCAAATCCTGAGACTCATCAGGGCTAGTGTTTCCTCAGGGTCTTCTGTGTTCTAGGCACTGGAAAAGCCACTTTCCAAACCCCATCTCATTTAAATCCCACCTCAGCACTGAGAATTGTTATAATAACATCTATTTTATTTTATTTATTTTGAGACAGGTTTCACTCTGTCACTTGGGCTGAAGTACAGTAGCGTGATCTTGGCTCACTGCAACCTCTGCCTCCTGGGTTCAATTGATTCTCCTGCCTCAGCCTCCTAAGTAACTGGGATTACAGGTGTGTGTCACCACGCCCGGCTAATTTTTGTATTTTTTCTAGAGACAGGATTTCACCATGTTGGCTAGACTGGTTTCGAACTTCTGACCTCAGGTGATCCACCCACCTCAGCCTCCCAAAGTGCTGCGATTACAGGCGTGAGCCACCGGAGCTCGCCCTATTTTACAGACGAGAGTACTGAGGCTCAGGAACGGGGATGTGCATGGTGGCACATGCCTGTAATCCCAGCTACTCAGGAGGCTGAGGCAGGCGAATCACTTGAACCCGGGAGGCAGAGGTTACAGTGAGCCAAGATCACACCACTGCACTCCAGCACCAGTGACAGAGTGAGACCTGTCTCAAAATAACTAAAATAAAATAGATGTTATTGTAACAATTCTCAGTGCTGAGGTGAGACTGGGTTTTGAAAGAGACTTTCCTAATGCCTGGACCCTATAGGGTCACACCACGGAGTATGTAGGAGCATAGATGCAAATCCAAAGCCTAGACTCTGCCCTGGACGTCCTGCCTCTTGGGAAGTGGGTGAGGATGGCAGCAAGCAGTGCGTTGCAGGTCCCAGGCCCTGGGGGCTCCACAGCCCACCCCCTTACCCGCCGCCTCAGCATCTTCCAGTCCCGCCTCTGGCGCAGCAGCCGGTGGGTCCGCAGGAAGGCGACCTCGGTCCTCTCCCAGTCATTGCCGAAGCCCACCCGCTTCTGCCCTCGCTCCTCCAGCTCCACTGCAGAGGTCTGGCATCTCAGCTGGGTTTCCCTGCCATGACAGAGGCTGTTGGAGCTCAGGCAGGGATGGGGGCCTGGGGCATCCTGGCCAGTTCCATGCCCCATGCGGAGCAGTGCAGGGTGCTTTAAACCCTTGGAGGACATGCATGACTTTGCCTCTTCCCTTGCCTCCAAAACAGCCCGGAAGGGCCCTGCTTACAGTTGGTGCTTAATAAACAGCCTGGAAGGGCCCTGCTTACAGTTGGTGCTTAATAAACAGTCGACTGTTTTCACAGTTCTCGAGGCTCTTTCAGAAACCTTTGTTCATCTTGTTTTCATGATAGCCAAGTGGCCAGGCCTTAGTGTCCCTGTTTGACAGGTTTACAGGGCAGGGACTGAGGCTCAGTGACTTGCTTCAGGCCAGCAAGGACCATGACCCAAGCCTCCTAGCCCAGGGTCCCGCCCCAAGCTGGACGCTCCTCTCCACGGCATCAGGCTCAGAGGTCTCGTGGGAAACTGGGACCTGGTTTACTTGCTCCTTCTGTCCCATTTACCCTCCCCCACCACGTGAAACCTGGAAGCCTGTCACTGAGGTGGCCCCCACCCTCTCTCTCCCTTGGGGATGGCCACTCGCTATCTCCCTTCCAGAGGGTGGTGTGGGGGCTTTGCGGGCAGGTAGCCCTGGGCTTAAATTCCTGTCTAGACCCTTATTCTAGAAGTGGGATTTTTGGCAGGTTCTTTAAATCAGGGTGAAAGCCCAGCAGGGAGGACGGGGGCTGCACAGGAGGTCCCCCCCAGCCAGGGCTCCCTGGAAAGCTCTTCTGACTCACCAAGACAGCTCGGAGGAGGCCGTGAGAGCCAGGGCTGCTGCCAGGGCGCAGTCCGCCGCGCTGAACTCGGGCTCTTCCTCGCTGCTTCCGGGAGGAGGGGAGTGAATGGCTCCTGCCGGATTGGGCTGGGGGCTCCCTGAGATTAGGGCTGCATCTGCCCACCTCAGCCTCAGGGACCGGCAGGCAGGGCTGTGCCTCCTTCCTTAGACTGTGGTCTCAGAAAGCAAGGCTGCATCCCCCCAGACTAACAGGGTCTTCAGAGGACAGAATGTGCTTCCCTCCTCAGACAGGGTTTCCAGAGGACAGGGCTGGGCCTCTTCCATCACGCAGGGGTCTCCAAAGAGCCAATTGTGTCTCCCCCCTCAGACAGGGGGCTCAGAAAGCAAGAATGTCCCCCCTCCCTCAGACTGGAGCCTCCAGAGGGCTAGGCTGGGCCTCCCTCCTCAGCCTGGGCAGGGCAGCGGCTGGGCGGGACCCTGAGCCCTGCGGCTCCCACCTGCTTCGGAAGGTCCTCCTGCGCACTGAGGAGCCCATGTGCAGGCTGTGCTGCCGCTCCTCCTTCCGCTCCTCCTCCTGCCGGTGCTCCAGCCTGTGGACCTCCACTGTTTGAGGGGGGCGGGGGTCCCCCGTGCTTCCCAAGCTGTGCGGCAGAGTCATGCCTCCGAGAGCAGCAACCTGTCAAGGAAAGGTTCATGGTCATTTCACCAGGCTTCCGCCTGTGCCCTCCCATGCAGGCTTCCCAATATCTCTAGGAGGCTGGCAGGATGGGGGTGTCCTCTCTCTAGTGGGCAGACAGGGAAACTGAGGTCTGACAGGGAGAGGGACCTGCCTAAGGTGACAGAGGCAGGCTTCAGTCTTGAGGCTGGCTTCTCCACACCACGCGCTCCCCGACTGAGTGAGCAGAGCCGCACGTTAGGGAGTAGGCCCCGGGCTTCCAGCTGCTTCCTGCCGCAGCCCCGGCCTTGTCTCGCTGTAAAGACACCGCACTGAGAAAGCCTGTGTAAGTGGGAGCTGGCTCTCCCTTCCCTGGGCATCAGCTTCCTTGACAATGAGTGATTGAAACTGTGATGTCCACAGCTGTGTCTATGACCCAGGATGGGCAGGTGTCCCCATTCTTCCCGAATGGGCCATGCTCAGTCCTACCTCTGAGCCTTTGCCGGCGCTGGTTTCCTCTGTGACTCCCCCTTCCCTTCTGCCCACCCGCTTAGCTCTAGTCATGCTTCAAACCCCAACTAAGGGCGCAGGTGGGGCTGTCCCCCACATCCCCACACACTGCCCCTCCTCTCAGCTGGGTCCTTTCTTCTCACTGAGCCCCTGTTAAAGTGGAAAGGAGGTAATGGCTCAGGACTGGGGAGAGCACAAAAGCTCTGGGTCCAGCCCACAGGGTGTGATCCCAGCTCCTCATCCCAGCTTACAAGTGTGTGACCTTGGGAAAGACTCAATGATTTGGTTTCCTCATCTGTAAAATGGGTCTACCAACTTCCCAGGGTAGTCGTGAAGGTTAGATGAGTGCTTGGGGCTTAGTAAGTACAACACAGGTGTTCGACATCAGCACTATTTTTCTCAGAAGCCTTGCCGAAGGCTTCTTCTATAGGCCACCTGGAATTTTCCCTCTTCTAATTTCTTTTGTACTTATTTTCTAGCACTCCACAACTTAGCGTTGATTCAGACAATGCCTTCTCTATGGAATTATTTTGTATCTGTGCATCTTGACTCTTCAGCAAGATTGTAAGTGAATTAAAAGTAATAATAGTGAGAACTTACTATGTTGCAGGCCCATGTTAGTTTTCAAATGCATTGTCCCCAGTCTTTGCAATCACCCAAATAAGAACAGCACCATTATCATCCCGTTGTGCTGATGAACAGGGGCAGTACTTGCCTGAGGTCACCCAGCATGGTGGTGGAGCTGTGACTGGCAGCCAGTCCCTAGCCCAGCCCCTAGCCCTTCTGACCTCTATGTCCTATGTCCTCTCGAGGCCAGACCGTGGCCGAAGCTGGGGCCGCAGTGGGCCACAGGGCCTTTCTCCTCGGGGCTTGCGATATACCTATCTCCTTTGCATTCCCGAGGCTCAGCTCCAGGTCCCTGATGGCATCCACTGGGGCTGGATCACACTGCTCTCGGGGAGGCTCAGGAAGCGAATCCCTGGACGTGGAGAGGCAAGCGAGGGATGTGGGAGGTCCGTGCGCCCTCTGGCTATGGGTTTTTGCACTAAGTTCTTTCACAGATCTGGGCTTCAGTCACTGCTGGGTCTTTGAGGGCCCCTCTGATGCTAAAGGTGGAATCTCTAGATGGCTTTCATACCTCCTCAGGTGGGAATGCTGGTTGGTAGGCTTCTGACATGGAAGGGTTACTGCCCAGGCGTGGGGACGGAAACAGAAGAGGGACAACTGCCTGCCTTGGCCTGCTTCTGTCTGCTTCCGTCTGCTTCCATGGGGTTGGCTCTGTATGGCCCCTGCCCCTCCAGAGGGGCCTGCTGGAGGTGGCTGTGTGTATGTGTGTGTGTGTGTGTGTGTGTGTGTGTGTGTATGACTGTCTTCTGCCTGGATGTGAACACAGAACCCATGTGATCATTTCTCTAAGTCCGTGACATGGGAGGTGAGCCCACTGGCTTCATCGGAGAGCCCTTGGCCTGGAAGGGGCATGTGGTGGGGGTGTCGGGGGCTCAGGCTTCGGAGGGTCAGTCTTAATGGGCTTTTATACCTACTTCCTAGAAGTTTGCTACTTTTGGGTGTCTGCAGTTGTGGGCATCAGAAAAGAATGGGTGGCTGCAGAGTTAGCTGGGACCAAGGGCTGCCCCTAAAGCTCCCTGGGTTCCTGCTAATAATCTCATCTGAAATAATGGGATGGTCAAGCTCTTTGGCTTTGTATCACCCCTTCCTAATGGTAGAAGTTCTCCCTGCACCCGAAGTGGCCAGCCCTGCCCATTCTGCTCTTTCCTCCTCATGGCCCAGGAGGAGAGCTGCTGGGTACCACCCTAGGTGGAGCAAGGACCCACCCCCAACCCCTAGCTTTCCTGGGACACGGTGGCCCTGGCTCCAGTGGCTGAGGGTTAACATTCCCTGGCACCAGCCACTGGCTCCCTTCCCCTGGATGCTCTGTTCCCGATTAGCACAGCGGGCAGGGGCCTGGCGCTCGTCCCTGACCTCAGGGCCTCCCGCAACCAGACCCCGGGATTTAGCGGATGAGCCACCAATTCTTTTTAAAGCACTGACTGATGCGTGGGATTAAGCAGGGACAAATTTGCGGTCTCCCTGCCCTTTCCCGAAAGACCGGGTGCCTCTTCCCAGAACACTGTGAGTGCCTGAGTGGAGGGGAAACCGCTCCCCTTTCCCTCTCCTGGGGTGCAAAAATCTGGCCCAGAGGTCCCACTGTGTGGCCTTCCCGACTCCCCTCTGCTTTCCTCCCAAGCCTCCATCTGCCAAGGTGGCCTCTCCCCTACTTCAGGAGGGAAAGAGAAATGCAGAGCAGAAGACCCTCCGAGAACTGCTGGCAGGGGAGCTGCACTGGGTGGGTGGCTGGGAGCAGAGACACATCCTGCGGGCGGCAGGTGGCACAGGCTGGGACATGTTCTCAGCTAGTGGCTGCACCGGCTTCCGTGAGGCTGAATCCTGCCCTTGCCAGTCATGAGCTGAGACAACTTTCCCGTCTGGGCCTCGGTTTCCTGCCAGGTGCTGGATGAGATCCCTTTCGGCTCTAAGATTTGGGATCCGAGGGCCCGCTCTCTTTCCGTGCCTGTAGGGTTGGCCAAGCAGGGCTCAGCCAGCTCCGTCCGAAGTTCGTGGAACTTGCCAGCTCAGGCCGGCTCCCACCGATCACTGCTCCATCGCAGGAAGCACTCCAGTTCCCAGGGCAGCCTCCAATCTTTTTTTTTTTTTTGCAGCTTTCACATCACAGAGAACTTAGCTCTCTGAAGACCCAGGACCACATAGAACAGCGGGAGGAAGCAGGGGTTTCTGGAATCCTCTCCCATTTTTACTCGGAGGCTGCCTCATCACACATTTCCTGGGTCCCTTTCACAACACACAACACACAACCACATACACACAAACACACACATGCACCCATAGAAATCACTCCCCAGTGGCCCACTCTCAGGAGGCATCCCTCCCCAGCCCTGATTTCTGGGGATGACTCACAGAAGCAGCGTGCCCACTTCTCTGGGGAGAAGATTCCAGAGGTCGAGAGGGTCCTTGTTCTATTGTCGTTCTCGGCTCAGTGGGCACTGGGAGAAGAATGCGATCTCGGAGCCTGCACTCCTTAAATATAGCAGCGCCGAGACAGTATGATGACAATGGATGAGAACTATGGCTTGGGGGATGGGGGGCCAAGGGGAGGGGCCATTCTGTGTCTCCAGCCTGCTGGGCAGCAGCAACAGGTGGAGCTGTCCCCCATGTTCCTCCACACTGCTCCTCCTCTCAGCTGGGTCCTTTCTACCCAACCCGAGCTCCTGTTACAGTGGAAAGGAGGTAACAGCTCAGGTCTGGTCGTATGGAGGGCAGATCCCGTGTGGCGTTCCCAGCTGTCGGGAGTTCTGATCTGAATTCTGCCCCAGCTGACTGGGTGCCCTGGGGAAGGCGCTCAGCTTCCCTGAACTGCCTGCCTTCTGAAAAACGGAGACAGTGAGACTGGGCACCTGGACTTCACAAAGGCAGTGGAAGGAATATGACCTAAAAGTGGGTGTTTAGTGCTCAGGAGTTGTCACCAGCTAAAACAGCAACGTATGGCTTCTGGTCCCTCCACCACCCTAGTAGTTACTACATAGTCCCCACCCCGACCACAGTCGTGTGTGTGTGTGTGTGTGTGCACGCGCACGCAGCATGGGGAGGAACTGGGGAGCCACCTGCCGCTACACTGTCCAAACTGGTCAGGCTGCCAGAGTGGCCACCTTGGTTTAAAAATGAATCAGTGGTTCATTTTTAAATGAAATGTAATCAATGGTTATCGTCTTAGTTCATTTGGGCTGCTATAAAAAAATACATTAGACTGGGTCATTTATAAGTAATAGATGTTTATTTCTTACAGTTCTGAAAATTAAGAAGTTCAAGATCAAGGTGATAGCAGATTCAGTGTCTGGTGAGGACTTGCTCTCTGCTTACAGATGGCACCTCTTATGGAGTCCTCATATGGTGGAAGGGGCGAGGGCACTCCCTTCAACTTTTTTTTTTTTTTTGAGATGGAGTCTTGCTCTGTTGCCAGGCTGGAGTGCAGTGGCACAATCTTGGCTCACTGCAACCTCCGTCTCCTTGGTTTAAGCAATTCTCCTGTCTCAGCCTCCTGAGTATCTGGGATTATAGGCATGTGCCACCATGCCAGGCTAATTTTTTTGTATTTTTAGTAGAGACAGGGTTTCTCCATGTTGGTCAGGCTGGTCTTGAACTCCCGACCTCAGGTGATCTGCCAGCCTTGGCCTCCCAAAGTGCTGGGATTATAGGTGAGAGCCACCACACCCAGCCCCCTTCAACCTCTTTTGTAAGGGCTTTAATCCCGTTCATTTTTTTTTTTTTTGAGACAGGATCTTGCTCTGTTGCCCAGACTAGAGTGCAGTAGCACTACCATGGCTCACTGCAGCCTCAACCTCTTGGGCTTAAGTGATCCTTCTGCCTCAGCCTCCTGAGTAGTTGGGACTATAGGCATGCACCACCCCACCAGGCTAATTTTTGCATTTTTTGTAGAGACAGGTTCTCACTATGTGGCTCAGGCTGGTCTCAAACTCTTGGCCTCAAGGATCCTCCCACTTTGGCCTCCCAAGTTGCTGGGATAACTGGTGTGAATCACCATGCTAGGCCTCTTTATCCCATTGTCAAGGGCATAGCCTTCATGACCTTCCAAAAGCCCCACTCTTACTACTATTATATGAAGTTTCTACATATAAAATTTTAGGGACTCCAACATTCAGACTATAGCAATTGCCTGTCTTGCAGAATGGTTGGGAGACTCAGATGAGGTTAAATGTGTAAAATACCTGCTATTGTACCTGGATTATCTTTCTTCTTTCTCCCCTCTCCTTATCTCTTTTATTTCCTTCCCTGGACTTGTGACCCATAAGAACCAACCGGCTGGGTGACGCTGTACCTGCTTCAGTCTCTCTCCCTTCCCTCTGTTGCTCTTGCACCCCAGTTAATTCCAACTGCTGTTTCTCTCATACAGACTGGCCAAAATGTGCCTTCCTTATGCCCCCTTCCTCCGTAGAGTGGAATGGAAAATGGGCTCCATCAGCCAAGGGGCGGAGGAGAAGGCTGGTGTCTCAGAGTTGTCCTATCAGCTCCAGCACCAGCAGGGGAGGTGGGGGCTGCATTCATCTCCCTGGCTATGCCTGCCTCAGCTTATTGTTTCTGTCCCACAGTCCGGAACGCAGGTGGGGACAGCAACAGGAGACAAGCATTGGTGACATCAGGCCACAGCCTCCTTGTCCAGGTTGACACTCAAGATTTGGGAGGGACACAGAGGCTCTGGCTGTCTGGGAATCTGGAGGAGCTCCAATCTCACTGGCCCAATTCTCTGGGTGGAAACTCAGGCAGGGGTTCGGCTTGGGGGGGTGCATGGCAACATATTCAAGCTTATGTACATGGCATTTGAGGTCGGGCATGGAAAAACACTGAAGCCCTGTATGTATGTTATTTGTGCATGGGATTGAAACTCCTGGACCCTGAAAACAGGACAAGGAGTGGAGTGTGTGGTGTGATAAGGAATGCTGAAAACAGCTTCCTGAGAAGGCAGCTTGGATGTTGTGAAAGGTTACAGGTGCTTCAGCAACTCACCTCAGATGACCATCTAGTGGATGTCTGTGGTTAATGCAAGACTTTTCTTTCTTCTTTTTTTTTTTTTTTTTTTCCTGAGACAAGTCTTGCCCTGTCACCCAGGCTGGAGTGCAATGGTGTGATCTTGGCACACTGCAACCTCCGCTTCCCACATTCAAGTGATTCTCCTGCTTCAGCCACCTGAGTAGCTGGGATTACAGGTGCGTGCCACCACACCTGGCTAATTTTTAGTATCTTTAGTAGAGATGGGTTTTCACCATGTTGGCCAGGCTGGTCTCGAGCTCCTGACCTCATGATCCATCCGCCTCTGCCTCCCAAAGTGCTGGGATCACAGGTGTGAGCCACCGTGCTTGGCCCAAGCCCTTTCAATAAATACTTGGTGGATGGATGCTGGGGTGGACTCTCTCAGAAGAGCTTCCCCCTAGCCCCAGTCAGCTGGAATTGTCTGAGTACTTTATTCTTGGCATTCACTGCAAGCTATAAGCTCTGTAGCAAGCCCTGTATGTTCCTGGAGTTGGGAGCTTGGGAGGTCAGAGGTTTGCAATCATCACAGCCATGCAGTGCCCCCACCCTCAACTCTATTGCAACAGCGGATGTAACAGGGGTCCCTCTAGATAGCTGATTTGAGGCTATGGAGAGAGAAAGTGATGGTGTAAGGGCACTGTTCCCTCAGCTTGCTTGAGAGGAATCACCAATGAAGTTTGTGAAAAATACAGATTCCACCCAGCACTTTGGGAGGCCAAGGCGGAGGATCACTTGAGCCCAGGAGGTCAGCCTGGGCGACATGGTGAAACCCTGTCTCTACTAACAATACAAAAGTTCTCCAGGCATGGTGGTGCATGCTTGTAGTCCCAGCTACTTGGGGGTGCTGAGGTGGGAGGATCACCTGAGCCAGGGGAAGTGGAGGCTTCAGTGAGCTGTGATCATGCCACTGCAATCTAGCCTGGGTAACTAAGTGAGACTCTGGCCAGGCTCACGCCTGTAATCCTAACACTTTGGGAGGCCGAGGTGGGTGGATCTGAGGTCAGGAGTTCAAGACGAAGTGAGACTGCATCAAAAACAACCAAAAAACCAGATTCCTAGAAACTATGAGTTTAGCAGGTCTGGAGTGGGGTTGGGGAAGCAGTATTTTTAGTAAGCTTCCCAGGGGATTTTCATGACCTAGGGCAAGTAATCTCTCTCAGCCACATTTTCCTCCTTTGTGAAATATCAGTAATACAACCTATCATGGAGAGAAGGTTACCAGCAGGATGAGCGATTAATACATAAACTGCCAAGCAACACGGTTGACTTCTTCCTTCTCTTTCTTATGACTTTGACTGCTGCTACTATGATATTACAAGTCGTTTATTCTCGGGCTTGACTCTGCCATCCCTTGTAGGCAAGTGACAGCTTGGAGAATGACCTCTCTCACTGGGCAGGGTAGGGCTGTGGAGATTCCTGGAAATGGCACCAAGGACTCTCTGGAATGACGAGGACCCCAGCCAGCTCTGGGGTACGTGGACACTCTGCCCTCTGACTGGTTTCAGCTCTATCTGCAGGCCTGGGCTGCCTGGGAGGCAGGGGACCTCTGGGGTCAATGCAGCCTGGTCCCTGCCCCCACTGAGGAGGGGTGAGTCACAGACTTGGAGCCATCCACCCCTCTCTTCAGACACTCAGACTCCACCCTCCCAGGATCATTTTTGAAATGCCACCCGGAGGAGGGCAGAGAGCTTTGTGGTCCTGTGAGTTGGAAGAGATATTTATGGCTCTTATAAAAAGCTTTTTTTTTATGAGGTGGAGTTTCGCTCTTGTTGCTCAGGCTGGAGTGCAATGGCTCAACCTAGACTCACTGCAACCTCTACCTCCTGGGTTCAAGTGATCCTCCTGCCTCAGCCTCCCGAGTAGCTGGGATTACAGGCACCTGCCACCACACCTTGCTCATTTTGTATTTTTAGTAGAGACGGAGTTTCATCACGTTAGCCAGGCTGGTCTCAAACTCCTGACCTCAGGTGATCCACCTGCCTCGGCCTCTCAAAGTGCTGGGATTAGAGGCGTGAGCCACGGTGCCTGGTCTTAATAAAATACTTCCATAGTTCCCGGGTCTCACTTACTTGGTGAGAATAATCTACCTGTTAGGTTGCTTTTTACTAATAAACAAGGTGAAGACAGTTAACCTTTGGCCAAGTATGACCCAAGCGACAGGAAGTGGACTTATTTGCAGTGGGTGGGGAGAGGGTAGCAGTCATCCGGCTGACTTGGCTGCATGTTGGGGTGAACCGGCTGGGAGTGCTGTCCAGGGAGACCCATGCCTCTTCACGGAGGTGTTGGGTCTAAACCAGTAACTCCAAAGAGATGTTAAACATTAATTGCCAGCAGATAAGAACACCACCACCCTGTCACTGTGTCCCGGGAACAGGGAAGGGTGGGGAAGAGAAGGAGAGACGTAACTGGGAAGAGAAAGTGCACTGTCCGCTCTGGGAAGGGTCCCTCTGAGGCAAGTGGTGTTCCATCCTCTGTCTCAGAAATGTTCAGAAAAGGCTTTGGGGGCCAGGTGTGGTGGCTCACACCTGTAATCCCAGCTCCTTAGGAGGCTGAGGCAGGAGGATCACTTGAGCCCATGTATTCAAGACCAGCCTGGGCAACACAGCGAAACCCTGTCTCTACGAAAAATACCAAACATTTTCTGCACATGTAGTCCCAGCTACTTGGGAGGCTGAAGCAGGAGGATGACTTGAGGCTGGGAGGTGAAGGCTGCAGTGAGCTGTGTTCATGCCACTGCACTCCAGCCTAGGCCACAGAGTGAGACCCCCCCCCCAAAAAAGGCTTTGGAGCAAGGTGCCCAGGGGCACTTGTCTCTTGGGGACCCCATTAGGAGGCCTCCCCTCCTTAGCCTCCACTAGTCTCATCCTCCAAGAGTCCAAACAGGTGTGGAAAGCTTCCTCTCTCAATGAGAACAAACAGCCCTAGGTTTGCACCCCAACTCTGTCATAGCCTCAATAGTGGGGCCTTGGGTGGGTCCCCTCTCCCTCAGGGCCTTGGCTTCCTCATGGTGCTAGGGGTTGTCTGAGATGCAATAATACAGAGGAAAGTCAGCACTCTGGGAGCAGAGAGCACAGGGCACTCTCCCTACCTAGGGAGGGGGACGGTGTGCCCAGTGCTGCCTCTGTGGGGGGTCAGGGAGGCTGGATGGACAGAGGCCATCTGAGATCACTGCTGCCACACACAGTGGCTTCTGCCTACAATCTCAGGGAGAAGGTTCCATTTGTCTCTGGACTCTGTCCCTAGAAGGTCCTGCAGTCCCTCCTCTTTCCCACCCCAGACCCCTCTGGCTTTGCCTGTCCTGAGGAAATCCAAGTCATTTGAGCCAATGAGAAAATGCCAGGTGCGTCTGAAGCCAATCCAGATTGGGGGAGGGGGTCACTCCTTGTGTGACGTGGTTTAAAAAAACTCACAACAGGAAATAGCTACCATTTATTGGGCACTGCCCGTGTACCAGGCGCTATTAAGCACGTTGACAACGACTTAATTTCATCTTCGCCACAATCCAGTGAGATAGGTGTTATGATCCCCATGTTACAGATGAGGAAACCAAGGTTCTGGGCACTGATTCATTTGTTTGAAGTTACACCACTTGTAAGTGGTGAGGCTGGAATTTGAGCCAAGATGGGCTGAACCCAGGCAGAGTATCCAAAGTTGTGATATTAGTACAGTGTGTTACTGTACCTGTTCAGGGGACACAGTCCTCACCTTCCTTTCAAACGCCATCATCAGGATAGGGTCTGAAACTCCTGCCTGCAGAAAAGCCTTGTGTGTCTCCCTTCCTGGTGGACCTTCATTTTGCCTCTTTCTAGCAGAGGAATGAAGCTGAAATAGTGCAACATCAGGCGGCTGCCCTGGCTGGGAATGAGCTCCAGGCTGCACCCCTCCCTGGAGTCTTGCCACCCTGCTGGCTCTGGCCTTGGCAGAAGTGCAGGTTGTTCTGGTTCTGCCCAGCCTCCTGCAAGGTGTCCTTTTCCAGGCCTTCTTCTCACCTTTGAGCAATTGCAGAAGAGGCAGGGGCCTCACACTCTGTCAAGCTAGATTACGAAACTGGCCAGGAATGTGGCGAGGAGAGGCAGATTCCCTGAGAACTCTGAATCCAGGATGTTAGAAGGTGGGGCCCTGGATCTCGGGGGTTTCCCTGCATTTCCTCCTTGGTCTCTGTCATTTCTGCCCTGCAGGGCTCAGCCAGCACACGCTTGTCTACACAGATTGCTCCCCAGAGCTTCTCCACTGCAGTCCTTATCAGGCTGCTTTGCTCCGGTGGGGGGCTCACCAATGGCTGGGGCCCTGTAGGCCATGCCCTCTGCTTCTCTCAAGGGTACCCATTTGGGGCTGGGACGAGAAGTATGCAGCGTGGTTCGGCATGGGATTGACAGCCAAGGATGTGACACTGGGTAGGGACAAGGAGGAAGCCCCAGGCCTTTCCCGTTCCCTTCAGGGCTCCCACTGCACGGTGAGGGCCAGGCCTCTGAAAAGAGCATCCAGCTCTGTGGGCTGCTCCAGGTCTGCGGTCTCAGGGGCTGGGCTCTTGGCTTCATCCCTGGGACACAAAAGGGACTCCAGCAGGCCCCAGGGACTTGGACCCTGGTTGGAGGGGGAACAGGGGCGGGAAGGAGGATGCAAAGGGAGGGACACGGGGTGGCCCTCGATCTGGACTGAGGAGAGGAGGGGGAGCTGGCCCTTTAGGTACAGTGGTGTCCCTTCCTCCCCACTATGTAGCACATTTGGGTCAGATGTTCTGCCTGTGCAAACCCCCAGGGGCTGGTGCAATGATTTTGCTTCTTGGGATTCCTCCGTAGCCAGGGAGGTCACCTCCTGCAGAGAAAGGCCACCTGGCAGGCAGCTTCCAGCTGGTGCCTCTTTCTGCAGCTGACCTTTAGGCCTAAGGTGTTTAGGACTAGAAAGGGTCACAGCCAGGGAGTCTTTGCCAGAATTTTCCATGCATACCCCATAGGAGGGAGGCCAGCTGTCTGGAGTGGCCTGAGGGGCATAGGAGGGAGGCTGGACCTTAGAGATGGCCTCTGGGGTGTAGAATGGGGGTTGAGCTTCGGGGGTCACCTGAGGTGCATAGGATGGAGGCCCGACCTCAGGGACAGTGTTTGGGGCATAGGGCAGTGGGGAGAAGATCTGGGGAGGTAGCATGTTGGAGGGCTGGAGGATGATGTCTGGCCGTCCTAAATAGGTGGTCTCAGGCAGGCCGTGCTGCTGTGGAGTTCCCGCAGGCTCCCTGGGCCCAGACACCCTGATCTGGGAGTACTGGACAGGCTGGGCCAGACTGCTGGGGCCACTGAGGTCGAAGACAGGGATCAGGACGTGCTCCTGGATGAAGCGCAGTGGCTGGAAAGTCAGGACTCGCTGGACGTTCTGTGCAAGGATGAAAACAGGGCCCCCCCTCAGTTAGGGTATGTGCCACGATCCCTGCCGGTGATGTGGGTGGGTGAGGTCCTCTATGGGGAGACATCTGGGGCTTTTTCAAGATGTGTCTGTCCCATATCCCCTCTGCTTCCCAGAGACGACCCTAGGTGCCAGCGAAGGGACAGGGTCTCTCAGCTCTTTCGTTCTAAGGACTGGGTTATCTCAGGGAGAGAGACCCAGGCTCTGGTTTCTCCAGGAGGCAGATAATCCAGGGAATGGATAATGGGGATTGGGGTTGCCTTGGGGCATGCTCTTGAGGTGGTGGCCTGCATGGTTGCCTGGCCCATGGGTCCCTGAGGGCCTAATACAGGGTCAGGGTAGGAAAGGAAGGAGCCAGGAGAGGTCAGGAGAGCTTTACAGAAAATGCTTCATCTGGACTTGCACGTTGAGCAAAACTCCCTCAGAGCTCTTCTGTCCTTCGGACAGGCGAGAGCAGGCTCCAGGTGCCCCAGGTGGCTGCACTCATGGCCTCTGCCGTGGGCCTGGCTGCTCTAGCAGAGGCGGCTCTGCCATCAGGTGGGGCTGCTGATGTGATTTGCATGGCTGGTGCAGGGCTTTCCGTTTTGTTTTTGGGTAGGGGGTTCTGGTCTGCAGGTGCTAGACAGATTCTAAAAGAGCTGTAACAAAGGGCTTTCCATTTAAAAATTAGTTTTGCCACTTAAAAATTTTCTGTTTAAAATGGCTGGGCACAGTGGCTCACACCTGAAATCTTAGCACTTTGGGTGGCCGAGGTGGGCGGATTACCCGAGGTCAGGAGTTTGAGACCAGCCTGGCCAACACGGTGAAACCCCATCTCTACTAAAAATACAAAAATTAGCTGGGTGTGGTGGCACATGCTTGTAATCCCAGCTACATGGGAGGCTGAGGCGGAAGAATCGCTTGAACCCAGGAGGCAGAGGTTGCAGTGAGCTGCGATCGCACCACTGCACTCCAGACAGAGTGAGACTAAATCTCAAAAAAAAAAGTTAAAAAAATTAGTTCTGAATACTTGAAAATTTGGAGATTTCATAATATAAGCAGAAACTCTGACTTCTCTTGAAAAACATGAAGATCAGGCAGTGCTGGGCCTGAGTTCCCACACGGTGGTGCCCTGCTGCCAGTTTAGACAGGGCATGAGTGCCATGGCTCTCCAGGCACCCACCACTCCTCCCTCGTTGCCTTGCTGCTCACTGAAGTCCCACGCTACCCTCCTGGTGCTGGACACTTCCAAGCCATGTGGGTTTCCTATTCCATGTCCACTCTTCCTGATCACCCACCCCTCTTCACTGCGTCCTGAGACCTGCTGGGCCACACGACTGTTGACTTTAGGTGGGACTGTGAGCTCCATGATGGGAGACAGCAGGCCCATCTCCTGCTTTGTCTGTGGATCTCTGCATCTTGGGGAGAACCGGGGGCCTCAGAGTCCAGGCCCTCCCCTAGACCTCTCTCTCCCACCCCAGGAGAATGGCTCACCAGGGAGTTGGGAGGTGCAGGTGGCTTGGTGACATATCTGTAGCTCAGGTAGCAGAGCACTGCGACAAGGAAGCCCATGGAGAATAGGAAGGCTCCAGAGAAGGAGTAGGTCCATGTCCGGTCTGGGAAAGCAAAGGGGCCAGAGGAGGAAGCATGAGGCCGGGCTCTGCCTGGGCCCAGTTGGGTCCAGTCCCACATATGGATGCTGAAAAACCTCTCCAGCTGGGCTGGGAGGCCTCTTCTATACTCAGAATGCAAGATCACAAATAGAAGTCCATATACAGTATGTCTAAATAGTCAGAATTTACAAACTGCATGTTTACACTGTTACATAAAATGTTCTATGTTTCCACCTTGACAAAAAGACTTTTCATTAAAATACAGGATGCCGTATTTTAATTCAGAGTTCTTGGACTTCTCTAGGTACTGTGCTGAAGTGGTGAAGGGGAGCGGGGAAGGCCCACAGCGCACTGCAGGCCCCCAGCCAGCCCAGCCTGGCCCAGCTCTATCCCACGCTGCCAGGGTCCTCATGCACATGTGTACAGATGCCCCAGCCCTCACGGTTGACCTCATCAGTGTCCCCCACAAATAGCCACCTGTTGATCGTCCTTTGGGTCAAGGGTCTGCACTGCATGTTAGCAGTGTCTGTCTTCATGAGGAAGGACCCCCCAAAAGAGGACTGCCTAGACAGATGACAGGCTCTGAGCCGTATGCATAGAGAGTTTCAGGGGCTCGGCTACTCACAATGTGGTCTAGAAGAAAGGCCACAGGATCTAGATGGACCTGTCCCCTTTGTTGTATGGAGTCTTCATCTTGCAAGGGGGATTATGGTCACGGCAGGGCCAGCAGGGCCTTCTAAAGTGCTGGTGCAGGAAGGGCCCCTCCTGCCTGAGTCTAAGGGCGGTCCTGCCTCCCTGGCAGGGTAGAGGCAGAGGGAGGGGAGAGGGGACAACAGGGAGGCCTGTCCCCTCTACCTCCCTACCAAGGTAAGGGGCTGGGTATCAGGGAAGATCTTGATCAGGAAGGGAGCCTGGTAAGGCACTGTCCTGTCCAAAACAGAGGGGAAGGGATGACTAGGGCTCTGGTGCCCAAGCCTCCGCCCAGTGTTCCAGCATCTTTGGGATGGGTGCAGCCAGTTCCAGGCATGACACACTTCCTGTCACTCATCCAAGTGGGACTTGTGAAAGGCTTGGGGAGGAAGAGGTCATTGGAGTGTTTGGTAAAACTGACAGTTCGCCACAGAGGGAAGGCGACTTAAGGAGGCAAGACCCCTCCAGTCCAGGGTTTGCTAATCTGTTCCTGGCCCCTGTGTGGCCTCTGCTTGGAGAGTTATTCAATAGCTCCAATGACCTCGGTGATCACTGTGAACCCTGGGAACTCCTGGGTCCTCTACTTCTGACCCACTCCTTGCTCCTCCCCTAGCTCATGAGCTTGAGCCTCTCTGGGTCAGCTTCCTGCTGTGGTGAGACCCTGTCCCCTGTCACATGTTACCCCATCCCTACTCCAGGAAAAAAACATGACTTGGATGTCTGAATGGCTATAACATTCCTGGAAAACCACTTCTCCTTGTCCCAGGACAAGATAGGGACATGGAATGGTCCCTGGCTTGACACTGTTCCATTTTACATTGTGTGTATTTGATACATTGCCATTTCACCCATAGGAAGGCTGGATGGAATAGTAAGAACAGCATCCGCCTGGGAGTAAGGAATATGGAGTGTTCCAGGTCTGGCTCTGCCACACCTGGATGCTGAGCATCCTTCCTGCCTGCATGACCCTCTCTGGTCTACCCTTTAATAACAACAGCAGCCAGCGGTGGCTGTGCTCCTACTACAGACCATGGGCTGTGCTGGGTGCTCTACCTACGTTATCTCACTACATCATGAAAACACAACACAGAATGATAGGCATGCTCCCTTCCCACAGATAACAAAGCTGAGTCTCAGAGAGGTTAAGTGACCTGACCAAGGTCACACAGCTACTCGGTGGAGTTACATGTGTAATTCCAAAACTTATCCTCCGTGCCACTCTGTAAGGAGGACTCAGTTTCCTCATCTGTAAGATTAGGATATGAGGTGAAATGGCCCTTAGCGCCTTTTCCATCATCAAGATGCCAGGGCAATGCTCTGTGTCTCTCCCTGTTTATCTACTGAGAGGTAGATAAAGGGGATTCTGGAGGTAACGCAGACGTCAGGATACACAGTCAAGGGCAGGATGCATCACTCTGAATTGGAAGTTAGAGGAGGAAGTATGCAGTAGAGGGGGCTCACTGTAAGCAAAGCTGCAAAGTGGTGGGTAGAGCCCAGGCTTCAGAACCAGATGAATCAACCAGGTTCCCTGAGCAGCTGTGTGGTCATGGGCAAGTTGCTTAACCTCTCTGAGCCAGAGTTCCTCCTCTGTAAAATGGGATGATGCTACCCAACTTGCAGCGTTGTTCTAAAGATTAAATAATATATGTCACATTTAATAATAAAGATTAAATCATATATGTGAAGCATTTGGCACAAATATTTGCTTGGCAATACAGTAGAACCTAATAAATGCAGGAATTGTTTTTAATATATTTTAAAGAATAAGGTGCCTTCCATATGTCAGCAAGAAGTAGCCACCAAGAAGTGTGATTTATATAAAAGCAGTCTTAGGAAAAAATGGTATCGCGTTATGAACAAGACCACGGGGCTGGGCACGGTGGCTCATGCCTATAATCCCAGCACTTTGAGAGACCAAGGTGGGCAGATCACCTAAGGTTGGGAGTTTGAGACCAGCCTGACCAACATGTAGAAACCTCGTCTCTACTAAAAATACAAAATCGGCTGGGCATGGTGGCACATGTCTGTAATCTCAGCTAGTCAGGAGGCCAAGGCAGGAGAATCCCTTCGAACCTGGGAGGCGGAGGTTGCGGTGAGCCGAGATTGCCCCATTGCACTCTAGCCTGGCCAACAAGAGCAAAACTCCATCTCAAAAAAAAAAAAAAAAAAAAGACCATGTAAGGACAAGGCAACAGAAAGGCCTTGTGGATAAGGGTGGAATGGTCTTCACACTGTCAAAAAGCTGGTGGGCCAGGGGTGGGCCAGGAGCAGGTGAGCTGTGTCTAGGACAGTCCAGGGAAGAGAGTCACACAAATGCTCCCAGCTTAGCCCCAGAAAGTCAGTTTCCTTTTTCTAGTTCTCCTCTTGCTAAGTTCTGTTCTGGGCTCCCTAGCAGCCCTTGCCCCAGGAAGGGTATACCCCATGCAAGTAGCCAGTGCTGGCTGTGCCATGAGACATAGTTCCCCTGCCAATTAATGCACTGGGATTCTTGGGTGGAGAACTCCATCTCTTGTGGGCTCTTTGGAAAGCTGACGAGTTTCTGAACAAACGAGCACCAGACCGTCATTCTCTAGGGCCCAGCTCTGGCAGCTGCCTGGCCTCTGATTATGGCCTCAGCCCAGGCATCAGCAACCCTGTCTGTCAGATGAGGGATGAGGCTACCAGACAAGTGGCTGGCTGGCATCTGACTAACACTGTGCCTTCTCATTCCTCCTCTTTCTGCTGGGCTACACACAGTGTCCAGCTTGCAGACTCAACTCTGTTCTGAATGTTGGCATGGTTGGAACTGAGATCACTTACCGATATCATGAATATGAACATGAGGATGAAGTGGAGACTCTTTTACCAAATCTATCTCATCCACTGCTATCCATCCTCTAAACCAGCAGTCTGAGCAATACAACATTTCCATCTGTCTATGAAAATAAACACTAATAAAAATATCATGATGCTTGTGATGAGAATCAAGTTTCAATGTGCTAGAGGAAGGAACCACCTCATTGAGCAGATGACTCAAAACTATATCTAGGCTGGGGTGGTGGTTCATGCCTGCATTCGTAGCACTTTGGGAGGCTGAGGCGGGTGGATCACTTGAGGCCAGGAGATCAAGACCAGCCTGGGCAACAGGGTGAAACGCTGTTTTGCTTTTTTTCACACAAAAAATTTACATTTCTTTTTTTTTTTTTACAACAACAACAAAAAAATTAGTCAGACGTGGTGGTGGCACACATCTGTAATCCAGCTACTTGGGAGGCCGAGATGGGAGAATTGCTTGAAGTCAGGAAGCGAAGGTTGTAGTGAGTGGAGGCTGTAGTGAGCCAAGATTGTGTCACTGCACTCCAGCCTGAGCAACAGAGTGAGACTCTGTCTCAAAAAACAAAAAACAAAAAAACTACAAAAACCCCCAACTGTGTCTATAGTAGCTCTGTGGTAAAAATATGGCCTTTAGAATTAGGCCTTATTCCATCCCTCAGCACCTGTGTGACCTTGGGCAAATAGCTTTTTTTTGGAGACACGATCTTGCTCTGTCATCCAGGCTGGAGTGCAGAGGTACAAACACAGCTCTTTGCAGCCTCAACCTCCTGGGCTCAAGTGATCCTCCTGCCTCAGCCTCCTGTGTAGCTGAGACCACAGGTGCACACCACCATATCTAGCTAATTTTTTGATTTTTTTTTGTGGAGATGGGGTTTTGCCATGTTGCCCACGCTGGTCTCAAACTTCTGGGCTCAAGTGATCCTCCTGCCTTGGCCTCCCAAAGTGCTTAATTTACAGATGTGAGCCACTGTGCCCAGCCATGGGCAAGCTACCTGACCACTCTGAACCTCGGGTTCTTCATCTGTAAAATGAGGGTGAAAATAATACCTACCCCAGAGACTGTTCATGAGGGTTGCGCTTGGTTGTGCCTGGTCCCTGTTAGCACTGCGGAAATGCTAGTTATCCCGATGCCATTATTATTGTTTGACTTTGGAAGATATTGAGGGATCTTTTTATCTTCTCTGCTTCCCCCCTGCAGATTTTCCCTCCGGTGGCTATCTCACCTGGGTTAATATTAAGGTGAGTTTGCTTTGCCAAGGTACACACACAAAGCCTGTGAGAGAGGGGAAATCCAGACATAGGCTGGAGGGTGAGAATCAAACATTTGCTCTAATAACTCATCAGCCACCTCTTTTATGGATAAACAAAGACCGACTTCAATAACACACTGATAACCCTTCCATGGTTTTTTAGAGTGCTGCCAAGACTCACCTTGGTTACAGTGAGGAAAGAGGAGAGTTGAGACTTGGATTCAGGAACCACACTTCCCTCTGGCTTCAGCTGAACTCACCTGGGAGCGTCTTCACTCGGCACACGTAGGGGGCACTCTCCTTGAACCAGGTGGTAACAAAGACCGTGATGGTGCCAAGGAACTCTGTGTCAGGCGTCAGGCCGAAGAACTCATATTCTCTCTGCTTCCCTTCCAGGCGCTGAATGGGACAGAGAACCCAGTGTGATTCCTGTTACACACCAATCTCCACATGGATCCCAAGAAAGCTCAAACCAGAAGCTGATGGGTGTGTCTTCGGCCTTCTGTTCCCATTCCCCTCCCTTCTGCTTTATCCCCAAATCCAATCAATCAGTCTCCAAACTCCTGTGCCTTTCACTTGTAACAGTATCCGGCCCATAGGAGGTGGTTATGCACTCCAGCTGCGCCATTATGACCTCCACCACCTCCCACCATCCCTTCTTCCAATTCTTTTCTTTGTTCAACATCCAAAACTCTTGAACACTCATCCTTTCTTTCTTTCCTTATTGCTTCTGCCTTAATCAGGCCTCAAGCCTTCAGCCTGGACTCTAGCAGCAGCCTCTTGCAAGCTCACTTATCTCTGGGTTTGCCCCTGTTCACTTCCATATTCATCTTGCTGTTGCAGGGATCTTTCTAAAAGATAACCTGATTATAATGCTCTTCTATTAAAAAGCCTTTGATGGCCTCACCCATATTTACAGAATAGAGTCCTGGTCCCTGGCTTCCAGTCCAGACTCTTTGTCTCTGCAGCCCACCTGGCTCTGCAGGCTCTTCAATGCTGGATACTTGTCACTCAGGTAAACAGCTGCCTTGCCTAAGAAAGCCCTTGCCGATCCTTCTGCTGGAACTGTGCTTTGATTCTCATTCCTCTGTGTATCTCTCATCTCTTTGACACTGGACTCCTCTCCCCCGGATGCCACATGTCATCCTGCCTGGCTCTTCTCCTGCCTCTCTGGTCTTTCCCTGGTTTTAGCCCCTGTGTTGTTCTATAAGGTTTGCTCTTCAACCATTTCCTTCTCTTTCACATACTCTCTCGCCACTTAGTGATCTTATCTGAACCCATGGCTGCTGTGAGCACCAGTGTGTGGATAACTCCCAAACGTATCTCAGGAAAAGCTGTTGAAGATGGGCCCAGGCAGCTCCCTGATGGATAGTACCACGTGGGCATCTTTAAGTCAACATGTCCAAACATGCTGCCCTCCTCTCTCTGGGGCCTGCTGCTCCATCACAAACCCTGTACCCATATCTGTTTTTAATTCTCTAATTTTGGTAATAGCATCACTCTTCTTCTAATATCAAGGGCCTAAACCTTGAAGCCATTTTGGACGAATCCCCTCTCATATCTTAGGTAGCTAATTGCCCTTAAAGGACCCAAAAAGCTTTCTTTAAAGGGCCAGAACCTGTGTTCTTGGGAATTCAAAAAATGAGAATTTTCTTCTTTGGGTCTTTGTATTTCAGCTCTGCCTTCTCTTTTTCAGGCACATGGAGGCCAAGGTTGAGAGTAATTTATTGTTTTCTTTTGTGTGTGTGAATGGGGGTGGTGGTGAGAGTGGGTAAAGAAGTACATAAATGAATTATTTAACTTAGTGTATGTAGAACTCATATGGTTGAAACTGGACACATTACATATCATGAGACAGAACCCCAGGAGATTTGCCAAGGCCCTGATTCCTCCTTCCGCAAGTTTTTCACTCCCTCCGTCCTGGTTTAGCTCTTATTTCCAGCTTATACCATTGAAATAGTCTTCTAACTTTCTACTCTGATATCTCTTCTATTTCCATATTTGATCTTTCTTTATTCTGATCCTAGTAATTTATAGCTTCTATTGGACTAAACATCCCCAAAATAACAACTATAAATTCTGAGCAAAATGAAAAACAACTACTTAAAGGCAGTAGAGAGAAAATAAAAGCAGGTACATACTGGAGAGAGGAGGAAGGGCAATGGGTAAATTTCCCATTTTTACTGTCTTTTAGCCTGAAGGCAGACCCCAGTCTATACCTTGTAGGATGGCTAAAACCTAGTTAGAAACCCTGTATTCTTACTGGCTAGAATACCCAAAAGGCAGGGTTTGGAATAATTGTAGCTCCTGGAAAATGAGAGAATAAACTACAGACAGGAGAGATCCACAGAGAAGAAGGCCCAAACTCTGTGTATAAACTCTGCTCACATCCCTGACTGGCCCCTAAAGAAAGCATGAATGGGCTAGACGCCAAGCAGCCCAGGTAAAGTTAAAAACAACAAAAAAGAGAACAGAGATTTCAGAGTTAGCCAAAGTAATTGCCTGCCAAAACCAGATGAAACCAAACCAATACTCTTGGGAGGAATATAACAGAATCGACAGTAATTTCAACATAATGTCCAGGATACATTTCAAAACTGTTAGACATACAAAGAAAGAATATGTGACCCATATTCAAGAGAAAAGACAATCAACAGTAACTGACCTGATGATCAAAATGTTGAATTAGCAGACAATGATTTTATTTATTTATTTATTTTAAGACAGTCTCGCTCTGCCACCCAGGTTGGAGTGCAGTGGTGCGATATCAGCTCACTGCAACCTCTGCTTCCCAGATTCAAGTGATTCTCCTGCCACAGCCTGCTGAGTAGCTGGGATTACAGGTGCCTGCCACCATACCTGGCTAATTTTTGTATTTTTAGTAGAGATGGGGTTTCACCATGTTGGCCAGGCTGGTCTCGAACTCCTGGCCTCAAGTGATCTGCCCACCTTGGCTTCTCAAAGTGCTGGGATTACAGGCGTGAGCCACCTCGCCTGGCTGACAACTATTTTAAAGCAGCTGCATAACCATGCTTCAGTAAGTGAAGCAAAAATATGCTCATATTGAATGAATGAATAGAAAAATCTCAGTAGAATATGGAAACTACAAAAACTGGGAACTTTAGAATTGGAAAAATTCTAGATATTGTTATCTGAAATTTAAAAATCCACTGAATTATCTCAACAACATTTTGGAAATGATAGAAAAAAATAGAGAACTTGAAGAAAGATTGATAAGATAGAATTAGATAGCGGTCATGGTTTCATAACTTGTGAATATGCAAATAACATCAGAATTGTATGCTTTAAAAGAATGAATTCCATGGCATGTAAATTATATCTCAAAAAAAGGTAAAGGCTCTCAGAGCTAAAGAGATACATTTTGAATATAATAACAGAGAGATTGAAAATGAATGTAAAAAATGTAAAATGATATACGATGCAAACCATTGGAAGGCTGGAGTGGCTATACTAACCTAGAGTAGGTAGAGTAGACTTCCAATACAAAGAGTGTGACTACAAATAAAAAGGAACAATTCATATGACAAAAGGGTCAGTCTATCAGGAAGATACAACAATTATAAATGCATATATATTTAATAACCGAGTTTTGAAATGCGTGAAGCAAAAATGCACAGAATTAAAGGGGAAATAGAACTCCTGGGCTCAAGAGATCCTCCCGCCTTAGCCTCCCAGAGTGCTGGGATGACAGGCGTGTCCGGTGCATAAACGGACACACTTATAGTTGGAGAGTTACTATTTTCAGCAATTAATTGACCTCTCAAATTGACCTCTCACCTAAATCAGGAAAGACACAGAAGATCTGAATGTCACAAGTAACCACTGTTACCTAATTTATATTTATAGCACACTCCACCAAACAACTGCAAAATATACATTCTGTTCAGGTGCACAAGGAGCACTCACCAAGACAGGCCATAGGCTGGGCCAGAAATAACAGAAGCCCCGATAAATTTAAAAGGACTCAAATCATACAGCTGTGTTCACAAACTGAATAAGTTAGAAATCAATAGCAATAAAATATTTAATAAGAACCCAAATGCTTACCAAATAATAGACATGATGGGGACTCTCCCTGCTCAGTAATCTCTAGTGGCTCCCCCCAACTACTGAAAGAAATCCCCTTACCACCCTACCCCTTCTACAGCATAGTCCCATCCAGTCTTCTGAGGTTTATCTCCCAGGGTCCCTCTACACCAGAGGTTCTCAAGCTTTGCGTTGGGGAAGAAGCACCTGGGTTGCTCACTAAAACCCACATCCCAGGGACGCAAGTGCAAAATATTAATTAAGTTGACTGGAGGGGACCCAAGGCTCTGCATTTTAAACAAGTGCTGCAGGACATTCTGATGCTGTTTCTTTGGGACCAAGTTCTGAGAAACTGTTTTACATGTCCTTATGCTCCAGTCAAAGTGGGCAGTTCCGTGCTTTTCAAAAATGTCCTAAGATGGCCAGGTGTGGTGGCTCACGTGTGTCATCCCAACACTTTGGGAGGCCAAGGTGGGAGTATCTCTTGAGCCCAGGAATTCAAGACTAGCCTGGGCAACATAGTGAGGCCTTGTCTCTTTTTCTAAAAAATGGCTTAAGTTTTCCTATTTTTCTCTCTGATTATGGTGGAGCAGTATAGGCGGCCAGTGGTGGAAGAAATGTGGGCTAAACAGAACTGGCTTTGAATTCTGTCTACACTATTATTTGCTGAACAATCTTGAGCAAGTGACTTAATTTCTCTTGGTTCCCTCATCTAGAAAATGGAGATGACAGAACCTTTCTCACAAGGCTCTGATGAAGATTAAATGATATGATATGCATATACTACCTGGCATGCATATTATGCATGCGTTACCAAGATGTCATTAATATTGATATATTACCAGGCTTGCCACAGAAATTGGTGTTGGCTTTCTGGAAGCCAGTTAGATAGAATTAGATAGTGGTGATGGTTTCACAACTTTATGAATAAACAGCATCTAAATTGTATGCTTTAAAATAATGACTTTTGGTATTGTCTTTCTGGAAGACAATACCAATTTCTGAGCCATGTCAGGTCATATATGCATATTATGTCATTTTCGGCTTCACAAAAGTTTTCTGGAAGTTCCAAGTCTTGCTGTGCTGACATCCTGCCCCACCTCCCAACACCCGTATTATCCTCCACTGATAGCTACTGCATTCTTGTTTTAGCTCCCTCTTCATTATATAACCTCCCCGAGATGATAAGCTCCTTGCAAGCAGGAACCACAAAGTAGGAAATAAATCTTCATTTAACTGAATTGTGGATTGGTGGCACGTGTTAGGGGTAGGGGGTACCAAATATTTTCTGAATCCAAAAAGAAAGAACTTCTATATTATTTGACAATTTATGCCCTTGCCTTCTACCTCTCATTATTACTCATCTTACCACACTGAACTGTATATAGTTCCTGCAAACAGTGGAGAGCTAGTAGAAAGAACTGCAGCAGTAGAAATTGGTCCTCGCATTTTCTAAAGTAAACATCTGAAGATATTAATAGAGGTTGTTCCCCAGGATGTGAGAAGGTATTAAACAAAAAATAATGTAGCCGGGCGTGGTGGCTCACGCCTGTAATCCCAGCATATTAGGAAGCTGAGGCAGGCGGATCACCTGAGGTTGGGAGTTCGAGACCAGCCTCACCATCATGGAGAAACCCCGTCTCTACTAAAAATACAAAATTAGACGGGTGTGGTGGTGTGTGCCTGTAATCAGGAGGCTGAGTAACTTGAACCCTGGGGGCAGAGGTTGCAGTAAGCGGAGGTCGCACCATTGCACTCCAGCCTGGGCAACAAGAGCAAAATTTCGTCTAAAAAAAAAAAATCACAACCAACCAAACAAAAAACAGTTTTTCTGGTCAAATAAATTTGGGAGAAGTTGTATTAAACAAATTGATAGTGGAGTCTTGGCTCTGCAGGACTTGTTAGAGCTTTTGGCTGGCTATTGTGTGTGTGAATCTACGAGAGAGGTTGTCATTTGTGATGTTTTCCGGGCTTCAAGGGACATGTTTTGGGAAATGCTGATTTACATAACATGTCCCCTTTTTTCTTACAGTAGCTCAGGTCTAACTGAGAAGGGACAGGCTTCCTAGGCAGAGAAAGACCAGGGTGCGACATACACTTACCATTTGGTAGGTGCGGTTGACTTGGAGCTCTAAGCGGTAGGACAGGTCATGGAAGATTTCTTCCAGGGTTAGCCAGTGGCCATCCCCTGCACGGATGGGTGTGGGGGTAGGATGAACAATCATCTGGATTGATCTCACTTTGGGGATACAGGTCACATCAGGAGGTTTGAGGGTAGCTGGGGATAGGGAGAGAGAAAAGAGAAAAGAAAAAGTCAGAATTGGTGTGTAGTGTCTGAGGCCACACTGGACAGTGGAAAATGACTGGACTCTCTCTCCTTCCACGCCAATGCCAGCTAAACAGACAGTGAAAAGAGAGACATTTCTGCAAGCCCTGGTGTTTTGGTTTCAGGCTGGAGAAGGGATGACCAAGGGTGGATGAGAAAAACCCAGGGTGAGGGGCACTGGCCCCCTCTCTTAGTCATGCCTTTGGCTTACCCCCACACATCCCAACCCCCCGTGTCCCTACTTTAAGTCAGCCTGGAACACCCTTCCCCCCTCATCTATTGAGTATATTGGGGATGCCAATGACATCAACTACACATCCGAAATAATATCTGGGGCCTAATACTGCGATGCAGCCTCAAAGGTCAGGCTGAAGACTTCCGTCTCTCTCAAGAAGAAATTTTCCAAATTGCCAAATGAGCTTTGCTGGTTTTACTCCTTTGAGAATGTGATGAAAGCTGTGGCTCTTCTCCCTGCCAAAATGTACACATACAAAAATCTTACATCCAACTTCAGGGATTCATAGACCTCACTTTCCCTGAATCTAATTTGTAAAAATACCTCAATGATCCACTGGCCTTCAAGATTGAAAATAGCTGAGTCAGAACAATGTTTACTTCAGTGGTGCTAATAAAATTGAAAATCTGCACTGTATGTTCTCAAAAAGGGAAATAGATAAGTAAATTAGAGTACCTCCCTAGAATGGATCATTTTGCACTGTGAAATATCATGTTGCACAAAAATGTTTAATGATATGAGCAAATGTTCACGATACAAATAGATGGAGAAAAAGAACGTAGGACAGAAAAGCAATGCCAGATTGAAAAATAGATACAGCTACTAGTAACTGCAGTTATGTTTGAATGTTAAGGTCATTTTGGGTGACTCTTATTTTTCTTCATGTATTTCTATATTTCACAAATTCTCAACAATAAGCATGAATTCATTGAACAAACCAGGTTAAAAATACAATACTTAATTTTATTTTTTATTATTATGTATTAATTTGAGATGGAGTTTCACTCTTGTTACCCAGGCTGGAGTGCAATGGCGCGATCTCGGCTCACCGCAACCTCCGCCTCCTGGGTTCAGGCAATTCTCCTGCCTCAGCCTCCTGAGTAGCTGGGATTACAGGCATGCACCACCGTGCCCAGCTAATTTTTTCTATTTTTTAGTAGAGACGGGGTTTTGCCATGTTGACCAGGATGGTCTCGATCTGTTGACCTCGTGATCCACCTGCCTCGGCCTCCCAAAGTGCTGGGATTACAGGCTTGAGCCACTGCGCCCGGCCCTATTTTTTATTTTCCTAAAAAGCTATGTGTGACTGTAAAGTCAACTGCTGAACATGATCACATGCTTAGCTTGTGCGGGGAGTTTGGCAACTGTATTAGTCTGTGCTCACATTGCTCATAAAGGCACACCTGAAACTGGGTAATTTATAAAGGTCATAGTTCCACATGGCTGGGGAGGCCTTAGGAAACTTACAATCATGGTGGAACGAGAGGCAAACATGTCCTTCTTCACATGGTGGCAGGAAGGAAAATGAGAACGGAGCAAAAACAAAGATCCTTTATAAAACCATCAGATCTCGTGAGAACTTAGTATCATGAGAATAGCATGGGGGAAACTGTCCCCATAATTCGGTTACCTCCCATGGGTCCTTCCCACAAGACAGGATTATGGGAACTAGAATTCAAGATAAGATTTGGGTGGGGACACAGCCAAATCATATCAGCAACTGCTATCCATGCCTTCATTCATTTACTGAGTGTCTTTTTTTTTTTGAGACAGGATTTCACAGTGTCATCTAAGCTGGAGTGCAGTGGTGCAATCCCAGTTTACTGCAATCTTGACGTCCCGGATTCAAGCTACCCTCTCACTTCAACCTCCTAAGTAGCTGGGACTACAAGTGCATGCCACTGCATCTGGCTAATTTTTAAATTTTTTGTAGAGATAGAGTCTCACTGTGTTCCCCAGGCTAGTTTTGAACTCCTGGGCTCAAATGATCCTCTTGGCTCAGCCTCCCAGAGTGCTGGGATTACGGGTGTGAGCCACCACGCCCAGCTATTGAGCATCTTCTATGTGCTAGGCACTATGCTGGGAATGTGGTGGATTCTGCTGCCCACACGTGCCGTTCTCGAGCTCACATTTTAGAGTGAGAGGCAGATAACACAGGTCAGCAAACACAGTCATTGCAGCGCGAGTGATGAAGGCAGTAAACTGTGCATTGCAACAGAGAATCACAGGCAGCAGCCTCCCAAAACCAGGGCACCAGGGCTGGAGGTGGGGACACTGACTTGGGAGGCGATGTTGAAGCTGAGCCCTGAGGAGTGGAAAAGAGCCAGTCATGTGAAGAGCCCAGAAGTGCCCCAAGACAGTGGGAGCAGCAAGGACCCCGAGGCAGGAACTGTCCGAGGCCTGGCTGCCCTGGAAGACAGGTTCGAGATTAGGACCAGGATAGGCAGTGCCTCAAGGGCCATGGCAAGGAGTTGGATCTTATTTTAAGAGTCATGAGAAGCTCTCAGAGGGTTTTAAGATGAGAGAGAAGGTGGGATTTATGTGTTGAGGAGATCTCTCTAAATGCTCTGTGGAGAATGGGCTGGAGGAGGTGGTAAAGCAGGGAGTTGGGGAAACAAGTTAGCTGGCTTTGACCACAGTTGAGGGGTGAGATAAGCGTAGTCTGAACTAGAGAGGTTGGAGTGGAGAAAAAGGAACAAACCTGCTAGGGGCACACTGTAATTGGTGTGTATGTGTGGGGGCAGTGCCTTCCCTAAAAGCCACACCCCTTACTGTCTCCCTCCCCTTGCAGAAAGCCCCTTCTGGGCCCTCCACCCACTCCAGAGGGGAAGAGCCATCCCACCCCAAACACCTGTGCTTTCCTCTCCCCTCCCCTGAAGCCCACAGGGGCTCCAACTCACTGTGTTGCAGAGCGCTGAACCTGTCGGTCATCTTGGTGGCTGTCCGGCCTCCCGCGCTGACGGCGGTGACCCTGGCATAGTAGAGCTCTGTGAAGTTGCCCGTCTCCACTGTCAAGTTGCAGGACTTCCGAGTGATCCGCTGGCAGCCCTTCTTTGCCACCCAGTCCCTCTCTCCGTACCTGTGGGCCAGGGAGGGGCTGGGTCACCGAGGTGATGGAAAGGCTGGCCTTAGGCCTGTGGCTTATTAATAATGTCAAGGAGATCTAATTTACTTAGCACATTCGGTGACCCAGGCCCTTTATATGAATATCTCATTTTGTTCTCACAATGTTCCTCTGAGGCGTTTTCTTTTTCTTTCTTTCCTTCTCTTTCTCTTTTTCTCTCTCTCTCCCCTTTCCCCTCCCTCTCCCTCTCCCCCTCTATCCCTCTCTCCTTCTCGCCCTCTCCCTCTCTCTTTCTCTCCTTGAGACAGGGTCTCGCTCTGTCACCCAGGCTGGAGTCCAGCTGTGCATTTGTTGGCTCACTGCAACCTCTGCTTCCCAGGTTCAAGTGATTCCCCTGCCTCAGCCTCAAGAATAGCTGGGATTACAGGAGTGCACCACCATGACTAGCTAATTTTGGTGATTTTAGTAGAGACAGTATGGCCAGCCTGCTGGTCTCGAACTCCTGACCTCAAGTGATCCACCTGCCTCGGCCTTCGAAAGTGCTCAGATTACAGGGGTGAGCCACTGTGCCCAGACTATTCTCTTTATTTTCCAAATAAAAAAGATGAGGCTCAAAGAAGTAAAGAGCCCACATGTTTGAAGCCTGCACGTGGGGAGCCAGGATTTGAACCCAGCCAGTCTGAGTCTGCATTCAGGGCTCATCATCACCATAACCCTTTGATGTGGGCCCTGTTATCCCCATATTACAGATGAGAGAAATGAGGCTCAGAGACGGGGAAGTAACTTGCCACAGGACAGCGTGGCATGACCAGGAGTGGAAGCCGGGGTTGAGGACTCCTGAGTCCAGGCCACCCCTCCTCACCTGCATAGGAGGGAGAGGAGCAGAAACAGGAGTGTGGGCTAGAGGGGCTGTGTGCATGTTTGGTTGACCTGATCTCATTAATAATAATAAGACAATTATTGGTAGCTGATAATTTTCCAGGCACAAGCGTTAATGACTTTATCTCGTTTAATCCACCCAACAACCCTGTGATGAAGGTGCTGTCATTCTCCTCACTTTGTGGGCAGAGAAACTGAGGCTTGGTGTGGTTACCTGGCTGCCCAAGGTTATACAGGCAAGAGCTGGCATTTAAGCCCAGACAGCCTGACTCTATCGCCTGTACTTTTCACCCTCATTTTATTCTCCCTCCGCAAAAGAAACATAAAGGAGCAAAGCTTTATCTGGGAGGGGCTGTGTGATGCCAGTCCTGGGGACATGGAGACATACAGAGAGGAGGGGATTCCTTGGAGAGGTGCTGGCTTCAGAGTAAAGGAGGTGGGGTCAGGAGAGAAGCATACGTCTTATACTCGATGCTGTAGACCGTGCCTGGGGTACCCTCTGGCCCGCTCTCCCAAGTCAGGATGTTTTCAAAGTTGCTGGACTGGAATTTCACGTTCTGGAGCAGATCTGAGAGGTCCTCAGGAGCATGAGCTGCAAGAGGGTGGGAGGAGGGTGAGCAGGGGCTTTCCCAGGGTCATTCTGCCCACATGTGGACTCAGAGTCCTGATCCATATAAATTTCTTGCAAAGTGCCTTTGCTTTCAAGATGCCAGCCTGATGGGTGAGCAGGCAGACCCCGGCCCCCAGCCTTCTATAAACAGGCCAGCGAGAGGGGACACTCCCCACACTGCTCTAAGCAACCATCCACTCTCAGTCATTTTGCTTTGCATTGAGATGTGATTCACATTCCATACATGTCACCACCTTAAGTGTTCAGTTCAATGGTTTCTTAGTATTTTCACAATGTTGTGAAACCATCACTAGTATCTAATTCCAGAACATAATATTTTCAGCACCACCCCCAAAAAACTGCATGCCCATTAGCACTCACTCCCCATTCTTCTCCTCCCCTAACCCCTGACAACCATGAATCTACTTCCTGTGTCTGTGCATTCGCCTACTCTAGACTTTTTATAAAAATAGAGCCTTGGCTTCTTTCATTTAGCATAATGTTTTCAAGTTTCACACATGTGGTTGCATGGATTCGTACTTCCTTTTTAGGGCTGAATATTATTCCATTGTGTGATGCATCACATTTTGTTTATCCACTCATCAGGACATTTGGGTTGTTTTTACGTTTTGGCTACCATGCTGCTGTGAACACTGCAATTTTATAAGTGGACACATGTTTTCAGTTGTCTTGGTTATATATCTAAGAGTAGAATTTGGTAGCTTACATTGTAGCTCTATCTTTAACCTTTTGAAGAACTGTCAAACTATTTTCTAAAGTGGCTGCACCATCTTTTTTTTCTTTGAGACAGGGTCTTGCTCATTCCCCCAGGCTGGAGTGCAGTGTTGTGATCATGGCTCACTGCAGCCTCAACTTCCTGGGCTTAAGCAATCCTTGCATCTCAGCCTCCCAAGTAGCTGGGACTACAGCTGGGAACCACCACATCTGGCTAATTATTTTTTAAATTTTTGGTAGAGATGGGGTCTTGCTATGTTGTCCAAGCTGTTATGGCTGCACCATCTTAAATTCCCACCAGTATTGCTCGAAGGGTTCAATTTCTCCACATCCCCATCGATGTTTGGTATTGTCTCTCATTCACTTTTTAACACAACTGGAAGTTGGTGTCCTCACCCTGATTTTACAGATAATGTAACTAAAATGTGTAAGAAGTAACTTGCCCCAAGTCAGTCATTTGAAGCAATGGCGGAGGAGGCGCTTGTGAATTCTGGTCTCTCCACCAGCTGAGCCCATCCCTGCCCACCCATCAGGCTGGCTTCTCAAAGGCAGAGTTATCTTGCACAAAATTTGTAGGGGGCAGGACTCTTGACTGAGCCTACACATGAGCAGGGTGACCTTAGGAAAGTTGTTTAAGTAACGAGAACTCAACTGCCTCATCTCTAAAATGGAAAGAGTTTGATTTACCTAAAGACAGACAATAATGACAACGGCAGCCGCTGGCATTTGTGAAGTGCCTGACCTCTTACAGCCAAGTCCCTTTCTTCATTAAATCCTCACGACAATGTGCCCACCGTCACTATCCCCATTTGATGAATGAGGAAAACTGAGGCTGAGAGAGAGCAGTTGCCCAGCTTCACAGTCAGCATGTGAAGAGCCTACAATAGCCATCCCGTGCTAGACTGGTTGTGGGGCGGATAGAGCGGGGCAGTGTCTGTGAATGTGTTTAGTGCCTAACAGGCCCCTAAGCACATGTGTGGAGTCCGAAGGGAGGAGGCCTGGGAAGGCCAGATGTTCCCTGTGTAGGGAGGGGGCTGTCTTATTCACCCTTTTATATGAGGGTGGGGGGCTTCAGGGACCTGAGCACCTGATCAATGGGTGAATTTAGGGAGGAGGAGAGGAGGGAGGAGGAGAGAAGCTGGCCCTTTAAGAGTCCACAGCCCTCTCTTCCAGCTTAGGTCTTTGTGCAGCCCAGTTCTGCTTAAAGTAAGCCAAGAGAAGCCATGGCCTCAGCCTCAAGGAAGGGGCTGGAGAGGGGCGTAGCCGCTGAAGCAATCTGCCCTGTAAAAAAAGAGCCCTTAACTTATAAAACACTTCCCTCAGCCCCCCAGACTTGGGCTGTGGAGAGCAAGAGCCTGCGGCAAAATGGCGGCCCAAGCTGGCAGCTGGCGGGAAAATGGCGGCCCAAGCTGGCAGCTGGAGGGAAAATGGCGGCCTAAGTTGGCAGCTGGGGGGAAAATGGAGGCCCAAGCTGGCAACTGGCTCCAAGCTTTCCCTTCCTGGCCACCCTGGGAAATAAACAGGTGGGAAAATGTTCAGCACCCTAACTGGGCCTTGAGGCCTGGGTGTGTGTCTTTGATACGTCTATGCCTCTCCTTCCCCAGACACACCCACGACCGCCAGCAGGCCCAAGGTGTGAGGGAGCGGACAGTTATGGATTCCCGCACTCCAAGTCTACACACAAGACGGGTGCTCAGGCTTGGCGAGGACCGGTGGGGATGGGGAAGTATGGTCCTACCCCGCTGCACATCCTCTGGCTAACCTCGAAGGCTTCCCTCCTCTCTGAATCTGGGTTCTGGCCCAGCAGCTGCAAAATGCCTTCAGGCTTCCTGGAGTCCCCAGAATGGGGCCTTAAGGACAGCATTGGGAGGTGTCTACCGCGTCTACCCAAGATGAGGGCTGTGCTGCAGAGCCTCAGGCTGTAGCTGAAGTCTTGTTTGGATGTGAGACTGGGAGGAACTGGGGTTAGTTCTGGAGGGGGCAGGGATGGATTCAGGGCTGAGTCTAAAGTTGGGGAAAGGAGTCCAGTCAAGTCAGACCTGAACAGCAGCTCTGGTGGGGTGGTGCGTCAGGGCAGGAGGGTGAGGGTGGCATTTGAGAGGCTCCATCAAGGGTTGGGGTAGAGTCTGCAGTGAGAATGGTTGCTGGTTGAGGTCTGTGTTCTGGGTGGGAAACAGAGGGCTCATCTGGGTTGAAGGCTGGTGGCTGAGGCGGGGAATATTGTCAAGGCAAAAGACCCTGGGCTCCGTGGAGGTTGGCACCACTTTTCAGTCAGGACCTGCAGTTGGCTTCCTGAAGTGGGGTGAGTGGACCTCGGCCCACCCCTCTCTTTTAGGGGTGTCAGGGAACTAACACGATCTCCCCTCTTCTCCCGCCCTACTCGCTCCTTCTCCTCCTCAAATCCGTCATCCATGCCTCAGCCTGTGCTGCTTCAGCCCTTCCCGGTTGAAAGTCTGTATTCTGAAACCGGGGGAGGCATGTGTTGTGTGGAGCCTGGCAGGCTGGCGGATTTATAAAAGGCAACATGTTTTTTCACATTCTTGTGGAAAATAACGTTCTGTCCACCAGCTGGGAAGCTAAGGAAAAACACAAACAAGAAACAATTCCACATGCTCTGGAGTCAGCCTATGGTTGGGGGTGTGAGGGGCTGGGCATGCAGCGTGAGACAGCTGACCCTGGACAATCTCCTAAGGGCTGTTTCTTGTGGGTCCCCCATCTCAAAGGGCCAGGAGCCTCTAGGATTTCCAATCAGTATGGCTGGAGTCCAAAGGAACGTGTCTTGTGGCCTCGCGGGGGTGCCTCGCATCTTCCTGGGATGCTCAGCCTGATTCTGGGGAGCACAGACTGAAGGAGCCCCACAGAGCTGGAAGCCCTGGGGGGCAGCGGCAGAGGGACCGGTAAGCTCTGCAGCTTTGTGGGCCTCTTCCCGCCCCGGAGCAAGGAGGGCCTGGCTGAGGCCATAACTCCTCACCATCCTTAATCAGGACTATACATTGACTTCCTAAGGAAGTTCCCTGAGTTGAGCAGAGACAGAGTCTAGGGGCTCATGTAACATCCTCCATCATGAGGAGCCCGAAACCCACTTGATTGGCTTTGAACACTATGGCCTTAAGCCCTGTTTCCAAACGGGTCCTGTGTCTTAAGACCTATTAACGTAGCAGAACTGGCCACTCTAGGAGAAAATGCTTTCAGATCTGTAATAACAAAAGGGGCCGAAGAGGCCCTGCAGGGACATGGAGGGTGGCAATGGTGGAATTCAAGCTCCGTTCCCCCGTCCCTCCTCCGTCTCCCCTGTCAGGCCAGTGCCAGGTGAGAGGCAGAGGAAGAGATGGCACAAACTGTGCCAGTGCCAGCACCATTTGAGGGACCGAAGGATGTCTGCCTCCTCCAGGCCAATACTCCATTCACTGAGGTGCAGTGACCCAGCACCCCAGTTCAGACGGCTGGCTATGTTCCCCAAGACCTGACGGTCAATTGGGTCCCTGGAAGAACCCAGGGTCTGAGGCACCCTCTTATGCCCCCACCAATCCAAGCTGGGCATTTGCTTCTCCATGAACACCTGGCACCCTGCTCAGCCCTAGCAGGGAAGAAACGAAACTGACTATGCTGGGGCTGGGGAGGGTGCTGGAGACGGTGCTGGGGTGATGACCCTGACCATTGGCCCCTGGGATGGGGGAGGTCTGACCACAGGGTGAATGGGCACTCACCAGCCAGGGATCCCACAGCCAGGATGGTCAGCAGCGTCCTCATCGGGGCCGGCACAGAGCCCTCCCTTGGCCTCCACTCTGCCGTGCACAGAGGGAGGGCTGGGAGTCTTGGCGCCCTGGCAGCTGGCTCCACCCGATCCACTCAAGCATGGGGCGGGGAGAAGGGGGGCGGGCGGAACCTGAGCCAGTGGGGAGCAGGGGTACAAAGGTGCCCTGGCCTGAGTGCTCTGGAATTCCAGGTTCTGGGCGGGATCCAAGGGAGTTCTCTTCCTTCTTGCAGACAACAGCAACAACAGTAACAGGCTGGCTTGTTTATCTGGTCTGGTGGCTGATTCATCCCAAGTGGTTTATCAGGGAGCCGAGGAGCAGAAAAGGCAAGAATAATCCACGATATGCTGCCTTATCAAAAAGCAGTTTGGCACTGTGGATCAAAAGCCTAAACCACATGCCTATCTTTTGCTTTAATAATTCTATTCCTAGGGGATTTACCCTGAGGAAAATAACTGGACAAGAGAAGAAAAAAAAAGTCCCAGAATGTTTCTTGCAGCAAAGGAAAAGTGGTGATTCCTTTGTTTTGTCTGGCGGGAGGAGATAGAGGGTGCCTGATGCTCCTCCTTGATCCTTCATATCAAGGCAGGTCCCCACACTTGGGGTGGGCTTGGGAACAGCTCTCCCCTAGAGAGGCTGTTGGGGGTGAGGAAGCCCAGACACTCTTACCTTGAGCCTTTGGGTCCAGGATCTGCCAAAGGTTAGAAAAAAAATGGAACTTGAACTTTGGTGATACTTTTTGCTGTGCTAGACTTGGGGATGAAATTCATGAATGGGCCTTTGGTTCGGGACAATGAAGATTCAGGCTGCTCTCCCATGCTGTCATTCTGCCATGTGGGGCAGGATCTACAGAGATGAACACGAGCTTCTCGTGAATGAAAGGACGGGTGTATAGGAAATGGTTTTCTCCTCCCTGCAGGGCCCTGGAGAAGGTTGAAAGGGCCTGGGGCCTGGACTCTGGTCAGGGTGGACATGATCAGAGGGTTCTGCCCCTGGGAAGTGTTTGCCTGGCCCCAGGCCACAACGACAAGCTAAGATTTTAGCAGGGTTCCTGACAAGGGGTTGGATATAATGGGCTGTGATATCCTGGGATCCCTGTTTAAGTTTTTCTTTCCTGAATTGTCATTTGTTTGTTGTCTGCCCCAAGCCTTCGCTAAAGTTTGTTTGACAAATCCAAGCTGTGCTTTGAAGAAATGAAGGTAGGGCCCATGCCAGTCATTTTCTGTAATTGCAGGAAACTACATTTCCCAGACTCCTTTATCAAATGCTCTGATCTCTGCCTCCCCAGTCTTCCCCCAGGGGTTTAACCCCTGGGGGAAGACTGGGGAGGCAGAGATCAGAGCATTTCTCCCCATCTTTTCTGCTTTGAGTGGCTTCCCCAGCAATGGCTGTGTCTCCTCTGCAGCTCCCCCTCCCTCTGGACAGTTCACCAGCCAGGCAGCCCCCTCTGTCTCTCTTGCTCCTGTCTGGAGGCCAGCTCCTGCCTCTGGCAACACCTCCCTGCATCTTTCCCTTCAGTTGGTAGGATGGCACAGCTTCCTGCTGTGGGGAAATCTCTGAACTGTCTCCTTGTCCTGATTAGAGTCCCAGCTCCTCCATCATCTGGGTGACAAGCTCCTTTACATTCAAGTCCCTTGGTCTGAAAGACTGGTTTCTGTGCTGCTGAAAGAATCATGTTGGATAGAGGGTTTTTGATGACTGATGACAAAGCGGTGTGGGGAGACTACAACCAGAGAAACAGGTTACAAGGAACGCTTAGGGAGAAGAGCAGGCTTTGGACTCAAGTGGCTGGGCAGGAGGACAAGACAGCCGCGCAGGTCTGTGGAACATGAAAGCCTGCCTTGGGGTCTCTCAGAAGCCCTGGAGGAAGGAACCTGATTGGACGTCCTGTGATTATGAGGGTCTGTGGTTATGTGGGAATTAACGGGAAGGAAGACACCTGGATTGCTAAGGAATGTGGGAACACCCAGACTTCATTTCTAGCAGTTTAAGAAAAAAATAGGCTGGGCGTGGTGGCTCATGCCTGTAATCCCAGCACTTTGGGAGGCCGAGGTGGGTGGATCACCTGAGGTGAGGAGTTCGAGACCAGCCTGGCCAACATAGCGAAACCCTGTCTCTACTAAAAATACAAAAATTAGCTGGGTGTGGTGGCAGGCACCTGTAATCCCAGCTGCTTGGGAGGCTGAGGCAGGAGAATCACTTGAGCCCAAGAGGCTGAGGTTGAAATGAGCTAAGATTGTGCCATTGCACTCCAGCCTGGGTGACAGACCTAGACACCATCTAAAAAAAAAAAGGAAAAGAAAAGAAAAGAAAAAAAAAATGAAGACAACTTCCATGTCTGACAATAGAGGTTTGGTTAAAAGAATATGTCCACCCAAAGCAAAACAAATGCAGCTTCCAAAATAATGCTGGAGAAAAATGTTTTGCGACCTGGTAAAGATTCATTGTATTTTTTCAAGTGACTAGAAGCGTGTCGTAAACTATGTATAGTACCACCCTGGCTAAAACACGTACCTGCACATACAGAGCAAACGTCTTGAGGGACATAGATGAACACAGTAGGGGAGTTATCTCCAGGTGGTAGTGGAATTGTAGGCGATTTTTCTTTCTTCCCTTTGCTTATCTGCATTTCCTAGAGTTTATACAGGAAATATCCTAATTTATATTAAGGGAAAGCAAGGTTACTAAAAGTAACAAATAGGCACTAAAGACAGGCCTTTGTCTGGGCTCTGCCCTCCTCCTGGAATGCCATTTCCACTCCCTTAGCCAACTCCCTTCTCCTCGAAGCTCACCAAGACAGTTTCTTCTTCTGCAGTGTGGCCCCTCCTCATGACTGCAGCCCATACCGTCTCACTTTGAAAGTCCTTCCAGAGGCCAGGCATGGTGGCTTATACCTGTAATCCCAGCACTTTGGGAGGCCAATGAGGGAGTATTACTTGAGTCCAGGAGTTTAAAACCAGCCTGGGCAACATAGTGAGACACTGTCTCCATAAATAATAAAGAATTAGCCAGGTGTGGTGGCATGTGCCTGTAGTCCCAGGTACTCAGGAGCTTGAGGGAGGAGAATTGCTTGAGCCCAGGAAGTGGAGGCTGTGGTGAGCCATGACTGCACCACAGTGCTCAGCCTGGGCAACAGAGTGAGACTCTGTCTCAAAAAAAAAAGAAAGAAAGAAACCAAGTCCGTCCGGAACGTGCTGTCTGGCCCCCATTTTGGCATTGTCCACTATGATACTTCAGTTGCATTACGTGTTTGAGAATGGAAAGGAGACCGGGTACCATGACTCATGCCTATGATTCCAGCACTTTGGCAGGCTGAGGTGGGAGGATCACTTGAGGACAAAAGTTTGAGAGCAGCCTGGCCAACATGATGAAACCTCATCTCTACTAAAAATATAAAAATTAGCTGGGCATGGTGGCTCATGCCTGTAATCCCAGCACTTTGGGGGCCAGGGCCAGCTGATCACGAGGTCAAGAGATGGAGACCATCCTGGCCAATATGGTGAAACCCCATCACTACTAAAAATACCAAAAAATTAGCCAGATGTGGCATGTGCATCTGCAGTCCCAGCTTCTCAGACGGCGGAGGCAGGAGAACCGTGAGAACCCGGGAGGTGGAGGTTGCAGTGAGCCGAGATCACACCACTACACTCCAGCCTGGGCGACAGAATGAGTGAGACTCCATCTCAAAAACAAACAGGCCGGGTGCAGTGGCTCATGCCTGTAATCCTAGCACTTTGGGAGGCTGAGGCGGGTGGATTGCCTGAGTCTAGGAATTCAAGACCAGCCTGGGCAACATGACAAAACCCCTTCTCTACTGAAAATAAAAATAAAAATAAAAATAGCCAGGCGTGGTGGTGAGCACCTGTAATCCCAGTTACTCAGGAAGCTGAGGCACAACAATGGCTTGAACCCGGGAGGCGGAGGTTGCAGTGAGCTGAGATTGAGCCACTGCACTCCAGCCTGGACAACAGAGCAAGACTATGTCTCTAAACAAACAAAATAATGGGAAGAAGAGATTTGGGTTGGAGTGGAGGTGTGACGTGAGCACTGTCTTCAAATATTTGCGGGGCTATTGCATGGAGAAGGCTCTAGACCCTTTTTGTGTAACTGCCTCTGAAAGGAAAACTGGGGTGTACGTGGGAGATATTAGGGAGGCTGTTTTTTAAATTTAAGGACATCACTCTGGCTATGATGGTGTGGCTGCCTTGAGAGGCAGAAAGTTCGTGGCTGCTGGAGGTAT